CAATATGCACTTATCGATAGAAATGCGTTATTCGGTATGCCGAATCCATTTGTTACATTTGTTATGCCAAACATATAAATGCGTACGTATGGTGGCTTAATATACATGTATATATATTATGCACAGTGTGTACACACTGCATGGTATTACGAAGAGTTAAAACATAAATCTATTTGTGAGCAGAAAAAGAGCTTATGTATTTTTTATCATGCTATCCAAATTTTGCATGGTGTTTTGTTACAATCAGCTGCGATAAAATCGGCTCGATTTTTTTTACGTTGTGAACAAACGAGCTCATTGTGTTAAAAATGCTTGAAGTACATCATTGCATTTCTGTAGTTTTCAACGTAAATCTTTCTGTCATATCAAATTATACTCTGTAATTTAATTCTCACAACAATTTCAACGAAAAAACTTTCACATTTTAATGGAACATAAATCTCAAGAAATGAAATAAGTTTGTCGTTGTTGATTTGTTTTTTATTTGACAAATTCAAATGATTGCAAACATTCGGAGTCTTTGTAAACGGCATTCCATCTCAAGAAGATTTCTTTTGGTGGCGACATAATAAAAAAATAGAATTGAACGAATTTTAAGTGTACTTTTTAACAACATTCTCAAGATGCACAGAGAAAACAATACACTAAAAAGTAAACGAACAACAAGTTGAGAAAAAAAAGTGAGCAGAAGAAGATGTAGAAATAAAATCGAAATGCCGTCCATAGGCTCTTTCCTCGCTCACCAATAGATATCTGCATTGCATTTTGCGTGTTCCGGCTTTTTGCTGTTGACTATGTCGCGAACGCGCTTATGCCTGAACAAAATGCTAGTTTGCGTTTTTGTTTTGCCATTGCCGCATTTTCAACTGCGGATAAAAGAACTTTTGTCGGAATTCATGTTCCTTTTGAAACAAACTTAAGCTATGTTTTCGGCGCTGGGGCTTTCTTTGGCTTTGTGTGTGCTCTTTCTCTTTTCTCTTCTTTTTTCTTTACTTCTCGGTTCTTGTTTTATTTTTCTCTCTTCATTGGCGATGCATCCATTCGTCAACCAATGAGCTGTGTTTGTTCTTGTACCGTTCGGCCAAAAGCGAAGACGATGCATGTTGCAAAACCAAGACGATGCCACACCACTGCCACTTCTTCTACGTTCTTCTTATCTCGGTTTTTCTCTCACTCATTTTCTTTCGATTTCTATCTATCTCCTATCTATTTGGTTGGGCATATTTTGAAATCAACTATTTTCATGGCGTTAATGATAGAAGTTTGTTCATTTGGTAATGGTTGTTTTTGTGCTTTAAAATGGACTGCTTTCCACTTTTCGCTTGATACAAATGCTCTTGTTTTATTCGTCAAGAACTCATATAGCCGGCATATATGCATTTCGCTTGCCGTTGTGTGTTTATGGTTTTGTCTGGATCGGCTGACTGGCTGACCGACTGGCTCTCGCTTACACAATTCGTAGACGGTGGGAACAACGACCAAAAACTTTTTCAATATTTGAGCGCATGAAAATAATGTGAAAATGAGCCATTTGGCACAGATGAAGCTCTTATGCACTTTTATGCACAGTGAATGTGGTGGACATGTGTGCATGCCATGAGATTTCATTGCTGCCTTTGTATTATTATATAATATGAAGCGCGCATGCCGTTGCATGAAAACAAATTGAGGAAATGACAAATAAATGGATCCCCTTTAGAGCTGTTAAAATAGCTGAAAATACAATGCATTTTGTACCAATCCATATAAACACATCATCCGCTCGACGTTTTGCCTCTCAAAAACAACCGAAAATATCTTTCTCTTGTTTTAAAAACATTCAAATTGCAACGATGCCGACGAACGACGCGTTTCGCTTCGAGTCATTTGGGATGAATCGCAGACAGTTTTTTGTTACATCGTTTTATTTTCAAAAGACGTAAGTATACGACATCTAGTAAAAAAAACACACACACACACACAACGACAATGTCGACCAACAGGCAAATGCTTGGAATGGTCAATGATCTAAAAGGCGAGTGAAGATAAGACAAGACGACTTTGAAAAAACGCAAATTAAATTAAAAATTTGTTTGTCACAATACCGTGCCTTCTTCGAAGAAAAAAAAAACATTGATTACTACTCCAGCTGCGGGAAATAGTCAACCATGCATACCTATCGTTCGAGATAAGAGCGTGTGTTTACTTTTCTTTTGTTTTGTGCTCGTGTTGAAAAGCTCACATGTTGTTGATGCAATTTTCAATAGCCTGACCTTTAAGTGCACACACGTGAACGACGATCGGTTGCAATTTAATTGCAGTAGGCTAACTTTAGGCGAAATATTTTCGTGTCGTAATTTTTCCGGTAGACAGAGCACTGACAAACTATTCAGTTCCTTTCTACAAATGAAATCTCAACGAGAAAAAAATAAGCGAAAAGAAGAAGTTTAAAGAAGACAACAAGAGCAACAATACTAACAATTTTCTCCGACTTGTGTCTAACCTCATTTTCATGAAAACTTTGCACCCATTTCCCGATCTATTCATAGTTTTCCATATAATCTATTCATAATTTTTCATGAAAAGGAATTGGAACGAAACTGCCTGGTTGTTATTATGAGGTGTGCATGACAGGGTGTGCATGTGTTTGTATGATGAAAGGATAAAAAAACCCGGGTGTATTAGTGAATATTTTGTGGACAATGGTGAGATATTATTTCTGATCAAAATTGAGGTTTTATTTGAGCTCATAACCGAAAATGTTTATGATACGCGCATCGCTCAAACATACAACCACACACACACACAGACACAAACATTACAAAAATGTGTAAATTGGCGAAATGCAAGTTTTGAATAAAGTAGAGAAACCAATTATGAAGCCGAATTTAATGTATATTTGCATAATGTTTTGACAATAAAACAGTAAAACATAAATTATAAATTGTATACATATTATGTGTATGAGTGTGTGTTCGAATGAGAATGAAATGGTATGAGAAGGTTCAGATATTCATGAACATTTCCAACACACTATAGTCAACGAATGAGATATGTAATTGTAAATAAATAAATATGAGAGTTTACATTCACTCAATTCGGTTGATATTATTATTTTCATTTCATTCGGTTTTCAAAATTCAAAAAACGGCATTCGGTTTGTTTGTGAGACGATGCGCGTGTTTGGGGTTTGTTGTATCGATGTTATGTATGTGTTGTTTTTTTTTGTGCTGTTGGTTTGTCGCTATGTGCATGCAATTATGTTGTTTTCTTTTTATTCAAATATTTATAAACGATATGAAATGTATAATGTAAAGGGACACTAAAGTAATATGTTCCAATTGCACGCTACGTATGCATACCAACAACCAAATAGAAACAGGGTGCACAGAGAGTAATTTATATTGTACGGGGGAATATACCCGCTTCCTTCAATTTACCTAATTCTTAACTTTAGGTTTTCTTTTTTTTCTCTTTTACATAATGCACCATTTAAATTCCTTTTATCTTTAATATCGACCGTTTTTATAAGCTTTTCAAGTTTGAATCATTCTCGAATATAAATTTCGTTTGACAATAAAATTCAAAACCGCCAAAAAATGTTGTGATTTAGTTACCGCCTTTAACAAATAGAACGTTTTCCTTCATGCTTCAACAAATAAACAATGCATTCGAAACAATGATTTAAAACAAAAGGATAATTAATGAGCTGAAAATCAATGAAAACGTTAATTTTGAAGTAAAAGAAAAACCATACACGCACAAAGAATTTCGATTGCCTGAATCTAAAAATGTATTATAAAAATAGAAAAGTATGCAATGAAGCAAAAACGAAAAGTTCCAAAGTAATGAATGATTTGTGAAATATTCAAGGTAATATAGACATAGAAAAGAAGAAAAAAATACCGAAAGAGTTATTTTCCCCTTGGATGATTTGGTTGTTTCGGTTCAATGTGCACCCTTTGCGCCACAAAATAACATTTATCGAATAGAAGGGAAACACTATTGGCTTTGAGACCACGATAAAAAGCTCTATTCCGCACTCATAAACTTTCGGCATACTCGTCGCGGCATAGGCCATGCCATATTAAAGCGAGAGAACATAAAATTATATTGAGAGAAACGAGCGAATCCGAGTGTATGCAGATACTTTGTCGAATCTCATTTGTTGTCTCAGTCTGTCCTATATTCTTTCACGTATTGAATGGTATCGATACACTTCGGTGGTGTAGTACAGTGTATGTGTGTGACTGGTACTGTGCAATGCTATCCCCTAAAATAATGGCGCACAGATAAATAGACGTAAAACAAAACTTTCACAACGTTTTCCGACTACGGAAACTTTCCTATAAAATCCAGAAATGGAAAAAGCACAAACACAATCAAAACGACAAACGTACAGCATGTATAAAATATATATATGAAAGCATGATACGTTGACGACTACTACCATCAAAGTTATTTCAACCATCATCATCGTGCCTACCTCATAGCCGTTGGGAGAGTGAAAGAGACAAAAAAAGAGGCTCAATAGCGTACACAAACAGTCGTGCGAACACCCGCTCAACACATTGACACATATAATACACAGTGATTCGAAGTCTTATGGCACACACACATATACACATGCGCATATGCGTGGAGTAACCCGCCGAAAAAAAAAACAATAAAAATAACAACAAGAGTCAAAATCTGATTCAGAAAAACAGACACATTCACACTGAACGGAACAAAGAAGTGTTACGATATGCTTCATTTGATTCGTGTGTTATATTTTTTTCTGTAGTTATAGTCCTTAAGTCGGAATAAGGAAGTGAAACATAACTTCAGAATATTGAGAAACGAAAAGCTAGTGAACAAATTTTTTCTCTCTTAGCTAAAGTGAGAATTGCCTGTTGAAAAAATAATAATATTTTTTTTTTGCTTCGTTTTGTTTTTAAGTTATCTAATTTTCATTTCGAGTGTTTTGTGCATTTTTTTTTTAGTGGCAAAAAATATCTATTGACAGTGCGAAAAATAAAATTTAATTTTTTTTCCATCGAAATATGATTTGTTGATTTTCATTTCTATCGTCTCGGTTACACAATTCGAGTGCTTTGATTGGTGTGTGCACAACTAAACGATTCATTGAATGTAACAAGAGTGAAAAAAATATTCAGATTCACACATTGGAAAAAACATTTTCCATTTTAATGAATTAGAAAAAATTTAAACAAATAAAAAAAAACACACGTACAAGCAATCGAATCAAAGCGTTTTGAAGCCATAGAGAAATGTCGATTTGACAGCAAATAACGTTTTTCAATTGGATTTTGCGTGTGTGAACATTCCATTGGGTGAAACAATTCGGCGTTGGTGAAAGGGTAAGTGTGGCACTCAAATGACAAAAACAGTCCAAATTTACAGAGAATAAAAGAAAAACAAAATAGAAAAAACAACAGCAACAACACAATGTTTCGACAAAGTATATGGGTGTGTGTGTGTGTATGATTGCTTTATAGGTTTCAATTTCCATTCGAAAAAATAATTTGGCTGCTTTGAATTGCGTGCCTGGAATTATGCCTAAATGCCTACATTGGTTTTTGTTCATTTGTCGATTTTGTCGTTCTAGGCCCATTGTATTCTTGGCCATTGAATTCGAATCATTTCCCATTTTCCCAAAATACAAAATATGTGTGTATCTCTCTCTCTCTCTCTCTCTCTCTCTCTCTTTCTCCTTCTCTTTCTTTTGATTCGTTATATGTATTAGGTTATAGTGCGTCAATTTCCTTGTTAATTTGAATTTACTCAAAAACATTTTTGCACTGTCGATACCATTCATAAGGTTCAATGAATGAATTCCGGTACACCTGTAGCGATACATAACGAGAAGAAAAAAGCTACAAGAATTTGTCACACACGACGAATTAAAAAAAATAGAAAAATAACTATATAACAGCTCAGTAGTTACCGGCTGAGAGTGTTGATCGAACAAATAGAAATCGTGGTGAGTTTCCACAGAACACAATTGAAAATTGGTCGCGTCGATATGACTAAAAACCGAAATGCTTGTGTGTCACGTTTCAATTTGAGGTGTTTGAATGTTGTACCTCTCATTCGAAAATCACCATGTGATCACTATTGTGTATTTTTCATTTTGTATACTTCCTGTTTTATTAGTTTGGTTTTTCTGTTTTCTTCCGTTTTGTTTTGGGAGTGTTATTCTTGTAAGGAATATGTTACAACAAAAAAAAATCCTAACAACAAAACATAGAAAAAAGCTCAAAATGTGCCGATGTTTGAAAAACGCAATAAATGCATTATTAACAATGGACATCAACGGATGTATACAGTCGAGGCAAGGGACAAAGCCAACAAAAGTGGCTTGTCGAATCGAAGATGGTACCATCACGCAGATGGAAAAGGCACAAACGCGACCAAACAAAATAAAAACACCACCACCACCAACAACAACAACAACAACGAAAATGCGAAAGAGAAAAGAAAAAGAAACACCATTCTCTACAATTTATACAAAATCATTTGTATCTGTGCGAACACGCGAATGGAATTGAATCAGAAGGGCGACAAAGTGAAAAGAAGTGAAACGACAAGAAAAAAAGTGCAGGCGATTCTTTGCTCATCACAACCTTTCGATTGCTTAAGTGTTTGAGAGAATGGCAGATAGAAAAAAGAGAGAGAGACAGAAAGAAGGAGTGTTTGCAAGAGAGAAAAACGAAATAAAAAAAAGAGAAAGAGATTGTCTGTTTATTATTATAGAAGAAGAAATGCGTTTGATAAAAACGACATCTCACCCTGAATCGCAGCTAAGAAAGAGCCAGTGGATAAGAAAACATAAAATGTGTCTCGCTGGCACATCACACACGTCATGCACACGGGTTTTGGCGAGTGCTGCGATTTGTCAGATCAACTCTTGGGTGCGTAAATGCCATAACAGCCTGATGGTTCTCTGAGCATGAGGGTTTGATGTTATTGTTGTTATTGTCGTCAGTTACGAGCATTCGAGTTCGTTGCTTATTATGCATTATGCATACACATGTATTTAGTTAAATAAAGCGTTATTTGTGTGTCAGTTATATGTGCAAACGAAGCATAATCCTTTTTTGCTGCTCATTCTTTTTTCTTCTTCGCTTTATTTTACTCTTTCTATATCTCGCTCTTTCACACACAAATACACATACTCTTCTCGTTTTTCCATGCTATTCTTATTTTTGTGCTTTTACTCTGTGTGCTGCGTGCTTTCTTCTTGTTCTTCCCTGTCCCTCTTTGCATGTGTACTTTTTTTTTAAATATTATTTCGTTTGGCTTGTCTTGCTTTTGCCATTTGCGATTGCTATTGCTCGATGGATTCGGTCACACATTTTCCGTATTCTGTTTGTATGGCAAAAGAGAGAGAGAGAGATTGTGTATATGCTTTCCGTGGCATGTTCAATATATATAGTGTACGCTGTTTGCAGTTGTATCAGCAGCATAACGCGTATCCACTATAAAATAACTCATTTGCATAATGGGATACTGAATTATTTAGGACCAGTTGTATTTGTATTTCTCACTTGCTCTCGTTCACTCAGTCACTCACTCACTCATTTCATGCAATGTGTACATATACACATCACACTGCACATGCCGCACAAGCCATTTTTATTTGCATTTCCGTTCCAATGGCACCCCAACTCTTCTCATTTGTTCACTCTTCTCGTTTTTTTTGTCGTTGTTGTTGCTGCTAGATTCTTTTTGGCTATTTGATTGTCTTCCGTGTGCATTGCATGAGATGTGATATTATTTTGCGTTTTGTTCCATTAGCCATTCAGATCAAAGCGGATGTGTTTCGTCGGTCGATGCCGTTGGTTGTTTATTATTATTATTATTTTTGTTGTTGTAGTGGTGGTGGCAGTGGCGTGTTGGCTGTCGTATTTGGGGCCGCAGCGACACTGGAATTTGGAATTTCGTTATTGTTGTGATAATAGGACATTCGTTTTCCTCTCATTCATTTCTCTGTTTCGCATCGGGAGGTAATCGCAATGCCATATTCTGCATTTGTAAGCTTTTTCGCCCATTTAGGCCGACCACGATTTATAATTCAGTCACAAAAGAAACGCAAGTGAAACACAGGCCTTCATATTATTTTTTTCCCCCCTCTTTCTGTATTCGGAATTGTTCTCAATTTTGATACTAAAATCCAATTTCAGTATAATTTTCACTTTATCTGGCATTTCATTTCGTCGACATCTCATACAAATACACGGGCATTCTCTCTCGAAGCATCCCATCTCCAATAAATATTCTCTCATACAAAATGCAGCTTAATGGAAAATACAAATACAGCTTGGGAAAATATCGTACACAAAAGAAAATATCGCCTCATAAATGAGCGCACCACTAAAAGTCTTTGTTTGAATTCATTAATCAAAGAAAGAAACAACTAATCTGTCCAACGCTATGAAATTATACACGAGTTATATTCGCTTCGTTTCGTCCATTTAATTTTGTCAGTAACAATCCGGCTGCATGAAATGCTAAAGCTGCCTCTAATGTGATGTTGACAGCGAGTTTGAGCTGTGATTTTTGTTGAGCTGGCCAAAAACTATCTACCGATTACTGCATCATATTTTGCTTTCTATCATATCTTTTACATACACACACACACTGTTCACTATCCCATTTAAAAAATAAAACAACTCATATATAAATAAAAATCACTCGAGTCAACGCTTTTACTTTAGTTTTTTTTTGTTGAAAATGGATAAAAAACGGATAAAAAAAGGAGAAAAAAAGTCAAGTGTCATTTTACTCTGCGTGTATTTATTTAAAAAATAAAATGATCGTACATTTTCCATAAATTTCGACTTGATAGACAAGTACCGAAATTAAAAAAAAAAAGACTATTAATTATGAATTAATAATTTTACGAAAATTCCATATGAAAACATGAAATTTATTTGGCATTTTAATGTTAATGCTCACCCTTGGTCAGTTGTTGTTGTTGTTGCTGCTGCTGCTGCTGCTGCTGTTGCCACTAGGAAAAAATGTGTATTATTATTATGAGGCTATTATTAATTATTAAAAATTGTGTATATCGTTATCCTCGGAGCAATGAATAAGAGTATAATATCTAATTGAAGGCATAAAAAACCAACAATAACAATGTGCCAGTAATAATTATGTTTCGGAATGGAAATTTTGTGAACATCAGACATTTCATTTGGCCAAAAATTCATCCGAAAAAAAAAACATATTTCAAAAATAATGGTAATGGTTAGTAAAGTTGTGTTATAAAATTATCTCATACCAAATTGTAACCAATACCGTGAATTCCAATTTCGAAACATCAGTTAACAAACCCAAAATCAATGTATAAATTAAATGAATTTCGGATGCAATGTAATTTGCGATTTTTGAGATATTTTCTAATTTCAACAGTTCATATGTCACTTAAACACACTATTTAATGTATTTTGTTTATTTTTATTTTTTCTTTCAGATCGACAAGCTTCGAAAAATATATGAAATTGCTGTGTCATCTAAATATAGATTTGATGTTCGATAAATTTTAAATGAGATTTGATTATAAAGTAACTAACCATTTTGAAATAGAAAACCAATTGAGTAATCGATTTTGAATACATCGAACATTTTGATTTAAAAAAAAGTAGCCTGAATAAATTATTTCGAATAAACTTAAATTTCTCGTGTTCATCACTTTGTTCGAGTGAGAACTCACTTCGAATGAGATATGTAGTGGGAGTATGCATGTGAAAAAATAATGAACGTAATCAATAATTGATATAATAAAATCGTTCGAATTTCACGTAGATATATAATTTTATATCGATCATCAGTGCATGCTTAAAAGTCTTTTCGCTCACCAAACAACACTCAATACATTTAAAAATTATTGGAATTCGAGGTGTATGGCTTTTTGTTTGTTGTCGCTGCTGTTCAATTCAACTTTACATGACTGAATCTGAAGCCGAAACTGAATAATTAAAAGGGTGAAAAGAGATAGACTTTAAAACCAAACCATATATTATAATGATAGAAGCAATCAATCGATTACAATGAAAATTCGTCCTAAAGTAATAGCGCCGTCACAAAAAATGCCAAACATCCAACACAACGGATGTAACGGTATGCCAAAATCGGCAAAAATATTTGGAAACTGTACGGGTACACCATCACGAAGTCCAGCATCATCGTCGTCATCATTGTTATCAACACCATTGGCATCATTTATGTCATCGTCATCGTATACATCATCGAATGATGGCTGCTTTGGCAGCCGAGTTACAGCTTGTGAAATGAACTGCAACAGCAGCAGAAGTAGCAGCCGAAATAGCAATAACAACAATTGTTCACAAAATATTGGTGCAGGCAATGGTAATGCCACCACTACAAATACGTTTGGAATGACAAATGGACACACAGGAAATGGCACCGTTTATACCAACCATCATCATCATCACCACCACCACCATCATCAGCAAGCAACAAACTCACAAAAACATGGCTACATTGAAAAGAATAATCACATTTATGCGTATGCTTTGATCAGTTTGATTGCGATTATGGTATATCTCAATGGTATCAATGGTGAATTCGTACACGACGATATACCGGCCATTAAATTGAACAAGGATGTTATTGGCACCAATAAAATAACGCGATTGTTTTTTAACGATTTTTGGGGCGCACCAATGAATGATCCAAACAGTCACAAATCATATCGACCGCTAACGGTTCTATCATTTAGGTAAGAGCAATATATTAATATATTTGTATGCATCTAATATAGTTTACAATATATGTGCATATTGAAACAATAACAAACATAAATGCTTATGGCATACACACACACAGACAAACACAGACATATCACAAATACAATATTTACCCATCATTAGATTATTATACAATAACAATAATTCAAATTTTGGATAGTGTGTCGAATGCATGCAGATCTATTTCACTCACACTATCACAATTCACACTCATTGGACACACTTTAAATGCTCTGCCAGTTACTGTTGCCTGCAGAAACTCAACGTCATTCAAACCATTTTCATTCCATCCCCCAAATAAAACAAATGCGCTTTTGTTTTCAATTTCATTATGAAACATACACTCATAATAGCTATAAATAATCCAATCAAGCATTTGGGCCGCGCAAACGTCTCCTAACTCACATACTCTATTTCTTATGCAGAGACACATTTTGAATCCTTCTCTTCCTATTCGGCACGTACAGCAATTTCGAACTGAGTCAGGTGTTGTATTCCAATTCCATTGCTCTTTTGTGAAATGTTCAATGCAGAGAATAATATTCGAAACGGTTTGTCGACAATTGGGAGAGAGATAGAAAGAAAGAGAACGCACATACGCCAATGTCTCAGGAATGTCTCTTGCATGGTTTTGTCGAAAATTTCGGACGTGATAACTGTATTTCTCTTGCTGTTCAAGCCACAAATCGAAGAAATAAGTAATAAAGTCATATATGCAAAAAACAAACATAAACATTTCGCACTCACATCCATATAAATAACATATCATATCATATTTATTATGTGTGTGCTGTGTGTATATGTGTCTGAGAATGAACATTTTTCCATTCAAAGCACACCGATCACTAAATACAGAGCTCTCTAGTACAATCGCTCTTCGGGGCCTTAGTTTGGAATTCGTTTACGTTCAATGCATTTTGGTTTACATTATGCATCTATCTGCATTGTGTGCGCTATCGTTTTCGGTACCAAAAATGAGATCGCAATTCTCGCTTTCGTTGTCGTTCGCTTAAAAAGTTAAGTTTATGAGAAAATTTGCGTATCGTCTTTCACATTTAATTCTTGTTCATCAAAAGTTTCAACTCCATATTTACCTTGGCATATCCATTTCAGAAAATTCGGGTAATCTTCTCATTGCAACTGCACACAAATACACATAGACACACTTCATTTGAATTCATCATGTTTTCTTGTGTACAACACAGCTCGATATATTTTTTACTGCGCTCAGCTATACGTTCCATTCAAATATTTACTGCTTGTTCCTTAGCAAACACATTTGACTAGCCTTAGGTCGTCGTCGCCGTCGTCGTCATCTTTGTCGTTGTTTTGCAAGCAAATACATACATCCATTCTACACTGCGTTTTCACTATAGTTTCTCTTTCTGTTATTATTTATGTAATTTAATTTATAAAATTCATGTAGAGACTTCCCTAAGAAGATGTCGTACAATTGACCACGTAAACTTAATCTAGTTAATGCATTTGCGTTGAAAATAAACCGCAAATGCGTACAAATACGTTGCACAAATATACACAGACACCACCGTTCAACGTTCACCGTTACCAATGCCGATATCTCTCTGTTGTCTGTGTTACCATCATGTTCAGTTTCTGCCTCGTTGTCGTTCTTCGTCTTCCGATCTCCTTTGATATGTGCTCACTTAGCCAAAAGAACTTTATCACATGCAATTGCTGAATTTTATGCTAGTGTTGTTTAATGCTTTGTTCTAATTAAATTCGTTGAAAATTTTGCACATTCTCATTTTCGTTTGCAACAACGAGAAAATTATCGATTCAAATGAGAGTGTTGTGCTGAGAAGCGACTTTTTCGCCTTTCTCATTCTCACTCTCAATCCATCTTTTTATTTCTGTGCATCTTTCTCTCGTTTTCTCGTTATTTCTGCATTCACTGTTCAATTCGGGTGAATTTTTTTTCTTTTTTCATTCAGTTGAAATGGCTTTTTGTTTGTAGTATGTCCTATTTTGTGTCTTTGGTATAATCGAAATATCCAATGAGAAAAGGAAGAGACAAACACAGACCAAAATGCAAATAAAGTTGTGCAACAGCGCATCAAACAATTCAAGCAAATAATCCAGTTCGTCTTGCGAAAAGAACGAGGACCACGAAGAGAGAGAGAGAGATAGAGTCAACAAAAGAAAGAATCAGCTTTAAGTGCTGCTGCTGACGATGGTTTTGCATTCGAACACTATTTTCGTACCGTATACATATACAATCCAAACAAGATAGTTCGATATCAAATCTACTGATATAAAACAAACTGAAAAAACACATACACACACAGACACACAAATACAGCCAATCTTTGTAACATCCGTAAAGAATAAATAAATACTTTTCGGTTTCGATCATATATATATACATATCTAAAAAAATTATTTTTTTTTCTCTTTTCCTATGTTTTGACCAACATTTTCCAGATTAAACTACTATTTGTTCGGTTTGAAACCATTCTGGTTTCATTTTACAAATATTCTAATGCACGCCATTGTTTGTGTACTATTTACCCGGGTTTGCATCATTGTGGCCGGTCTTCAAGATAATTTTGCAATAATAGCTGGCATTATATTTGCGATTCATCCAATTCACACAGAAGCGGTAAGTATCTAAAAGTCACATATCCCATACACACATAGAGACAGATGGACAGAAATAGATATACACATGCAAATATAAGACAAACTCAAGCCAGACAACTCTGATTCGAAAGTGAATATGCGTTTCGCCAATGGCACGAACTAAAAGGCATATTGTTGTTTGGCCATGTGAATCGACCAACATAACTTCTCCTCTCATTCCATCTATCCTCAATTCCGGATTAGTTGTTACAAATGATTTGTCTTCAATTTGTTGCGGTTTTCCCTATGTATAGATAGTACAATGTCATCAAATGCTATTGCAATTCACCTTCAAGCATTTAACACGGAATTATTTGAATGCGACAGGAGACGGAGAGCAAGGGAATGGGAAAGGACGTGCATTTCGAAAACTTTATAGCTTCTTGACTGTATATATGCATTTAATCTCTTGAATTCCGAAAATCCGATTAGTTGAAATTTTCCGTCATATCATCAACATCACCATCATCAAAAACAAAAACGTCAACAACGACATAACGAATAGGGCAAGAAATGAACCGCTTGCTCATGAAATGGTAAACATTTTTCGCAAAGAAAACCGACATTCATTTCATCGTTGCTGCTGGAATTTATTTTGTTTTTGTTCAAAACAGCATTCACCTCTCTTTAGCATCAACAGTATGAATTTGAAGTCTGGTATGAGGGAACCGTTGTTAAGAATGCAATGAAGGTGAACAAAAGTAGCGAATTATCACAACGGCAACAACGACGACAAGACAATATCATCAACAACAATAACAAAACCAACACACTAAATTGTAACAAATTTATTTTATTTATTTGATGGTTGTTTTCTCTCTCGCCGACAGGTCACAGGTATAGTGGGCCGAGCAGATGTCTTAGCCTGTATATTCTTTTTGATTTCGTTGCTGGTTTACCACGGGTAAGTAAATGGGATTATCATCAAACAATATTAATTAGAATATAAAAGCTCAAATGATAAATGATTGTTCACTTCAAATCGATATCACACACACACACATATCCAATCAAAATAAATGCTTTCAATGGTTTATGATTATTATTTTTTTTTGGTTTATAACTATTGATCAATTAATTCAATTCTGTTCACAACAAAAACAGCACCAACAACCATCAGTAATCGAATTGGCTCGTAAATGATTTTGTTCAATGCACAAGTATATTTCACCCGATTATATAATAATAATAAAAGTAATGGTTGTTGATGTTGCTGTGGCCGTTGTTGTTCCATTTTTAAGACTCAAGTATCACACACAGTGCAGTGATACGTGTAGAAAATTGGCATGAGTGTGAGGATAATCGCAATATAAATGATTTTTGTGTTTTGTTTATGAGCCTTCTCGTTTCATGCATTTGTCATTTTCATTTCGGTCCATATAGGAAAGCGTACAGTTCAGATGATGCATCAACGTGGTTGAGTATATTATTTGGTGGAATATCCATGCTATCAAAAGAGACGGGAATTACGATATTTTTAGTGAACTTAACGTATGATTTGTATCGTTGTTGGCCATCGTTAAAACGTACACTGGTCGACGTACATTGGACACCGGAAAGTCAACAATGCTATCGTCGTCTCTCCAAATTATTAATATCAATGGTCATTCTACTGATAATTCGATTGGCCCTATTACAAGGATCGTTTCCAAAATTTTCACAACAGGATAATCCGACAGCATATCATCCCAGTTTTTATGTCAGGTAATTTATTCATTGGTAAATACCATCAATCGTTTAGTGGAAAGAGAGAAAAAAAAATAAACACACGCATGCACAAAAACCTTGTGTGAAATTGCAAAATTTCATATTATCTCTTTCTCTCACATACACACACTATTTCATTCTTCTATTTACATTATAGAATGTTAACGTTTTGCTATTTGGCGGCATTTAATTGGTGGCTTATGCTGTGCCCTTCAACACTTAGCCATGATTGGCAAATGGGAAGCATACCATTGCTCACATCAATCAGTGATCCAAGAAATTTACTCACATTGTGGGCTTTTGCATCGACCATCTTAATGTTGCACAAAAGCATACTCGATTTTGAGGTAAATATATAGACTTCGTTCTCACCAGTGAAGTCTTATGCTTTAATTTACCAATGTCCCATATTTATCTCTTTTCGATGTTTTTCATTTACATTGTTTGTTTTTTTCTCTCTCGTCTTTCCGTGTTTCTTTCCATTTTTTTTCTCTCTCCTTGTTATTTTGTTTTGTTTACAGACACAACGCTATGCGCCGCTTATATTGGGTGTTTTGTTGCTCATTTTGCCATTTCTGCCAGCTAGCAATTTGTTTGTTACCGTTGGATTCGTAGTGGCGGAACGGTGTCAATACATTTCAAGGCAAGTTTATACACAATATACAAATATAATATAACATAGGCATGCCAGTAACTAGAACGACAAAGTAACATACATATACGATATGTGGAAAACCAAAGCGAGAGAGTCGGCTTTTTCCTCCCTCTCGTGGCAAAACAAAACAAAACAAAAACAAAAAATTACAATCAATCGAGAATAGCTCCGAATAGTCTTATTTATGGTTATAGTTTTTGTTTATTCGTCATTTGCTCATTAAATCGCTGTTAAGTATCACATAAAATACTTTGAGACGTGGCCTATCGTTCAATCGAAAACTTCGAAACCGTACGAATGGATGTAAATTGCATTTTTATGTGCACAAAAATGAAAACGAATTATCCTTCCAAAGGTTCGTTTATGTGTTTGAGTCACGTCAATGCAAAAAAAAAGGTGAAAAGCCGATTTTAGCAAAAAACCTACCACTCATACACGCCCGATTCACCGAAAAAATCACAGTATCGTATAAACTGGAATGCCTTCTAAAGCAAAACATTTTTTTTTGAATTGCTTTTTCAAACACATTAACAACCAGCGCCCATTCTCATTTTTCCTCATTCTCTCTCTCACTCACCCTGATTCATTTGTGAAATAATTAATATTTAAAACCAAAATAAGCTTCTGTTAGTCGAAAAATTTATTGCACCATTTTTCTATTTGAAACTCATTTAATCGGTTGAATTTGAGTATAATGTATTCGGTTTTCTATTTGGACTGGGGTGGAAAAAAATGATCAGAATTTTTGTGCGCGCTAGAAAAAAAAAACACAGTTTCGCCTAATTATTGTGCTTTTTTCCATTAAACTCTTGGTTGATGTTCATTTGTTTCTCGCCAGTTCCTTGAAATACTACTAATTGGAACTAATTTCTTTAACAAAGGATGTATAAGTCTTTATTTTGCGTATTTTGCTGCTTCTTCAATTTTTTATTCATAAGAAAGCCAATCCATTCGCTGTTCAAAATTCATTATCTCTCTCTCGCTCTTTCTACGTCTATCTTGCCATCCATAGAAATAATTAAAAAGCTGAATGACGAAATAGATTAAATAATTGAAGTGGGACGGCCTACGTATTTTAATAATAAATCTCAACGATTTTTTGATAAAGCGGGAGATAGAAAAGGGAAGCGAGAGAGAGAGACTAGAATTAAAAGGAATGGAGATGAAGAGAATTTCTACCAACGAATGGATTTTGGTTGATTACAATACAATTAGACAATTGTAAAATACGGAAATAGATGGGATTCGTTACATGTTTCACAGTAGTAGGTATATAATATATATATATTCGAACATTTACTGGCAACAAATTTTTTTCTGTAACCATTCTATTTACATCTATTTTAGTCATATTTTTTTCTAATTCACGATGGCATCGTTTAGAAGCGAGGAATACATATATAATATATATAAAATAAGTGTGATATGAGAATAAACAACACTATTTCCATTTGGATGTTTCGGTCTATTGGTCAATTTGAGTTTTTGTCGTTCGAAATGTGTCCAACGCAAACACACAAACTGTGAAATCGATAAATTTCCGAAACAAATACAACACAGAGACACACAACAGGGACCGATTTATATTACATAGATATATGCATGTAGATCGCAACAAATCTAATTTCAAAAGCATTTGATAAATGCATATTTGCTTGCATTGTATTGATAGTGGATTTTGGAATTTAGTTTATGTTTATGGTTGAAAATATTTTTTATTTTTGATATTTATAACTTGATTTTGTGTTTTTATCATTAAATATTCCCATGTGGTAATGTCAATGGAACCATCCGATGCCTCATCGTTGATTATTTGATTTTGGACTCGCTGCTTTGCCATTTGGGGATACGGATACGGTGTCCTGATCATCTCTGCACGCACGTGTAATCATCGACATTAAAACTCATTGCGATTTGTGTGTCGCGCGTGTGTTCGCTCATCCCTTCCAATTGTGCACACAAATCATACAAATGACTCGCGTATACATACATTATCCGTATTATCATCATCACGCGTGACGATTCGTTTTCGAAAATTTTCCGAAAATTTGGATGCATTTACACAGTTTGGGCTGCGTTCTGCTTGTCGTTTATGGTGCGCAAATAATGTGGGAAACGATGTCTAAATACCGCAGCTTTATTATTCTTATGGGGATACTGCTAATTACCGTTGGCACCTGTAAAACAATAACACGTAATCGAGATTGGTATTCACGTGAACGTTTGCTGCGAGCCGGTCTTGCGGTATTGCCACACAATGCCAAGATGCACTACAATTTCGGAAATTTCCTAAAGGATTCATTTCAAAAAGAGACAGCAACACTACACTATCGGGAAGCATTAAGGTTTTTAACGCATTTTTGTTTATTTATGTGACATTTGACTGGATGAAATGGGGAGTATATTGAGATCACTCCTACCACTCATCCATCCATTCAAATCCAATGTTATTGCATAATTTTTGGTAAATTCAGTGTGCTCTTAGCAAAACACAGCATTGACTTTGTACGTTGCATACAAAATGTACATACAGAGTACACTAAAATCGCACGCACAACAAATAAATATCCGATAAACTCCTCTCTTTATCCCACCCATTATAATCCACCGTACTTTCCTTCACTTGAATGCTTTCATTTGCACCACTTGGATAATTAAACAACACAATTTCAAATCATTGACATGAGTACACGCTCACTGTCGTAACCCAGTGCCACTCACTAACATCCACCGCTCACCTCCATCCCTTGTTATGTCTTATCAACATCCAACACACACACACACACACATACCAATTTTCAAAATAAACCATTTTGCACACTCTATCCTCACAATTCGCACAACCATCATTTGTATTCATATAAAAACACTCGAAATATTCGCAATTTTATGTTCGATGTGTTTTTGCGCTTTGAATGGGTTTATTTATATATTTGTATATTTTTTTCATTGTGAATATCTGTTGGCATTGCCCACCAAAAATCGTCGAAACAGACTATGGCCAACGTATGCAAGTGCTCACAATAACTTGGGAACTTTAATCGTCGACTCACCAGAGGCTGAAGATCATTTCTTATTCGCTATTATGTATGCATCAACGCATGTAAATGCTCATTTTAATTTGGGACAACTCTATCTGTAAGTACCCATTCTCATCTTGTATAACACTCTTTGTCTCTCTCTCTCTCACACACACACACACACCATTTTTCGAATATATGTCTAGAAAAGAATTTTTATTACATGCCATTATACAATACGGTACATCTGCATCACCATCATCATTTTGCTGGTGCCGATGTAACACCATAATATTATCATCTCGAAATGCGACACAAAGAAAAAAAGCTGAAGAAAATGAGAAAAACACGCCGAGAAAAGGAAATGTAGTTTTGTGTATGAATGCGTGTGTCTGTGTGGTGGAAACAACGCACACTCTTATTATGCGTTCGCATTTCGAGATGCTTATTGACCAACATTGACTTGAATTTTTTTCTATCTCTTGTTCATTTTTCCCACTTACGCTTGGGTTTGTCGGTGTCGTTGTTTTCATCGTCATGCGGAAGAAGGAAGAAGAACCAAACCGATAATGCTATCCGGATGATGAAACGATGCATTGAACTCGATGTGACATATGTTAAAGCACATTTGGAATTGTTTCGTTTGCATGGTGAAGGAAGTCGGGGTGCTCTTATTTTAACCGATGCAATAAAAGCGAATCCTGACAATTTTAAATTGAGGCTCGCCTTTGGAGAATGGCTTCTAAACAATGGTAAAAACACATAATGTGGAAAATATTCCACCATTGCATTACATTACACAAAAACACATAACATATTCAATTACTTTATTACAATTTTCATTTCCCGTTTGTCGCTATGCCTTTCTGCCTCTGCGAATGGAAAAATAAAATCCGTACAGGACTTGCACCTGCTGCAATGCACACATTTCAACGTATATTCGAGAAGAATGAGTCGAACATGCTTGCAATTACTGGCATTTGCAAGTCAATGCGAAAAATGGGTCAATGGTCGCGATTGCATTTGCTAATGACGAGGTAGGTGTCGTATTCTCTGGTAAAAGCGATTGAAAATTTTACGCATAAGCAAAATGCAAAATGTTCACCATCAATGTAAATATTGTTTTGTTTTGATTCGATTTTTTCTCTCTCTTTCTCTATTTCTCTTGCCCTTTCCCACGTTTATTGTTGTCACATTGTCGCTCCAAATTGTCAGACTTCAAACCATCTATCGTTTAAAACATGGTGGTTCCTATCGGATTGACATTTATTTACGCAATTGGAGCATACGAACGGAATTGCAACGGCGTGCATATTTGTACAATGTTGAAAATGAAACATTTCATGAGCCTGGATTGAGTGCAACGCCTAGTGAACGAATACGAAATGATAGTGGCACTACAATGTTAACATCACATCAATTGAATATAACAAATGATGGTGTACAGCAAACGCATGAAGCCGATATCTATCAAAATAGCTCAAATGAAGAAAATGCCAACAACAATAATAATAATAATAACAACAGCCACAACAAGAGCAGCAACAACAATGGCCGGGACCATGAACAAAATGGCACAAATCAAAAAGATTTTACGTATCAAAAGCAATATTGTAATGATGTAAAGACGATACAATCCGACGATATGATGCGATCAAATGGTGTAAATATCGCAACCCGTACAGAAATTAATACCACCATACGCAAACCATTGGGCAATGATTTAATCGAAAGTGATTCTTCAATAAAATATTTATGCGATAAACATGAAATGATCGTTGAACATCGATGCGGCGGCACATGGAATAAAAATATTCGAAATTGTAGCGAGAAAAAATCAGCCCAAGATGCCAAAACAACAAAACCCACCACTACCACCACAACGACGACGACGACGACCAGTGTTTGCAAAATCATTCAAAACAAACAAAAACAGTGCCCATTCAATCCACCGACTACAAGTGAGATTGGCAAATCGAATAAACCGCCAAAGCTAAAAACACAAAATACCTTTATATCGCGCTTATTTCTTACCGACATTCTCGATAACATTTGAACCATTTTCAATAGCATTTTATTCATCCATAAACAATACATCGTCAAAAGTCATTTATCATTTTGACATCAACAGTTTCGTCTTTTTTTTTTCTTCTTTCGACACATTTGAAACAAACAAAAAATGGAACTGTTTTCTAGCATTTATTTTCACAAGACATTTTTTCTTCTATCGTCTTTCTCTCATTCAAATGAAATGACAACAAAATCAAAACATTCAATTTTAAGAAGCTTATGAATCGTATTATTCATTGAATACCTTTCACACCATGAATTGTAACATTTTACAAAATGATGCCAAATATATAGTAATTTTTATTATATAAAAAAACGAAGACAGCAACGGACAAAGATGGAGAAATAAAAAAAAATCACAATTTTTCTTCGATTCTTAATTACACCATATGAATACATGAGATTGAATATGCAACGTCTACACATTGAAATGTACAGATATGTTGCACTGCAATAAAAACTTCGTTTGTATCATATTCATTTATAAATATATAAATATATCATCATGTCAAAACGCAAGCAATTTTTTTTTGTTTTGAAATACCATTTTTTCTTATTAAAAAAAACTTCATCATCATCATACTAAGTAACCAAGAACTGAAAGAGAAATTCTCTTCAACATTACATCATTACCATTTTAAGAACACAAAAGTAAAGAATCAAGCAAATACAACAAGACAACAACAAATGGAAAAAAGCTCTTATTTTTCTATATTCTTCTAGCGATTAATAAGCATTATAATAACATAAAACTTTTACAAAAAAAAAAAAAACAAAACATTTCAATTTTTAAAAAAACATTGAATTACACTTACTTTTCTTTATCATTTGACAACGAACGATTCAGCTTTATTTAAGTAGCATTCGCATGAACATTTCAAGCGTTATAGACATAAAATAAAAAAAATATATCGCGTTATAGATTACACAGAACATTGCTCATTTTTAGTGATCTCTTACAATTAGTTCATTTTTCTTCACCTAATTAATAGCAAACAAACAAACAATTAGATACACTTACCAATCCAGCTCTAACAATTGATTTTATTAGAATTTTGGAGCAATTTTACTACACTTCAGAAATGTTTTTTTTTTAATAAATTGAAAAAAATAAGCAACAAAATCGAAATTCAGCGATAAAGTAAGGCATTTTTTTGTCAAATAGTCAATTTTTGAATCATATGACTCAAGGGTTAATAGATGATTTAGTTGCATCTTCATAGCTGCTTATCAGAGTAAGCTCCATAAACTCCCACTTCAATGGAGAACGGATTTGAAATCATCCTTCTAAAAATTGGAAAAAAATTTAAAGTGTAGATTTTTTAGGTCTTCGATTTGTCAGAGACAGAGTTTATGCTAGATGAAATGACATAAATGAAGACATTTTTCCTAGAAAAATTTAAAATTATAACACAGACCACTTTTCTTCAACAATTTTGTTCCAATTATTTTCCGACTCGATCAGGTTTGATTATATTCGACTTATCATGCAATTCTTTTCTCGTTGAAATCAAGTTTTCAAAATTGTTCGGTCTTGAAAAATAATGTCCAATACATTTCTGAATGTGTAAAATGTTACTCGATTTTCTAAACACATAATACCAGCGTTGAAAATTTTTAATTTATTTTTAAGTCGAATAATGGCCCAATTGAATTTTGGCTTATTTATGCGTGCAAAAAAAACCTCATTTTGAATCACACATATTCACTCACGTTTTATCATCGCATATTTAATCATTGTAGAGATCTTGCACATTTTTTAAACAAATCACATAGCTCATCAGTTGATGCATTTTTAAAGAAGACGAAAAACAAAATAAAATGCTAAAATTACATTAAATTAATCCAACACAAAACATTAAAAAACCAATCAAGCAAAAAAAAAATTAATTAAATGAGAAAAAAATAAAAATCCTAGCCCGTTCTTTAGTTTTGTTATACTTTGTGGTGTCGTTTTTATCCTTCATATTTACTAACACTCAGACACACACACACACACACATACATTCACATTTATCGCAATGCAACGTTTTGTTTTCTCATTTTCGAAAATTTGAATGATTGTACATATAACTACAAATTGTATTTAGTAGAGAAGATTTTCGAGAATACTTTAAGTGCTTTAGGCATGTTTTTAAGGTGATTCATACTTTTATTGGTAGACTATATAATGTAGTGAAAAAAAACACGAGAAGGTGACTAATTACAGATTGAAACATAAACAACAACTAAAATAAATAGAGCAAATCTATGAGTAAAACTTACGCTGAAAAATGCAAAAACAAAACACATGTATAAAAAGAATAAACAGAGAAGAAGAATCATGAACAGCAAACAAGAACGATTATGATGGCAATTTATAATTAAGTCGCCGCTGTTTTTGGCAAATGCAAATTGTTAATAATATTATTTCAGGTTGAGTGCTAAACCAAATAAACTATTACGTTTAATTTTTTTTTTTGATTGAAAAAAACAAACAAACAATACACATGGATTGTGTGATCAAATGATAGCCATTCATCGAAAAAAATAATGATTCATAATTAAGGCTTGCGCAAATTGGGCTAGGTTTAAACAAATATATATTATACTAATAACAAAATGCAAATTCTTTTGAAACGAATCTTCTGATTAAAATAAAAAACGCAACACATTGACAAGAACATCAACATGAGCAAAAAAAAGTACTTTTTGAGTAAAAAAAGAGAGTAAACGGACCATTTTAATACTTATAAGGGAATAAATGCAGCAAAATATTAAAAAAAAAAAATTACATAAAACTACAACAAAAGCCTAAATGAAACAAATAAAGTTTTATTTATACGGAACGCCCATTAAAAGCTAAAGTTGTTTCATTCATTTGTTTTCAGCATAAAAATTATATATAAAACATTTCTTCTTCTTTTTTTTTTTAAATACAAAAAGAAGTGAGAGACAACACAGAAAAAACGCCATTTGCTCAAAATGCACATTGTTGTTTTTTTTATTATGAAATAGTGTATTTTTTAATGAGTTATCGCCATTGTTCTTGATAAAGTTTCATTTTTTAAATGTTATCATTTTGTTTTCTTTGTATACAAATACGTGACTAATGTTTTGTGTGTATATATAAACTTTTAAAAAGGGAAAAAAGGGATGACATTATCTCGGGCTATGTATACAATAAAAGTTTCAAATATTAATAAATTTTTATCAGCTCGAATTCGCATTTCGCTCATTTTGTTGTGTTTGTTTTTTTTTTTAAATAAATTGAACATCATTATTTGCAGCTTTTGTTATTTTGTAAATTTTTTTTTGTATGTAGATCGATTCATCATCATTGTTATTTATTTTGTCTTCTTAGGTTTTGTTTAACTCTTTGATTTTGTTTGATTTTCCAATCTGATCGAATAACAATGCGCAATTAACTGTTGATGGCTTCGTTGTTGATTTGCTCATCACTTGATTGTTGTTGGTGTGATTTTGATTCTGATTCGGATTCTGAATGTAATTGGCTTGCACCATTCGGATGATGGCAGCCATTTGTATTGGAATATTCACTGCTTAAATGTTCATTTTTCAGCAATAGCTTTTGTAATTGTATTTCAAGCTGTTGTGTGCCATTCGAATGTTTATTTTGTGAAATAATGTCAACATTTACGAATGTTGTCCATTCGTTTGTGTTTCCATCTAAATATTCGACAGTATTTAGGAAGCATTTACCGGAAAAACCACCAATGGCATAAAGTTTGCCAGCCACTTCAACCACTGATACATTGGCCCGTGGCGATGTTAGGCTTGGTCCCTGCGTCCATACTTTATTTATTTCATCGAATATCTCAGTCGTGCTCAAAGAATGTGTACCATCACTGCCGCCAACGGCATACAATTTTCCATTGAATTCGGCCAAACCGCAACCACGACGTGGTGTTAATAATGGTGGTGCAAATGTCCATATATCAGTTTCTGGATCATAGGTTTCAACCGAATTTAAACATGCCCATGCATCACTACCGCCCGCCACCCAAATCTTTTGCTGTGCCACCGTAACGCCAGCTTGATAGCGACCAGTATTTAGTGGTGAAATTGATGCCCATTTATCTTCGTTCAAACGATATACATCACATTGTTTGATACCAATTTGACCATTCCAGCCGCCAATACAGTATATATTATCATTTAATGAACAAACACCAGCATTACTGCGAGCCAATGGCAATTTACAACATTTTCGCCATTTCTTCTCGTTCGGTTCCAATCGTTCAACTGTATCTAATTCAGTTGTACCTATTATCAGCGACAAAATAAATTCAATTAATTCAAATAATCAGAAATATAATTTTCGTAAGAAGAACAAATCATAATTATGCGTACCATTACTTCCACCAATGGCATAAACAACATTATCCAAAACAGTAACCTGGAAACGACCCCGTGCCTCACTCATCTTAGTTTCATTGCTCCATTCATTCATTTCTGGATCATAGGACTCAACACTTCGTAAGCATTCACCACGATCGTAACCACCACAAACCTGAATTTAAGAAAAAATATCAACATTTGAGATGTAAAAGTGATTTAAATTCCATTCCAATTTCTTACCAATAATTTTCCATTTAATTCAGCAACACCAAGGCCACATTTTGGTCCGGACATTGTGGCAACTTCGCAGAAAAGTTCTGGTTCTTGATTTGTTTCAATGTCACCGTTGATGCTTCCATTTGAGCTGGTGTTGCTTTGACTGAGTTGTGATTGAATTGAGATGCCAGCACTTTCGGGTGCATGAACTGGTGATGGTGTTGTTGGCGGTAAATTTAATCGTAGCTGAACTGAAACTCTGGTTAACGCACCATTTATGGTTACCAATGATAAAAATGTATTTTCCGCCACCTTTGTTGAACCCAATAAATTCCAATCGGGTTCAATTTGATTTTGTTCATCGTCGCGTTGGCCAATATCACGTGAATAAATGAGTACGCGTGGTCGTACTGGTACGCCCATTTGTTTACGGCGACGATTTGTATTATTTGGACATTTCAATACGAGACGCTTATAATCTTGCACCAAATCGGATTCGGACTCATGACCGGGCGGTAAATTTGAACAATCTTGCAACGAATTATCCAACGCCAAATAGAGCAGATGCGAACGCTCAAGCAATTGTATCATGCCAACATTTTCCTCGCACACTTGACGCTTTATCCAATCGAGCACCAAACGGCACAACGATTGATGGGCAACCACAGACATATCCTGTTTTGTTTTGTACAATACATCGATCGTAATGCATGACAATTGTAAAAAGGCGGCGCTCATTTTTGACACATTTTCAAACTGGCAACAGAAAAAAAAAGAGATAACAAAACACAAGGTTAAACGTTTATCTATGGAACGGATTGATAATTATTTTCTTATAATTTGCGTCACATTGATTTTGAATCATAATCAAGTTATGCGTTTTTTTGTTTGTAAATAACACCAACTCAGGTAATGTGGAGGTGGAAGATGGTTTTTTATTTATTACCTCTCTCAATATGAAGTCATCGACAGCAAGTACAAATTGTTTGTTTTTGCTAATGCCAGGCAATGAACGAATGTCAATACACGAATCGGCTGACAGTTCATCAATCAAATGTCGCGCACATTCGCTAACAACTTTATCAATTTTCAATTGCCAAGCGGCCAAATAAACATCTTTTACCAATGCATCGGGCACTTCTAGTTGTGCTGTATATGCGTACTCGACCAAAATTTCCAGCGCAATTTTTGTGAGATAGCCATTTAATCGATAGCTCGGTATGCCATCATTACGTCCATTTTGAGTGACCTGCATGGGGGTGTAAAGTGTTTTAAATTCAAAGTCAAGGAATTTTTTTTTCAAGCACAATGAAAACAAGAGAGACTTGATTATTGCAGGCAAATAAATGAGTACATTAATGAAAGTTCAAGACAATATATGAAGTGATTGTATACAAACCTCCTCAGCAGAGAACAATTCCATTAAATGGGGTGAAACACAGGCGAGCACATTTCTGTGAGCATGAATGTCGGTGTTGTCGACCTGTTGTCGAAAAACAAAGCACATTGTATTAGCTTGTAGTTTTGCAATTACCAAAAAATTACAGTTGATTGTCTGAGTTGCGTTTTCTGTTCTTAATTTCGTTGAAATTTGTTTGTTCGTAATTAAAATGCAATTTATTTATTTTATTTTTTTCTCGTGAATTAAACTTACATTAAGCACAACATCGCAGAATAACCGATGCTTGCGCATTGTATTGAGCGTCTGTAGAAAAGATACTTTGAGTGTATCGTCGGTGAACTTAAGAAAACCGCAGTCTTCCATAGCATCGTCTGAAAAGAAGCCATTTGAGACAGAAAAAATAAACAGTGATTAAAAATGCAAATGTACAACACGTTTACTTTAAATTAAAAAGAAAAATCTTTGGGTTCTGTCCATAAATGAACACACCCGTTATGTATTTCAAATGCGACGCTTAATTTTATCGCATCAAGTGGTAAGTTTTAGCACATCTACGTTATATTACAAACAAAGTGGTCCAAAGCTTTATCTCAAAACACTAATTTTGACCGTACCCACAGTCGACCGCTTCAAATACATGCCATTCAAAATCAAATTATACTTAATTTGTTAGCAGAATATACGACTCGGTTTTTCAATAGTAAATCAAGCAAAATAAAAAAGCACAAATGCCTTGATTTTAAATTAGTAAAGAAAAACATAAAAGTGATAAAAAGTACGAGCGGAATGTCTAAAGCTGTTTTCTCTTTCCTTTTGGCGTGCCAAATATGGTCTATAAATTAATTAGCATTTGTGGAGTATTCCTACGTCTATAAAGTGTGTGTGTGTGTGTGTGCTTTTTTAACAACACGAAACGAAGAAGAAACCTACCGCTCTCGTAGGAAACTTTCATATCGAATTTGACGATTTTTTTCGTTCACTTTATTTTCTAATGGTCAGAGATGCAACATATAGAATGGTCATAGCATAAAGAGTTGCTTTTACTTGTACTTGTTAACTTTTTGCAGTGGTTTTTTTGGTGATTCATGTTATAATTTATATAATTGATGCGTTTATACATGTGATTGCAGACTTATCGCTGGCTGTTAATCAAATTAGAACACAAATTACATCTTGTATATTTCAAAAATGAAAAAAAAATTGAAAAATGAACAATATTTTATTGATAAAATGTAACCGACAATCGGTTGTGTCAATATAAAAATGGATATCCACCAGGCAAATTTAAATTGATAAGATAAACAATTTTTCATTACCACATTCTGTTTATGTTGACTGGATTTATCACTTGTGAGTAAATGTGTGTTTATCGCGAATGAAGAAAGATGAAAACGAATAGTTGAAAGAAAAACAAAAAAGAAATTTATTTGAAATTAAAATTAAAAAAATGTCATGTCATCTTCTTTAAATGTCACCGTACAGTGAGTAAATGATTATAAAATTTAATATACATGTTATGAACTTGACTGAATCAACACATCGAAAATAATAAACAACCGAACGTTCCGATTGTATTGTTTGAATAGACCAAACAAAGGAAATATAATTTACTTTGACGGAAAAGTGTTCACGTTTGCGCTACGGTTCGTGCTGAAATGTCTATGATATGCTTGCATATTAGGGGTGTAATAGATAGCTAAGAATAATCAATTAAAATAGCCATGTGCATTACGCCGCATAAAGTGACCAAAACAAGTGCTTCGTACTTTCGCAACCTATAATCAAAGTGATTGCAACATTTCTATTTTCACGGTAAAACACATACACTGTGCGCTCCCTCCGTCCGTTTCTCTATCTCTCTCATTTCATTAAATTATACACATTTTATTTTCGTTTCGTTTGTCATTTCAAATAAAAGACATTTGTTCAGTTCGATTTTATACTTCTTCTTCTTCTTCGATTTTTTCCCTTTTCATTGCGCTTTACACCTTACTGCATCGCAAAACACCCACGTACATTGTACGTTTAACAAATACATACAGTATAAGACAGGCACATGTGATTGCGAAGCAACACGTTGGAAAGACGGAAATAATAATTGGTTGTTAAAGACCTTGTCCATTATAATTTCATTTGTGGTTTTGTAGCTAATTTAAATGGAATCATATATGGAATATATGTTATATGTATATATTATAGAATATTGGAAGCACAAAAAGTGATGGCGTTGCATTTGCTTTCTAATTGTTATTATATGCTGTGTATATTTGTATGTCGGTTTATTGTATTTATATTATCGAGCGCCCAGGCAACATGAAAACAAACCAACCGCCTGTTTTTTTTCTTTTTTCTTCTTAAATCGATATTTTTTAATTTCAACCTATACCAAATGGTACCTACATAAAAAATGATATGATGCTATATCATTTTTTTCCTGCTTTAGTTGTCATAAGATGATAAATTCAATCATCAACGTGATATTCTTTTGCTTTATTATTATGAATTTTTGAGTCGTTAGAACCAAAAGATGGAAATTGCTTAGTGATAGTTTCAATAGAACCTATATGATCAGTACACTATTCATGATTAGATAAGCAACTGTCCAGAAAAGAAGAAGGAACAAAAAAAAGAGAACAGATTGAAAGTGAAACTATTTTATCTGAATTAATTTTCAAGACTTTTTGCGCACTTTTTGAATTACGTCAACTTTTTCTTTCCAAAACAATGTGAGTGCCACTTAGAATGTTCTCAATGCTTGAAAAAATATGAGTATTTGATGATTTTATGTATTTATTTGACACATTCATTGTGGATTTATTGCAACTGTTATGCTCAATGTTAAAGCTTTGTATTTTCGCTATATTTTAAGCAGCTTTACACAACTTTGCAATAATTTTAACGTCTACTTGTGACCAAAAGCAATGACAGTGATTTGAATTTAATGTAGTCTCTGTCATCTGCGAACTTACAATTGAATTAAAACGGCTGACATTCGAAAAACAACTTTTTTCGCCACAATAATAATAACTTAATACTTACCACCGATGGAGTCTTCGATTCTTGGTCTCATTTTGAGTGTGATTGATGTGGAAATTGGTGATGAAAGTGGTTGTTGGTTGTATATCCGATCGTTTCCAGTTGATATGAATTATATCACCTGCTCAATCTCGGCTAGTTACCAGATCAATGCAAGAGATGGAAATAAAAGAACTCTCCATTCAAATGATCACAATGAAATCCATGTGGTGTGTTTCGGTGGTGTGAACAAAATTGTCGAAATATTGTGCAGAAATGTATGCATTCAGAATTCTTTTAAACTGAATGTCATGTGCACACAATACGACGCTTTTTGATATAATAAATCACAATAAATTTGAAGACAATTATCGAAGTTCAACTCAATCGCTTCAAAAAATGAATCAGCATTAATTTCATGTGATATGTTGTCATCTAACACCTGTTTTTTTCGTCGTTCAAAAGAATAAATAAAAGAGAGATAAATAAATAAAAATCATTTAAAACCAGATATGGTGCAGAACAGACTATAAATAAAGTATAGACGTAATATTCCAATTGTACAATGAATTTGTTAAGACAATCGGAATTCAATCGAGATTTTAAACGTATCAAAAAGCCAAGTCATAAATAAATTTAGCCTACTGATTGCGAAAATCCCAAAAAAATACACACTCATACAATATTCACGGTGACACAGCGCACGCGACAATATATATATTCATCTCTAAATTCGTTTAACATATAGATTCTGTATAGCTAATACTATGCACACACACATCCACTTCTTAAAGTAATGCTGAATGTGAATGAACTCACAAAAATGGTACGCAAAAAGAGCACACTCAACAAAACAATGGATTAGTTTTCATGTGGCTCTCGATTTTTCTTCTTTTTCTATCCGATCTTCTTTTTTTTAATATATAAATTCCGTCTATCTCTTCATACAAAAACGTATATATTCTCTGTCTTATTTTGTGCTGTTGTTCTCTCGAAAAATCGACGCATTTTCAAGGATTCTTATTCAATATTTTTTATTCCGTATTCAACCGGTATTCAGTGCATAGATGTATTGAATGGATTTTGTATGCTATGGAACGTTGTTGTTTTTACTTTAGAAAAAAAGAGACTCTTCTTCGTCGTCTGTGCGATTTTAAATGGATATTAAATGAGCACTCATGGCAACGTCGCTCAACTGATGCCTCTTGCCTATGTGCCTCAAATCAATTGCCTCTTGCCTATGTGAGAAACACTGTCAATCGTCTGATACACGTTATACATTGTATTTTGTACGCTCTTTCATTTGGCTAAGCGCTCTTTTGTTATTGTACGCATATCATTCACGTGATATGAATGGATTTGATATAAAAATGTGCTCATTTTATTCTGACATAACACAAAAATGAAAAGAGAAAAAAATGTCGTGAATAATGACGACTTGATAAAAAAAACAATAATCTGTGAGCACTTTATATCGAGTTGAGATCACATGAGTTATCGTTTAAGTAAAAAAATTAAATCAAAAATTTATTACGGATATGTTTGAATAAAAACCGACCACGTGTTTCATAGCAAAAAAAATTAGCACGATGCAAAATTCAGAACGACATAAAAGACAAAAAAAAATTGGCAAATAAATAGGGGGATAGAGAGAGATAGAGAGAGTGAAATAAAAAGAGAGAAAAATAATTCGCACATTATCATTACGAAACGGTGTTGTACGAACGCACAGTGTGAGTTGTTTGTTGTGTTTTGATTTTTTTTTTTTTAAACAGTACCGAGCACGTTTTTCGATTATTCTCTATTGTTATTTTAGAACGTACCGAACAGACGAAGGAAAAAAACCGATTTTTTTTATCGCTTTACGGTTATGATGATGAAAGGAAGAGAAATATTCTAGACAAATTCACAGTGGAAATCGCTACTGATGATTGAAAATCACACTCAACTCAATCGACATGAAAAAATTGTCATGGTTTTTCTTCTTCTTCTCCTCCTTGTGTATATGTGTTCTTGAAATATCAAGTGACACTTACGGATTTTCGGTATGGAACGTGGAAGAGCAAAAAAATAATGAAATGGTTTTGCCAATGTTTCCAATCGATGTGTTTCTTCACTGTGTCTCTCACTTTAAATTGTTTATTTCATTCCTCTTGTCTGTTCTTTTCTGTTCCTACAAAATTTGAAACACGAAAATAAAATACAAACAGTCGAGCCACGGAAGTCAAAGCAAAAAAAAACAACAATAACTTTAGAAACACGCGAATACACTCAATGGCACCTACTGGAACGTAAATTTATCAACTAATCGAAATGTAACCGCGGAAAAAAGTCAAACACAGTCGGGAGAGCGCAATATTGAGAGAACTTATATTATTTATGTATATATGAGTAAATAAATAGAAGCAAAACGAAGAACTGATATATGTCGAGGAGAGAACAAAACGTTGACAGCCAACGACCAAAACGAACGATATTACGATACGCAGACAGATATAACGCGCGCGATTTGTTGTGTTATACTATATGTCGAATTCATTCTTTCTGTCTCCCTTGTTGCCGTTCTTTTTCTCCATTGCCGTCCCACTTTGTCCCTGGTGTCCGTGTTTGTTCTTTCTTGAGCACACCGATTTTGTTTTTAAATGTGAAACAGAAAACTGAATATTGAAAACAATCGATGGAATGAAAAATCGAAAACTTAACAACAAATGCACTGTGTCACACCAACATGGTCACATACATATATACACATGCATGCAAACCGACACACATACTAAACTCCAATTCAAATATGACAGATTTACTTGGATAGTGAAAAATTGACAAATAAAATCAAATATGCTACATGCCTTCCTCGTCTCGATTTTGTTTGGCGTTTTCTCTTATTTTCGGACCAAATTCCACGCACGAAACACGACAATGATGAAGTTTTTTTTATTTGTTACACACAAACAGAGAATAAGTTTTATCTACATGCGCGCAAATTCAAAGCATACAGTTTCACCTTATGCGAATCTATCAACGATTTGGTTCTTCATCAAGAGGCATCTTTTTTTTATCTCGCTCTCTCTCTTTCTTTCATGCGTATCAATTCTCTTTTTGTTTGTGTTTTTTTTTCTTCTTCTTTCTATCTATGTCTGTTTCCGAACTTCTTTTCGACTGTTTTGCGAATTTGATGATGAATTGTTGGATGTTTGTGTTTTTTGAACTTTTTCTGTTGTTCTGAACCCGTATAAAACGTTTTAAAGCTCAATCTCTCTCGTTTTCTCTCGCACGCACATACACACTCTTTCTTTCTCTCTTTCTTTCTCTCTCTATCTCGCTTACTCTCTTTCCCTCTCGCTCACTCTATCACTCACAATCGAGTTATTTTATTCGGTGTTTCACATAACACTGTAGCACTAAAAACGGTTTCCATGTTATTTGCATTTGGATTTTTATGGTTTTGTGGCTTGTAGTTGGATTGTCACTTTATTTGTTATTCGATTTGTGTTGTGTTTTTATTCTCTATTCTTCACACTTTGCAACAAGAGCAGCAATAAAATGGAAATGTGCGAGTAATGTCGACTCTCGATTCTAGTCTGAGCTAATCGGATCAAACTAGCAATAGCAGTAGTAGTGCCAACGCGCCGATATTCTTTGTATAGGTGCGTTTTTTTTTCTCTCTCAATGTTTTGTGCGTAGTTATTTTGGGGTCTGTTGGCAGCAACGGCAGCAACCTTATGAAAACATGTTGTGTGTGTGCATGTTTGCGTACGAGTTTGTGTTTGTGTACATGTGTGACGAACCAGCGCGGCGCGACGACGAAGATGACGATTGAATATGTTGTTGCGTCTCTTTTTATCCAATAAGTGAATATCGTCTAATCGCGGTCATGCCGTGTCAAGCTTCATTGTTATTATGTTGGCAGCGCACAACACACATTTATAATAGAATCAAATTCAAACAGCAACATTGTATGGCATTAAATTGTATGTGTGTATGTTTATGTTATTAAATCGATGCTTCCACTTCGTTCGAAAGAGTTCCATGGAAATTTCCTTTACAATTAAACGCGCGAACAAATAAAAACGTGCTCTGTCACGCGCGCGCTTCATAGGGTCTTTTTTTTGCTATGCACAACGTGAAATGAAACGCAATAACCAATCGATTTGTCATCAGACAAATTTCAAATGTCACAAACCGTTGACAAATGCAAACAAAACATTTAATTTCTCATTTTCCAATGAATTATTCTTCATTTTTTTGTTGTTTTTGTTCCTGTTTACACAGACGATTTTTATTTGCTTCCGCATTCGGATGAAGTAATGTATCGCGTGACTTTAACTCGTGCATATTAAACAAAACATTCGGTGAATACTGTAATTTTGCTTGGAAAATCCATAATTTTTGAAAACATGCTCTTCAAATGCGCCTTTTAGAAATTTTGTCACACAAACCATGGTGATAACAATAAAAAAACAACAACATTTTTTCCAACAAGTCATACAATGATGAAGAACATTGTACATGGATACTGCATCGAAAACAAACGAAACAACAATATTCACTTGCCTTTTACTTTGACCGGTCATTCAATCCACAGCAAAATCCTTGAAATTACCAAAATACAAAATGATTGATTGTATTACAAAAAAAAAAGAAGAAAACAACGACAGCACAACACGTTACAATGCACACTACAACAAAAGCCTCTACTTTGTTCAAGCTAAGAATATAAATCAAGAGTGAAAGCTGCTTTACAAGAGATCAATATATAAGCTACAAATGAAAGCCAAATGCATTTTTTTTAAATCGATTCGCATCTGTTTGGTTTATTTTTGGGTTCGGTTGAATGAACTTAAGCATATATATTTTATGTTTTGGGCATTTTGATTTGAAATTCATTGTTTGGATTTGGACTCTGGAATAATTCCACGGGAATTCTTCTTTATATTTTTAAGTGTAAGCGCTTACTAACTATTTTTCGGGTGATTTAAGTCACAATTGCAAATTATTGTCTGAAAAATTCGGATTCGTATCCATTTACGTTAATGGATTGGGTGATATCAATCAATTCGGCAGCAGTGAACAATCCTTCATATTTTACTGCAAGTTCTTTGAAGTCTTCAATCGTCATTCGGTTGAATCGAATCAAATAAATGCAATCGCCCAGCGCCTCTCTTAACAGTTGACCTTTATTTTCAGCATTTCCAGAACCTCCCCTGGTGTCGTAATCAATTTTGCAGTTAGCCCAAGCTATACACCTGTCGAATATGATTTTCTGGTCGCATTCCAACAGATTCAACTGTAGTATTTTCTTTAGTGTGTATCGATCTCGATAAAGAAAATCATCGTGTTGTATTATCATTTCCATTTTATTTGAAGTAATACACTCGTCACATCGTTGTTTCAATTCCGTTATTTCGTATTCGTTTGCCAATTCTATCAGATCAAAAATGTTTTTGGGCGATAGTGTACATTTATTCAGAAAATCTACACAAGTTTTCATACAATCGGGTGCAACGAAAATTTTCGCCAATTTCATAACACCAGCAATATTGCCCATTTTAAATGATACATTGCGCATGTAGAAGCATCGAAGAAATTCTTCGAATGGGTCGGGCGATATGTTGTAAATCCTGATGTCACCTTCCTTCTTTGTTGGGCCATAAAACATATCGTGAAACATTTGACTAGCTGAAGCTAAAATGGATTTGTGTGCGTAAAATAATGAACACGGCCACCCTCCTGGTGTAGATTTTCGAGGTCTGGAGTCTGGACGCGACGATATAAAAATTTCCACGTCTGACGTTTCGCGATCGTTGTACAACTTTGCACAGGCATTTTCATTCATTTGGCATTCGTACGTTCCATCTTCATCATCACTGGAATCATCATTGCGAAAGGAAACAGCACGAATTTCGTACAACATTACAAGTTCATTTCCATTGTCCCAGCGAAAATCTTTCTCAGAAGCGTCATCGGTTTCGGATTTAGAATCGCTGTCGTTTTCTTCAATTTCACCACGTCGACGTCGTTTGGTGGCCATATTGATTTGCTTGTGTCCGATTTGTTAATTTGTTTGTTCTAAAATATGAACCAGAAGCATTTCGACATTTTCATATTGCAATTAAGTTGTTAACAGTGACTGAATATTTTGGGACAAATTGGATATTTCAGCTCATTTGGATAACTTCAGGCTCTGATATCGAGTGAAAACAATAGAAGTGATTGTTATAGTAGTAAGAGTATCAGCACCTGACATTATCTAGATGAGCTGAAATATCTAGTTAGATGACAGTATCGAAATATATTGACTGTAAAAATAAACAGCATCAAAGCGTCCCAAAATAATCGACCGACTGACTGGTTGACGATAATCGATTGTTTCCTTATAAAACATTTCAAAAATAATGAATTTTGTCAACTTACAGTCAATAGTGACTAGGTCACTTTTTTCCACACGTGAATTAACTAACTATTCTATTTACCTCGTAACTAAAAGAAGCCGGCAAAATATCAATATGATTCTGTGTGCAATGTGTATTCAATTTTTGCTTCAAAACGCGTATCTGTCACTTAAACGCAAACACATTGAATAAATGAAATTACAACCATGCTCATGATCAAAGTTCAATCAACAGGCGATCGCATGCTTCTAACCAACAGATGGCATAGTTGTATTCAAATGAGCATTCCATTGTATGCACAACTTTGCATACAATGGGGTGTATTTGAAAATCTCTGTCAATTTCATAACAGCAGGACTGTTGCGTGGTTTCAATAAGGCATTACGAAAATAGAAGCACCGAAAAATTGGCCGAATGAATCGAGACACACGTTATAGATGTAAAGGTGACATACCTTCCTTCTTTTTCTCTGGGTCATAAAACATTTTCCATAAAATATGTCGATTATACTTATTGAATTTTCATGTAAATTATCACTCGATCTCCTGTTTCTGATCGAAAGAGGGCACTTCATTATTACATTCAAATGAGCATTCCATGCAAAGCAAAATAAAAAAAATGTTCCCGTTTAATCTAATACGTAAGCGGAATTTTATTAACAATCTTTTTTTTTGTGTTTCTAATATAAAAACTGCTCAAATTTAAAATCGCTACATGGTTGATGAATACTTTTTGCCATTTGTATCATGAAAAAATCGTAACGAGCTTATAATTAGAGTTTGTTGAATGGAAATGTTTGAGTTCGTTCAAAGTATTTTAAGTCTTTTCTCCAGCCAGTAGCGGTAGTTATAAATGTTTGTAAACAGATGCGGCGATGTGATGTGATCGATGTTTGTTGAGTCATTCATCCATGCCAGCAGACCGTATAATACATAATAATGGTACCTATCGCCGTTTCTTTCACTTTGCTCGTGCAAACATATCAAAGAAGCGCCGTTTGATCGCTGCAAAAAAATAAAAAAACAACAATTATGAATAAGTTTAATGACACGGTTACTTATCATTTTGATTAAGTCCATTTCACGCATGAAAATTGAATGAATGAAATAAAAGATGCAAAAACAATGTGTAACGTGCAAGAATGCTTTGCAACTGTTTCTTTTTCGGGTTATTCACATTGTTAAGAACAGAACATTGAAATTGAAACTGCGCGAAAACCGCCATAAGTAGAGCGTAGAATGATCTTTATCTAAATACGATATTTAGAATACACGATCGAACATTTAGCCTTTCGCCAAATCATGATGCATATTTACCCTCATTTCTTTTCTATTCAGCGTTTTTTTTACTGACCCATTAGTATTTGCTCCACTTTATGCTCAAATGAAATATTCTTTTTGAAGTGATTTGTTTATTTCATTTTTCATCAAAAACATATGCAAACTTCCTGTAACCAAAGTATACTAATACAATAGGCAATTCTACTTATCTCACTTGAGATGAATGGAAAAATGTCAGCCTCAATGTAGCTAAAGTCAGAAATTTGGGACGCATATTGAATATACACGATTTTAACTGCAGCAAACCATAGGTGTGACGCTTAAATTGATCGTTTTCATGTTTTTTTTTCCACAGTAAGAGGCGAAAGCATCACTTGGAAAATCACCATTCTCAATGATCACATCAGTATAACTGCATAATTAATGTTGTCACAAATGTTTCAATTGACCACAAATTTAAAATACTTTCACCGGAGAAAGAATTAACCTTTATTTCTCTTTTTCTAAAGTCTTCTTTATTTAACGTAATCCAATGATCGTTTTAAATTAAAAAAAATGTTTCTTTCGATTCTCAATAATTACGTGTGGTTAGAATTTAAAAGAAAATCTTTACTCGATCTACTTTGATCAAAAGCAGTCAAACTTACAATTTTAATGCCTTGTCCGTTTGTATGACCGGCGCAAATGTTTTGTTTGGGAAAGAATATTTGTAGTCGATTTTGATGATTGAAAATGTCTCTGCATTGATCAACTTCGAAAATGTGAATGTTTTCGGTGCGTTCGATGAGGCTGTGTAACAAAAAGAGGCGAAAAAAAAAACAAATAAATGTATATTTGTATGATTAATAACCGACCATAAATTCCATTAGAATCGCAGAATCGCTTAATGCGTTATCATTTACCGTCCGTTAACATATTCGAGCGAAGTGACAAAACATTTACGATTGGCCAAACCCTGTACAGATTCTTGATACTTTGGTAGGCATGAGGTGGCAATTTGTGAATTTATTTCCATTTCTTTGTTCAGTATCAGCAAAGCCTGAAAAATTTCGTGTCGAAAATGAGAAAAAAAAGAGTTAAAAAGAACTTATTACTTAATTGCAGCGACAACGACGTAGAAAAATGACGTTTTTTTTTTAAATAATGAAAAGAATACAGGAACAAAAAAACTCGCAATAATCCGGTTTTTTGTTGTTGTTAAACGTACCATGTTAAAACGCAATTTCTCAAATCGGTCCATGTGATTGTCCGGCAATATAATTTCGGATACGTTGCGAATTTGATACAAATTCTGAAATGTGTCAACCGTTTCTTTCATTTTCACATAAAGTTTGTCGTGTGAATACCTAAAGTGCATAAAATGTGTGCGATTGTTACGAGAGTACAACAAAACTTAAATTATCATTCTAAAAATAGAGTTGTTGTTGTTCTGGTGTTGTAAAGGCAACATTGATTCTTAATAGCATCACTTACGCTGAAACGCATTCGAGTGTGGTGAGAACGGCTCTTGGATGAACCAACGAGCCAAGACACACGAATTTCTTGCCGTTGCTCGAAAATATTTGCACCAATGACTTGATTCGCAGGTTATTGACATTGCTAGCATATGTTGTATTCGCAATTTCGCATTGAAGATAATTACCAGTGTAATTGTCAAAATTGGACGATGTCGATTTTTTCGATATGATACGTTTTCGACAGCACATATCTTCACAGCTTCTAGCGATCAGGAATCTAAACAATTGGTGATTATTAATTTTTTTTTCGTCGTATTTGTTGTTGTTGTTCATTCGTGTGCGTGCGAGACGTGTGCAAACATAATGGTGATGATGATGAACGAGAAATATAAAAATAAAAACCACAAACAAAAAGACAGCAAAAACCATGAACTGTATGTGTTAATTTTCATGTTCTATTCTAGAATGGTTATAGGCAAATTGATTTAGAGTTCTCACCTTGATCTTTTTGTTTGGTGCGAAAATCGACGAGCCAGACAAGTATATCGGCTGCAATTGCAATTCGAACCGTAGACTTTAACCTTTGCTTCGGCCAAACAATCGTCTTTCTCTGGCGTCTACAATCTCAAAATGAATGAACAAAAATCAAAAATAAAGAGAGAGAGAAAAAAAAACAACAACAAAAACAGCACTGTTATTAATTCTTTCATTCTTATTTATTTTCAAATGAACAATAAATCATCAACTTTGTTTTTGTTCATTGTCAAAACGTACATTTTTGATGAGAATGTTTCGTAGATCGTTCACAAGTAATGCACGCAATCGAGACGGTTGCAACCCACTTTCATCCGTTTGTGATAAGAGTTTAATATTTTCAATCACTTGATTTTGATTTGGTAATGTGGTGCAAAACACTTGAAAACCATTGATAAATATCACAAAGGTCAGTATTTGGTGCCCAAAACTGAAAATACGGGCCATTTTTTTGAAAATCGATTATAAAACACACATAAAAAAATTGATAAATTTTTATGGAAAAATCACGTCAATTATCACTGGTTCACTATTTGCTATCGGATTTAATTTGTTGTTGGGCTTTTCCAATCACATTCGAAACCGTCCGTGTATCAATTACAAATGATGATGATGTTGAGAACTTTTTACATTTTTTGTCATTTGATAAGCCACACGGTTCTTCTTTATGGACGGAGAGAGATCAACGGAATGATCGGTGTCTTTTCTTGTGTGGCACAAGACGAATGCCTCAAACTAACAGTTGCCAACGACACGAGAACCAAAGAAAAAAGAGAACGGAAAATGGAATGAAAGAGATGGAAAGCGGTAAGATCGAAACGAAAGCTGAACGATGGCGAAGTTGAGAGTGAGCCCGCTGACAGAGGAAACCAACTAACTGTAATCATGTGAAGAATATAATTGATTTCAAACCAAAATCGAAGTGAGAGAACACTTTTTTGAGATCGTTGTGGACAACGTCGACAACGACAACGACGACGATAAACAACAACACACCGCGAAAGAGAAAAGAAATCGAACCGTTTGTGTTTTACACAGAATATTTTTTTTTTCCTTTTCCTACCGATGATTTTGCGTTCTCTTCTTATGACGTATCTTTGCTGGTCGTTTTTCTCTCGCTCGCTCTCTCTCTCTCTGTTCTCAGTCCATTCTGATCTGTATTTTGTTGTGTTGATGATGGTATTTTTTTATTGTTCAGAGTGATTTTGTGCTCGCGCGCACATTCGATTCGATGGTTGAACCTTTCAATTCATTTGTGAGCGCGACCAGAAAGAAGATAGATCGTCATCATCATCATCGTCGTCGTTGTCGCCGTCGTCAGACACTACAGCATTCAACAAACGTTTACGATCCACTTCATCGAAGGGTCCAGAATTGGTGCATCGATTTTTTTCGCGTTATAATTGGCGATTTTTTTTCTACATTCGTTCATAATATTATTTGCAGTCGTTTGTTTGGCCATTTTCAAAGCCGGGTTTAAGTTCTGGCCGTGCTAAGCATTCGGGTCGCGCGCGCATACGACTGTCGTATTTTATTTTGTCGTTTGGTATAAAAAAAAATCTGCTTCTTTCTTTGCTCTGCATTGTGCGCCTTCTTTATAGTTTGGATACGTGCGCGCATTTATATATACGTTCTGATTCGCCTCATGTATTTAAAAAAACTTATGTGTGTTCTTCTTCGGAAAAAGCATGATACACCAAAGCCGATATAAATTGTAATTGGTATTTTTCATTCTTTTTCAACATATTTCTGTTGTTGTTGTTGTTTTTTTTTTGCTCGACGATTTTTTTATTCGTTCATTCGTTCGCTCATTCGTGTGTGCAAAACTTACTTCTCGGTTTTAATGTTTTCGCTTTATTTCTGTGTGTTCTCATTCTTCTTTTGTTCGGTTGATTCTTATGCTAAAATGTTTCCATTCTGATCGCCTTTTATGATGTTGATTATTATTTCCCTTTTTTGCCTCTACATCAGCTAATATTGTGCTCGCTTTATTGTTCGTTGCCTCTGTTTGTGCCTTCATGTACAAAAAGTATGTATGTGTGTGTGCGAAATTCATGAAATCGTTTGTCCTAAATGGATGAATGGGGGAACTTTAAAAAGAATAAAAAATAAAAATAAATCACAAGCTTTGGCCGTTTTAAAGTTTTACACGAATTAAATGTATGAAGAATGAACGAGACTCGCGCGCCAAATTCAGCACAAGGACTCTGATCGATTGCTACAGTAACGTTCAATTTGAATTTTATTCTTTCGTGTGTTTTTTTTATGGGCGCACATTCTTGGAAAGTTCTGTCTTGCGTACATACATGTACATTGTACAATCAAAACATTACTGAGCAACACTTATGTAATTGTGCAATTGTAATGCGCATGCGTCGTAATAATGATGATAATACGGTGTGTTTGTGTATTTGTATGTAGAAGATTGCACATTCACTGTTACTTGTAGGCGAATGTTTGTGTATGTTATTGTTTGTGCGCACGACATTCGTATCGTAACATACATCCGATGGCATGTTGACTAGTAAAAGCAAAGGGCCACGATTAGAAATGACAACTCTAACAAAAGTTTTGAATTTATCAAACAGATATGTACATACACATACAAAGTGCCCCCATAAATCTGATCAATTCAATCAATTGTTTAAAGAAATAAAGAAAAATAAAAACACATTTATTTGCTCAAATGCGACATTGTTTACGATATTCATTGAGTAATCAACGATTGAAATACAAACGAGCTATTAACTAACCATAAGCGAAATTTCAACGAAAATTTTAAACCATCTGGTGATGCATGACCAATAGCAAAACGAGTGTCGAGTGTGAGTGTCGGTTGACATACATGCATACATACTACGAATTTTAACCGAGAATTTCGTGCGAGAGTGACAGATTCCGTGACAGGGAATATAGAAAAAAAACTCAAATGACAAACAAAAGAAAAAATATCGACTAAAGGTGAGAAAATTTGTGTTTTTGGTATTTTTTGTTATTTTCTCGATACAAAAGCGAACAAATCAAAACGCATTGCTATTTTTACTGTACGCAACGACAAAGAAAAAACAAATTGAAAAACGAAGCAAAAATCGAGCAAAGACGAAAAAAAGCATAATCTTCGATTATTAAGATTGGCGCTTTTCTTTTTCCAATCATCAATAGAATATCGTTGAAGGGCAAAGAGAGAAAAAAAAAAGAAACAAACTCAATCATGCCAATTGTAAATATTATAAAGCGAGCATCCAACTACATACTTGGATCAGAAGAATTGGATGATAAAACTGATACAATATTCGAGGATAATGAAGTGCTTTTTTGTAAAAATAATGTATGTGTACATCCGCCAGCATTGGTTCGACAAGAATCGGATATTTTACATTATCCAGGCTATTTGACAGTGACAACGAAAACTTTTACGGATCAATACAATAATGCAAAACGACCAACGCTACTGCTTACCTGGATTCCGAATGCAACACTCCGAAAATGTCCGTCAACCGTGGAAAACAACGGTTTGCCCGTATCAATGATGAACAATAGTGCAAGTAATATGACGGTGGACAGCATTCATTCATATACGGATGAATTAAAACAGCATAAACTTTATAATCAAATATCCGATTGGAATAGTAAAAACACCTCACAAACATGCCTCGAAACATCGATACCAATTTTTAACAATACAAATCCATTTTTGGATCCGTATCTGTATGAAAGCGAAAAATTGGCAACCGAAAATATGGACACAATCAGCGTTAGTTCAAATTCAGATCGTGCTAGTAGCAGTGGTGTTCATAGCACATACGGCGGTGATACGGACACACATCATGATGATGATTGTGCATATACCACCGACGATTTGAAAAAATCAATGCCAAATGTTGAAGAAACGGAAGAAGAAAAGGAATTAAAACGTGAACTTGAACCACTTATCGAAACCGATGGCGATAACAAAGCGATTGTTGTGATTAATGCAGCCAGACAAAATGTTAAAACATTGCTATTGTCACAACCGAAAAATCAACAACTATTGACTTCAGTCAATATCACAATAGCCAATCCACAAATTCACAATCAAGACTTATCACCGGACGAGCAAAATGTTAAATTGATGCGAACACAATCGATAAGTTCGGTTGAAGAGACGACAACATCAAATTGGATGACACCCGAATTACTTGCCTACAAGCATAATTTAGCATTTCCGGATAGTGTGACATCGTCACCAGTGCTCACACGTAATGTGCCAATGAAATGTCGTCGATTTTCGGTGGATTTGAGTCAAATGCGTTCGCTTCGACTATTTTTTAACGATGAAAATTGCACATCGGGACAATTGGTGATTGCATCACGTGAATCACAGTACAAAATTTTACATTTTCATCATGGTGGTCTCGATCATTTGGCACAAGTTTTACATCAATGGCATTGTTTATTGCACAATATTAAATTGGCGCCGGGCGTTTTTGGTCATGACGAACACAATTTACCCTATCGACAGTTTATGGTATGCCGTCCAGAAGTTAAAAAATCTGAACTACATCCCGATGAAGGAAACGTAAATAAAATTACAACTGACTATTTTTATGGCACACTTCTCAACGAAAAAGGACAAATTGAAGACGATTTATTACTACGGAAATGCGTTTTCTTTGGTGGACTTGAAAAAAGCTTACGAAAAACGGTTTGGCCATTTTTATTGCATTGCTATTCATTCAATTCGACATTTGAAGATCGCGCGCTACTTATGGACATTAGAAAACAGGTTTGTTTATAGCCGAACAAAAATATTTACTTTCTCTTTCAAATGGACATCTCTTTTTTTTCAATTTCAACAGGAATACGAAGAGCTATCACGACGCCGACTATATTCAATGTCACCAGAAGAGCAGGCTCATTTTTGGCGTTGTGTTCAGTGCATCATTGAAAAAGATGTCGTACGAACCGATCGAAGTAATCCATATTTTGCTGGCGACGACAACCCAAACATCGAAAGCATGAAAAATATTCTATTGAACTATGCTTATTATAATTCAGGCACCTCGTAAGTATTGTTTGTTGTAAGAAATTTTTTGACTTTTTAAATCGAGTTTTGTTCAACAACAAAACAAAATTGATAAAAAATAATTGATTAAACATTTTTTTTGTCAACATAGATACACACAAGGCATGAGTGATTTGTTGGCTCCCGTCTTGTGTGAAATAAAAAATGAATCTGAAACCTTTTGGTGCTTTGTTGGACTGATGCAACGAGCGTTTTTCGTATGCACCCCTACTGATAATGACATCGACAAAAATCTCGTAATAATCTCAAGCTACCATAAAATATGCACTTTTGCTCACAAATTATTCGATTTTAAAACCAATTTTATTTTTATTTGCAGAGTTATTTACGAGAATTAATACGAATTATGGTACCAAAGTTTCATGTACATCTTGAAAAATATTCTGATTCAAAAGAACTGTTGTTCTGTCATCGTTGGATATTGCTGTAAGTAATGTTTTAATTATTACCAAGAAAAAAAAAATATAATGCAAAATTAAATGTTTATTATTTATCGTTAGTTGTTTCAAACGCGAATTTACCGAAGCGGTTGCAATACGAATGTGGGAAGCATGCTGGTCGAATTACCTTACAGACTATTTTCATCTATTTTTATGCTTAGCCATTATTGCCGTTTATGCAGATGATGTGGTGGCTCAAGATTTACGAACCGATGAAATGCTCTTGCATTTCAGTTCATTAGGTATGCGTCGTCAAATGCCATGTAGAATGACGAATCTGAAGTAAACAATTTAATAAATTAATACTTTGTGTCTCTGTTTCGTTACCCCAGCAATGTATATGGATGGTCAGTTAATTTTGCGAAAAGCGCGTGGATTACTTTATCAATTCCGACAATTGCCAAAAATACCATGTACACTATCGAATCTCTGCCGACGATGCGGACCAGGTAGATTACATTTAATTTCCAATAAATCGATATCAAAATTAATATACATTTGAATTAACTACTTAAGGTATGTGGGATTCGGGTCATCATCCAGCAATCGAATGTATCGGTCACACCGACGACGATCATTGCATCTTAAGCGATGATTAAAAATCTAGCTAGCCAAAAAAAAATGTATCAAAAGTTTATCACCAAACGTTGCTGTTCGATGCAATAACGCTAAAATTATTATTATTTATTTTATTGAATAGCAAAATAATATCAAAGAAATTGGTTTTGCAATTCACATTGTCCATACACACACACAAAACACACACATTTGAAACAACAAGTTGTAAATCAGTTGAACAAAAGGAAACAACATTCCAATGATAATTGTCTTTATTTTATTAGAAAAAGTAAAAGTGCCACACACACATATATATTATACACTAAATGTAAATCAATAGAAACAATAATATTTATTATACAATCAATTTGATTTAAGTTTTAATGATTTCAATGCTTCGAAGTGTAAAAAAGCACAGTCTATGAATTTTCTTTCTCAAATGCTTCAAAAATAATAAAGTGCTTAATAACTTTTATATTTACCCAGGCAAATTTTTTTAGATTACACCTGTTGTAGTTGAAATATTTTAAACCAAAAAAAAAAATATATCAGCAAATATCAACAAATCGTTCGCACATAAAAAATAACTCTTTTGGAATTCGTCGAAATTTTTAATCTTGTCGCTGTTGGTTAGGAGGAACAAAATGTTTCCTTAAAATAAAAAAAATCTAACATTCTGAATGCTGTCTTCTGTCTTGCATCGTGAAGATCTAAAATTTTTGTTGAATTCTTGATGTGGTATATTTTTTTTCGTTCAGATTAATCATAAACAACCCTATAAGTGCAATTTGTGCGGTGCTGTCACATGTTTCGTTATCACGTTTGCATGTAGCATCAAACGTACAAGTATTGCTATGATATTTGCTCTGTTAAACGTTTTATTCATGAAAAGCAAATTGTACATGATCAGCTTCAATAATACAATCAAAGAAAACACAATCGATAAACTGTTGACGGTTGACATATCCATCAATGTTCAAGCTGTAGATAAATTAATTATACAAATTCGCAAAAAAAATCCACCAAATACTAGCTTCAATTTAAAATATCATTATTGAACAAGAAATATAACAAGTACAAAATATTGAAATCAATGTTTGAAAGCAGATGAAATAATAGTTTATCCAATTTATACGGAAAATTAATTTAAAAAAAAAACACCTCACTGAACAGTACATAGATATTTTTTAAATAGCATAAACAACAATCAACAGACGAATTGAATTACAACGCCTCCCCCTCCCCCCCGATTTACTTTTAAAATTTCACAATATTTTTTTATTTGACATTTATTTACTTGGGTAGACAGTTTTTCAGTGAGATGATGTTCTCGTAGAAACAAATATTTCCACATACAAAATTAAGGTATATGCAAAAGGTAGAAAACTCAATTTAAAAAAAATGAGCTCGAGTATATAAAAATATAATTGAATGTATGAGTAAAGGTATAGAAAAAAAACAATGATGTAAACAGCAGATTATTTATTTTTTTGTTCAAATTTAGCTAAATGCAATGAATCTATTTTCTTGTTGATTTCGTTGAAAGGATGATACAAAGTATAAAAAAATATAAAGAGGGAAGAGAATAAAGATTATGACAAATTAAGGCTTTTCCTATACCACGCTTCAAAATGCAATGCGCGTACATAGGAAAATATGGGAATTGTAGATGTTTGAATTGAAATATGCTTTGGATAAAAGATTAAATAAATGAGCATCTTATAACATCATTTTAATAGTTTTTTATATCATTCAATATTTGATTGTCTATATTGGGATATTTGTGGATGGAAAATATGCTTGGTATTCAGTAGAAGCAATTTTTATATACATTTTCATTATTATTTCAAAAATTTTGTCACATATAAATTTAAACACATATGTTGTATATATACGCCGATGTGCCGCAGTGAACACAAAATTTCTAGTTGAGATTGCTGCAATAAAAAAGGAGGCTAAAGATCCGTTCGAGCGTTAATATTTGTCAAAATCGATTGTCGAAGCGTTAATATTTGTCAAAACGGATTTGTCAATCCGACATCTAACACAAGGCAATTGAAGTTGAAGTGATGGAAATGATCCCACAACACCGCATTCATCATCATCCAAATCACGCTTGGCGAATAATATACGTAAGTCTCATTTGGCTGTTATATGGCAACCATATATGAGGGATTCAGAGGAAAAATGTTATGTAGAAAAGTTCCGCGGCTATATGGTACCAATTAGCTTTGCTAAATGATATCATTTAGCTCCCGAACAATTTTCTGCGGAACTTTTCTACATAACATTTCTCCTCTGAACCCCTCATATGAAACTCTAGTGTGATGTATTTGAGTAACAATTTACTGAAATAAATGGGTTGAAATGAAATAGTAGCTCGCAATGAAAATAAATGTGATACATATACCACTCAATGTCTTGTATCAGTATTGATCAGTATTTTAGTATTTTTTTAAATTCATGTTATGATTTTCAATGGAGTTTTATTAATTGTGTAATATTTGTTGTCAATAAAAAAGACAATGGATCTAATTTCCGCTTGAAATTGTATCATTAATGACAATTATCTTTTGAATATGGTTCGTCATATTTTCAATTGAAATAGTATTTTTATGATCAAATAAATATCAAACGGTTATTGGAGAATGAATATGTTCAATTTTATTTTGTTATCAATGTTGACAGACACTCATATATATTCACTGAATAAAACAATTTTATCAAAGAAATAGTGCTATATATTATTATAATAAGTTTTGCCCTTCAGAAATACATGTTGTACTGAAGAAAAATTTCGTAAGTGAGTAAAGCGCTAAAATATTTTATATTCTGTGAACGTTTTTTTTGTAAAAAAAGATCGTTGTTTCAGTTTGGAATTTTCATATATGATGCCTTGTAAAAATGAACATGGTCAAACTATTGGTGACGCTGTGCCAAATTGGAAAGTTCCATCGCAACCAGAAAAGATAACGTTGATTGGTAATCACGGTCGATTGGAACCACTTGTTGTTGCCAAGCACGCTGACGATTTATACGCGGCTTTCAAACCATGTGTACATAATGGTGATTGGACTTTTCTTAGAATAGAACCATTTCAAAGCGTTGAACAATGGCAAAAGTTCATCGAAGAACGTGTAAAATTAAAACATATTGTGAATTTTGCTGTCATTGATAACTTGTCGAGCAAAGCAGTTGGAATGATTGCATTGGATCCAATTGATTCACCCAATGGTGTCATTGAAGTGGGTTCCGTGTTTTTTTCGCCATTGATGAAAAATTCAATTCTTTCCACGGAAGTACAATATCTTCTAATGGCTTATGTTTTTGATAAATTGAGTTTTCGTCGATACCAATGGAAATGTAACAGCTTGAATATTTCGTCGTGGAAAGCGGCGGAAAGATTGGGATTCACTTATGAAGGCACTTTTCGAAATTTTGAAATTACCAAAGGGCGTAATCGTGATACTGCATGGTTTTCAGTTATTAACAACGAGTGGCCAAAATTGAAAACAGCATTTCAAGCATGGCTTGATTCATCAAATTTTTATGAGTGTGGAAGACAAGTTAAAAAACTTACCGATTTCCGAAAAGATTAGACCATGGTTTTTATAATTCAATATTTGAATATAATTTAATGTTTTATTACCAGAAAACGATCAATTTTTTTTATCTGAAAAAAAAATATAAAATATTTTTTTAAAAAAAAGAACACCAATTGTGCTTTATTTATTATAAGTATGGATTTTTATTGTTTACATTTTTCACTTAGCTATAGGGAGGTGTAGGCTAATGCTTACATGTGCAGTTTCGATTGATTCACGTCTATTCTAACTACTTTGACTTTAAAATGTCTCTTATAACGAATAATTTGTATTTGATCTAACCTAATCTATGCGTTTAATGAATTGATGCATAGACTTTAATTTATTGTAATGTGCATAAATGCTTTGTGCGCTTCAATCGGACTAAAGGAAGCTTTTACAATTTTTTTTTTCATTTTGAACTTCGGAACTATTCAATTTATTTAAGAGGTTGTCATAGAAAAGAAAGACTTGTATATATATATCACCGTACGACAAAAAAAAATGACTTAGTTTGATTTGAACTTCGTGAATAGGGCGTTGTAGTAGATGGAAAAACTAGTAAAACTGCATCTTTGGTTTGTTCCATATACCTCTGTTTAGAAAAGTTATGACATTTGGTAAATCTTCAGTACAAATCTGAAAAGAGCGACTTTTAAACTGTATACTTTTTTCATTCAAAATTGGTAAACATGTGTATTTGGGGGTTTTTTGGTACGGGGAATCCGAATATGACCTTTATTTTGAGATCCCATCACGTTTGAATAAAATTTTCATACAAAAAATAGCAAAATTGGTCAAAAAATGACCAAAAAATCAATCAATTCAATTTTTTTTGTAGAAAATACTGTATTATTACTTATTTATTATTAAAACATTTTATTGGAACAAAAATCAAAAAAAATTATTCTCAAAAGAGCATATTTGATTAAAAATGTGGCCGATTGCATTGGCGCTTGTGTTGTTCTTGCAATGTTTCACGGCAAATTGACCAACAATATTCACCAAGCATGTGGCAAGGGTCTTTTCCTTTATAATGTTGCTCAATTGCCGCTATAGCTTGCCCAAGAAATTGTCGATGACATTCTTTATAGCAGCGAAGGCTCTTTTTTCGATTGGAGTTAAAAGAACAGAAAACTCATCACTTTGCAGTAGTTTCGTGATCTGTGGACCGTTGAAAAGACCCCCCCCCCCAAATACACATGTTTACCAATTTTGAATGAAAAAAGTATACAGTTTAAAAGTCGCTCTTTTCAGATTTGTACGGAAGATTTACCAAATGTCATAACTTTTCTAAACAGAGGTATATGGAACAAACCAAAGATGCAGTTTTTCTATCTTTTCCATCTACTACAACGCCCTATTCACGAAGCTCAAATCAAACTAAGTCATTTTTTTTTTGTCGTACGGTGTATTCTGTGGTAATTGTTCTTTTTTAGTAATAATTGCGAAAATGAATTGATTTTGAACTTTTTCTAGTCTTAAACGATTTACTTGTATTTGAGAGAAAATTGGTTTAAAAACCAAAAAAAAAAAATATATAATCAAACCAACTGTTTGAGCTCTTTTTTGCTTCACTTGATTTTTTGGATCAAGTGTGGGTACTTACTAGTGCCTACACACTTCTGTAGTGCAATGAATTGCGACATGGTTTGAAAACTGTTCGCAATGACGTTCGCAATATCATGCAAGAAATCATCCCAACTCTCAGTCGAAAATCAGTATTTTTGTACATTGTGTCGACGTCGTGCCGAAGTGAAATTATTAAATCGCCAAATAAATGCTGAAATGAGAGCACGTCGTACAGAACGTCGAGCAGCACGGTCAGGATCAAATCGATCGAAAACATATTCAACCATTGCCAATACTTTTCTTATGATGAGAAAAATGTACCGTTATTTTTGTAAACAAAATATCAGATCTAGTGGAACAGCAAAATTATATTTGAATAAATTTTCACGCAGCGAAAACTTTTAAAAAACCGATGAGCCGCATATAGAAGATTTTATCAGGAAGGGAATTTACTATACCGGAATCTTAAGAACACTTATACTACAATCAAATAAAAGTTGATTCTTTGAGTGACTATGTTAATTTTTTACATCGAGGTTATTTAAAAGACTGAATATTGACGAACATTTTTTTCTTGTATCCGATTCCGGTGGCAACTTGTTGTGAAAATGTGAAAAAAGTAGAACAAAACTCAATAAAATCTTTTGAAACACAACTGTGCTATGGTGCAGAGCGAAAAACTGAAGGGAGTCTGATATACTCAATAAATATCCAAATATAATTTATTTCGATATGTTTTCAATTACTCAATTATCGAAGAAGAATCAAAAAATAATTGGACTATAATTTTCTCATATTACATACTTGTCGATTATGAAAATTGGTTTTGAGTAAAAGAAATTGATTTCATTATGAAGAAGACATGTACAGAATGAAACACTACTAAAAACTATGAATAAAATGTTAATACGCTGCTTTGGTTGCCTGAAAAAAAGAAGAACAACAATGTCAATCAAAATGTTTGGTTTTCTTTTATCAAATTAAAAAGAAAAAAACAAGCGGACGAATTCATACATACCCCGTACGAATAACAATGGCGGTAAACCACGACTTAAACTTTCAAGCCATGCCATATAGAGTGGTGCAGAAACAACGTTCTTTCTAGGCATAGGCAATGTCATAACAATCATATCTGAATTCATGGAATTTTTTAAGAGATTCTCCCGTAATCTATAAACAAAAGAAAAATACGAATATAATACGTTCAGATAATATGAATGAAATATATGGATTCAACCTTAAATATCGATTCGTCTTATCCTTAACGGCCAACAATTCACTGTCTTCAATGAAAATCGCTGCAATAAGGCAGAAAACATATCATTAAAACAATATATGCACGCACAGTGGCACACGCAAACGTATTGAAAACTGATTTTTTTTTATTTACATTCATTTGGATTGTCACACAGTTCTCTTTCTTTGCTTGTGAAATTTCGAATTAAGTCCTTAAAATAGTAATAAGTGGACTCTTCGGGTTTTTTTGTGATGTCGGTCAGTAGCTCGAGGTCAGAGTAATCAATTCGGAATTTTGCCAATAAACTTGCCATCGATGACAGTTCGCATTGGATTTCATCTTTTTTATTGGCCAATGCAAACACCTAAAGTTTGTTAATGTCGAAAACGTGAAATTAAAATACGATGAATTAATTGCAAAATAAATGAAAAAAATTATGTAAAACATACCCGTAATTTTGCCGATTCCCAATTTCGTCGCGTACTTATGATATACGGTAAAAGTAATGTCAAACCACCGTCGTCGTACAACCAATATACATCAATTATAGCTTTGTTTCGTTTGCGAGTGAACATGGTCAATTCTTGAATCACGTATTTTGGAAGCTCATCGCCATTTGGTGCAGTGTACAATGATGATCGCTTCTCTGTCGTTGTTCGTTTGTTTGTTTTACGCAAATAAGTCTCCAACTGAAGGAAAATTAGGTAAAAAAAAAACATTTTAAATTTTAATTGTTTTTCCAAGTCTTAATATATTTGCTAAGCAGATTGAAATGAGTTTGATTGTTTTGTGGCATTTTTTTCACCTCAACATTTCGCTTATCGTGCGGATCAGGTGATATAGTAACCCGTACATTGCTGATCCCAGACAATGGGCTTGTCATCACAGACAGATCGCTTATACTACTGGCTGTTTTTTGTTGAAAAGGAAGAAATTTAGTATTATTATTAGCAAAGAAAAAAACATAATAATTTATTGTGGGAGTAAAAGATTGAAAAAAGAGGCCCGTGAATGCTATTAGTTTTGTAGGTGTGTAGAATTGTAGACGCTTAATTTGTTATTTACTAACCTTTGTGCAAATTTTTGTTGTTATTATTGTTGAGGTTTGTCTTGTCATTCACAGCTAACAATCAAGAAGATTGTGTGAGTGCAGAAGTTATTTTGTTTTGTTTTTTTTTTTTTGTGCATATGTAGAAAAGATCAAGAAATATCCATATTTGTTCACAGAATGACAATCATGCAAATACACAAGCAAAATATGATTAATTAACTAATACTTTAACTATTTTATATATTTAGTAAGTGCATATCTTTGTTCAATCACATGAACATGTGAAAATTAAATGTGATTCACCAAAAAAATGGTGTATACCTTGTGATGCATTTCGGCTAAGTGATTCATTGCTTCCATTCACTTGAGAATTTGCCAGCAAATCCGTTGTACTATCATTGGGCTGAATAATTCTTTGCTCTTCGGTTGCTGTCTGCTTTTCATTGTCCTCACCCAGAGTACGAGAATAATCCAAACCCTTTTCCACACGCAGTATGGCGACGGCCATGTGCATATCGAGGGCCTGCATATAACCGATTGTTTAAAAATTTAAATTTAATAAATGTTGTTGCGACAGCAAAATAAAAGACAAGGACGAAGTGATCTCACCTTGTGAATGGTATTGAAGTAGGATTGAAGTTCATCTTTGTGGCAGCTTTGCCAATCGGCTTTATAGCCCATTAAAACAATATTTGGTTTAAGCTTTCCAACTCCAGACGCTTGTAATAAAGCTCTGGCTCCGGTTTCGAAATTTTCACCATCGACAATCGTATAAAATCCTTTGATTTTATGTTTTTTAAACCATTCGCGAGCTTGACGTTGTAGAAAAACTCGTTCACGTTGCGTCGATGCACCTTCAATGATATGACCACATATCATGAGCGATAATTTTTTGGTCAACAAATCGGCAAAATCAATTAAAATTGGCCTTGAATTTGGCATTCCGCTCAGTACCAATATTTGAGGTCGATAATTTTTCACGTGCTCATCAACATTATTCAATTGTAAAACCGAAAGCAATGCATTTTTATAGGTTTGTGCTTGTGTTGTACTTCCCCAATTTACTTCTGGTTTTCCGTAACTTACAATGAGGTATAATGCTATAACAGCGGCAAACGTTAATACAGCGGTTGTCCATGAGATTAAAAACATAACGGCAACACACAATACAGCGCCCAATAAACTTAACCACATATTATAATACTGCAAGAGTTGAGATGATATTGGTTTTTAATTCCTTAAAATATTTATTCACATGATTTTACTTACTCGAAAGGTTGGTCTCCATCCCACCGGCTTTGAGAATAAAAAAGTTATACATTTTATTAGAATTAAATAATGCATTTGTATTATTAACGGTGAAATACCTTTGCAAGACTTGCGTGAAACGTACTAAAGTTAACCAACATGTATGCGGCCAAAAAAAAATTTGAAATAAGTGGCGCTATCGCATTTAATTCTCCAATCAATATAAAACTAAATTCAAATTGAATAAAAGGAAGAGAAATTAGATTAGAGCCGTTAAAGTTTTCGCTTTCGAAACATTCATTTGTATGTGTGTGATTTAAAATTCAATGGGCCCTTACGCAATTGATATGATGAATGTTAAAATATAACCTCGAACCGGTTCGTTATTCTTGCCGTATCCGCGTGCAAACCATTCTTGAACAGATTCCATTGGATATAGTTTATCTTTGCATAATGCCTATATGTGGCAAAAATGTCGATAATTACATTGATTGATAAGAATACATTAATTTTACACATAAAGACACCAGTCGAAAAACTGGTTTATATGTATTAAAATATAGTCGAGAGAGTGCATGGCATAGAACATACCTGAAAAACTTTTGGCGCGGAAACAAGACTTGCCAGTGCTGATGAAAGTGTTGCTGCAAAGCAACCAGCATAAATCAATGGACCGAATACGGAAACCAATTCGATTACTTCAAATGAATTGTGTAAACCGTAATGACATGTGCCCGGTGTACAAGCTTTCAAAAATGCAAACGTGCCGTTTGTATCTTCAAGTCGTCCAGTTGCATCACGCGCAACCGAAGCACCGGCTGCAATTGCCATAATAATATAAGTGGTGGCTGTAATGAAAATCGCCCATATTGTCCCTTGTGGAATGGAATGAGACGGATCCTGTTCAAAAATAAAAACTTCAATTTAAACAAAAATGCGCTAATAAGCAATGCAACAAACTCAATGTTGAAATAGGTCCATTTATATCTGATCTGACCTTTAAATCTCCGCTGATGTTTGCTCCAGCCAAAATTCCTGTAGCTGCTGGGAAAAAAATACTGAACACCGTAAAAAAATTGTGCTGCACACCATCATGGACACGATAGTCTGGCTGAAGGTTCTGCCTAAATATTGTCGCTGAAACAAATGAAATGAAAATGTTGTTTTATTAAATAAAAGCTAAAATTTGAAAGAGTTGAAACAATCGCGTTACCATTGTATCCAACAAATCCTTTTGCTTTTTCGATGTCACTTTTTGGTCCGAATATGGTGCCGATAAAAAAATCTCCAATGGCTATTAACAAAATAATCAACAGGACAATTTGTGCCTGAATGCATCAGAAACGAAAAACTGTTTGGTTAAAATGATTAACACAGATTTGATTGATATGTGTGTCAAATATGATTTCATTTTTTATATATTTTGAATGAATAACTGTTAAAATGTACGTACTTTTGCCTCCCATTCCATTCCAACCACAACAATGATTAATAGAATGAAAATCGTTATGCTACCAATAATGCGAACGTCTGTTACACCACCATCGATAATGCTTATGCCGAACGATGCAAGCAATGAATTCATTGACTCACAAAATCCAACCACGTACATTGCACATGCAACAGCATTTGCCAACGAAAATATCAATCCAATACTGCCACCAAATTCGGGGCCCAACGATCGCGAAATCATATAGTATGTGCCACCTCCTTTGACCACTCCATTTGTTGAAATGGCTAACCGAGACAAAAATGTGAATTCAAAATATTTGTAAAAATTGTTGACCACTTGCAATTTACACACCTGACATGGAAAGAGCTGTAATTGTCGTAACGACCGTTGTTGTTAAAATCAAAATGACTCCTTCGATGATGCCTGCTTGACCCACGACCCAACTCAAGCGCAAAAACAGCATAACACCTGAAAAAATGTGTTGTATGTTCCTAATTGTAACATTTTCAGAACAAAAAAATAAATCAAATTGCTTTTACCCCAAATATTTAAAATGCATCTCATTAATACGCCTTTGATCCATCCAAATTTAATGCCAACATCTTCTAGATCTGGATCCACAACTGGCACATTCATTTGCTGTATGAAATTTTATTATTTTTTTCAATAAGAAAATGTTGAAATTTCAGAAATTTTGAACCATTTGGGTGCTGACTAAGCGCGATTAGTCATTTTATTTATTAATTGAGTGTAATCATTTGTTTTGAACTTGCAACGAGTAAAAGGCAATTAATTCAATGATACATGTCACCCATGAGACGAATTTCATTCATTGACACAGACCGAGTTTGCCTTATTTGTTTTATTTCATTGGAATGAAGAAATCATATGCATAATTGATTCTCATTTGTTCAAGACTGTTGTCTTGTGAGATTAGTATTGTGAAATCGTCACCAATTTATTGCGACAAAACATTTGCCTTATTGACATATGAACTCGAATGTTAATTGAATAAATTATCAAATGAGAAATTTTAACGCAACAGATATTTGCCACAAATTTTTATTTATTTTCATCATTTTTGAACCGGATTCATTTTAATTTTCAATACTTTTAATATGGCAAATGGTTTCACGTGTAATTTAACCAATTTTCTTCCGGAAGAACAAAAATTAAATAAACGGAAGACTTAATTGCATTCTATATTGATTTTTCGATTTGTATGTGAATAGCAAGAAGCAGATTAAAGTTTCTGTAAACTTTATAATTTTAATAAAACATTTTTTTGGAATTAATTTTTGTGTAACATGGTTTTTGAATTTCAATTTTTAGTTTATTTATCGAATGTTGTGTGGGTAGTATATGTTTAACTAGTTTACATCGTTTGTGTTTATATTCATCAGTCTGTGCCTGATATTACATCGTCTGTGTCTGTGACGCATTTACAATGAACAATTCCAATGATTTTAATAGATTTTGAATTAGAAAATAAACAGAACAGAATAAGAAGAGAAATAAAGTTTAATATACCAGAGAAGAAAAGAGATAGAGAAAGTAAGGACCATTTTCATCATTCTAATGCTGGACACCAAAACGTGACATCATATTGATGTTAATTTAATTACATATATCGACAACTGAGTTCATTTATTTGTTGTCTTCCATGAATATAGCTAGGATTGCATATGATTTTACTTGGTTTGGGCAGAAAGAACGAATGTATGCACATATTGAATAATTTAAAATGGTTCTTTCGTAGGTACATTTCACTTTTAAAAGTTCGTTTATTTATTTTCCAAAAATCACCAACTAAGACACAATTAATTAGTTCAAATAAATGCACATGCAAACGATATGTTTTTGAAACTATTCCTTATCAAATTCTAAACTTAGCACCTTGAATAATTAACAAAATTTTAACAATCAATGATTCACCGACAAAAAATTTGCGAATTTGTTGTCACGCAACCACAAAAAAAAAACAATTCCACTTTACTCACAACAACTCACGACTTGCATTTTTGCATAATTCAGTGCCGTAATTACATAATGAATGTGATAACAACCGAACGGTGTGTTTTATCTTCATGTAAATGAATTTTGCTACTTACGTTATTTGACAGTGTGGCATTGTGTAAATCATCCAAAGTTGGACGATTCTGATAGACAGCTTGTATTGATAAAATATTTCTGTAATTTTCAAATCGGGGCAATGCTAAATTGAAAGAGACATTCGAGAGTGATTAAATTAAGGGACGAATGAAAAAAAAAACTAAATTAAAACTTGGTAAAGGATTGGATACCTTCTCTGGTGAAATGCCTATAGGGAAAAAGAAACACAAATTAAAGACGATCGTCATTTTTCTTTTGAACAAAACTAGTTCATAAATAGAAGAAAATGTTGTAAGCACTCACAAGAAACTTCGACGACAATTTGTGTCATACTCATCCAATAAATTATCGCGATCTTCTCCATTTGAGTCGGAGTCATCGTTTTTGGGTACCTTCACAAAGTGGAAATTCTTTGATCAAATCACCGTTCGCATTCGAAATGTCAAAATTTTGCATTCAGTGTGCATGGACTTACTTGAAATCGAGTTGTTTGCATGTCTTTATATTTGGCTGGTTTATCTTTGTCACGGAAACTGCTCCTCAGCGATAGCGAATTCAATCTTTTTTTAACAAAAAAAAAAAAAGAATTGAAAATTTTTTCCTTCGCTTTTCTCTCATTTAAAATTGATAGTGCCTACCTTGATGATCGCCGATTATTACGTAGCACAATGTCATCGTCATCGAATGTATCTTCTTCGAATATTTCGCCATCGATGTCACTGGTGTTATTTGTTGTTTTGCTTGTGCTAACAGGATTAACTTGAAATCGATTTGGGCGATCGGTGCCGATCATTTCGATTGAATGTTCCTTCGACATTTTATGATCCAATGTCTCCTCAATCTTTCTTTCTCGATTTTTCCTCTTTCTTCTCCCTCACTTTAAGCAACACGTTCTTTTATTTGTGTATCTTAAACTGGACGCATCCACAATTTCAAATTGGTTTGATCATTTACGCGAGTGTGCTTATTCAAAATGTTAACTGTATACACAAAAGAAAAATCGGTTTAGAAAAAAACCTCTTAAATCACGTAATGCTTGCATCAAATCAAAAGAGGAACACAACGAAACGATTGAAAAGCGGATAAATGCGACATAAATCTATCTAATCACAAAATAAACAAATGAATTACAAAAAAAAGAACAATGTTCAATGAGTTCAATTCAATCATCCATTCAACAAAAAACATTTTCAGAAAAAAAAAATCATTACAAAAAAAAGAACAGAAAAAATGCATCGGCATATCTGCAATTTGCATTTACATTGTATTGCTCGTGTGGCAAAGAATCATTCACTTTCTATAAATGGAACGGCAGAAGCAAACAAAAATGCATTGAAATGGACTACGGGAAAAGAGAGCAATAAAAAAAGAAGAAATCATTGAAATGTAAAATACGTGTACAACAAAATGCCATGAACAATTATAGTACATATATTTTTTTTTTCGTTTCTTATTGTTTGTTTGATGATTAAGCTAATCAAAACTTGTCGTACAAGTTGAAATATACAAATTTAGAAACTAAAAATTAAATCTATTTGCCGTTCAGTTGTACAGTATTGCATTGATTCTGGATCGAGGCTGGTTGGTATATACAAATTTGAACGTTAAAAATAAATAGAATTTTTCGAAAAGAGACCCTCTTCTTCAAATGATCTAGTTATTTCTTGAAAGAAAGTCATTTTAAAAGCAATACGTTTTAATCGAAACCACAAGCATACGACACTCGAATAAGTAAGTTTGTATTTATTTTAAGTTTATTTATTTTACTGTAAATCAAACACAAATCGAGTTGGAACAAAGCAAATCGTCCTTTTCCATTGTATTTGAATATTTCAAACATCAAAATCAAATGTAAAATTCAATCCAAATGATGATGTACTTTTCATTTCATCGCAACAACATGTCTAGCTGAATATTTTATTCGGTTCGACACTACAAACGCAATAAATATGTTATATATTTGTCTATAAATAGAAAAAGTGAAGATGTGTAAAAAGCCCTTTTTTTCGTTCAATACAATAAAAAGTCCATTTGCTTTCTTAGAATGTACTGTTGATTGTTGACACACTGGCCGCTACTTGATTACTGCACATGATATTATATTAGAAATTATGTTCAGATTGCATTAGCCAGATATCATTTACGTGATGGTGGTTTATTGCATTGAATTTGCACTTAGCAAATGGTGCAGCATGTGTATACTGTGGACAATATTGTGTTTGCAGCGACGATGGCGGCTAATGGCATGATGTGTGCGTCGATTATTTTATGGTTAACACGGCACTGAAATTATTTTTGGTTCATTGTATGTGTGAGAGCATAGAAGTGTGAAATTGAGCCATATTTGTTGTTGTTGTTGTTTTTTCTGTTTACTTGATCGCACTTCTGCAAAGCGTTGCTTTTTGCAATGAACTTGCCCATCACAAGTGTGTGTATGTATGTATGTATTCGTTTGTTTCGCTGTCATTGGAATAACATGCATTTATGAATTCAATATGAAACGAGCAAAAGTGAGATAATGTCTTGATTGAATGCACACAATCTCTATATCCACATAAATCTTCGTTATACAAAGCGATTTTAATGTACATTCACACAAAACGATGAACAAACAAATTCTCATTCACATATTCTGACCTGTCCAATAGAAATTCTATGATGGCAAGCACACATTTCACTTGTTGCATTGAATTGCAAACACTACAAATGGCATTCACACGACAAAGAGAATATATACGCTACATACCAACAAATCGAATGGAAAATTGAGTCGTCGGCCTTTTCTGTTTCGATTAAATCAACCAACCATTGGCTCGATTAATTGATCACATAATGTGACAACATGAAAATGGAAAGTCGATGTTATTACAACATAAACGTGCACTATAAATGTAATAAATACTCAACGAACACATATAAATTTCAACAAACAAAACGCTTGTGATCTAATATTCAAATAGGTTTGGTTGCTTCAATTGTCTTCTTCTTAGTGTGTGTACGGGCGAACGTTTTTTTTGTTGTTCGACTTTTGCGCATTAAATTGAGAATTCTTGGTGTTTTTATCATAACGAAAACTAAAAAGTAATTCCAAAAAGACCCTCCGAATGGCACGACTGTTCGTTTGTTTTTGTTCTGTTAGTTTTTTTTTTTTTTTGGTCAGCAAACATTAAATCAACGTGATTTATGCATGTCACAAATCTAATTGAAAAAGAATACAGTTGTTGCACGCTTCGAACATGAAAAACCGAAAAGGCATTTCGAAGGGAGTGCATGTCTCAGTCATATGGAAAGAATAATGTCTATCCAAATGCCTGCGCTCGATTCGCTCTGACTAAACATATCAATTAGAAAACAACATTTCTTTTTCGTATGTATTTGCATATTGTGCAAGGTTCAACTATGTCACATACTTGACAGTTGAATTTGGAACACAATTTTGACCGCATTCATAATGTGCTGACTTTCAACGTTTCTATTCAAATCAATAAAACGCCAGTCACATCTCAAATACATTAACATTCACAAAAATAAACAATAAAAATGAAATCGATGATGAAACGTGCATATTATGCAATTTATATTCGAATTAAATAACTGATAAAACTAATTTTGATTCATTTAACAATGTCTCTCAATTATCAATTATTGATTTACTTTACTATTCAATTGTAAATTTGATTTTTGGAGCTATCCCCAACATGGAATGGTCATCTCACACATTCAAAAATAAACACAGTAGAAAGGATATGTATACAGGTGAACAACCCTCGTTTTATGCAAATGCGATTGAATTCAAATCACTTACAATACACAACTGGCTTTTTAGGGTGGCAAAAAACCACGGTCAAATAATAAAGCATTTCAATGCATCAAAAATCAAAGTAAAGAACTGAATTCGAATTAGTTTCAAGGTATGGCACATGGCTTATTTTGTTTTTTTTTTTTAGAAATTTGTATTTCTGACATTCTGAACTATTAAACGTTGATTTAATGTTTACAAAACGAAGAGCATACACCCGAATACTTGAATGTTTTTATTTATGCATGAATCAATATGCTTAATCCATAGCTGCAGTCTCTTTGTTAATTTTTAACTACATAAGCTATAAGTGTGGATCAATACGTAAATATTAAACGTAACATCATCACAGTGATTTCGTATGAAGTTGGGCAGAGTCCTCCTTGGTAAAAAAAACTTGACTAATTATCATCGTTTTTTATGACTTATGTATCATGCTTTCTTAGCTAACGCTATTTAAATTATGTTATTTTGATAAGCCACTTATTAGTCAAGCCAGTAGCACATGATTACTGATAATGATTATGACTAATTTGTCAAGAAAATATTTGCCTGACTACACGGAATCTCCGCTTGTAATGCATACTCATCCAGCTGAAATATTAGTCTGCAGCTATCAACTGTGTATGAATATGCATATTAAAGCCGGAATATTAAATCGAAAAATTTGGACAGAGTTATTTTTATCGCGCCACTGAGCCATTATATATGTCAGATAACAAAAAAAAAGCCACTAGCCGAGAGCAAGTCGGAAAGTAAATTGAACAAAAAAGCGATAAAATAAAAAAATCCAGAAAAACGATCGGAATTCAATGTGTTTGTTTTATAAATTTCATTGAATTTTAAATATTCGAATCCCATTTGGAATCAAAGAATTTACCTAATTTGAACGTTTATATGACATATTTGGTTCATAAAAAGAGCCACTACTCGCAAAAACTAATCCAGTTCTTTTTTGGGTTCAATACACTAGATGTAACTGACTTGTGACTGTATGTGTTTTTCATATTAAAATAATAACCCAATTTTTCATGCTGAAATTCTGCATCGATGGCATTTTGGGTTTAAAAAAACAGATTGAACCATTTTATTGTCATTTGAACCATTTTTATGGGAAGTACCAGTTTCACGACCTTTGAATTGAAATAATGGACGACTCTGATATTTGTTTACGTCTTGACAATGACTAAAACGTAGAAATTAATTGTAAAAAAGTTATTAATCAAATTCATAAGTTTAAATTAAATGAAGGAAAAGACGATATTTGGAAGACATACAATTAATAGAAGATAGATATAATTAGTAGAAGATGGATGGATTGGTGCCGAAAATCTCACGAGAAATAACTAGAAGTTTTTTTAACCATATTTTCCGGGTCAATGAATATTTTCCAATCAAATTTTAAATTGAATTCCCTTGAAGCTTTCATCTGTTATGCATTCTCTTGAAACCAAGAAGAGCCAAGTTAAGAAAATATAGAACCAAGTTTATGTCACATTTCAGATGTCATTTATTTGTTCCAACAAAATAATAATCCATCCCATTTTATTCACCGACATTTTTCGACCGAAATTCGTCTTATTCGTCAACTTCTTTTTTTGGATTATTGTCAAGCGTGAAAAATAGTTTGATGTTTTGTTTTGCATATAATGCATTTCCGTGCTTTAAAAACTTGAATTAAGTCATGTATTTTTCTCTTGGCGGGAATGTATATTCAGCATTGATTGAACGTGTTTACATCAAGAATCACGTGTTCACTTTTTGGCTTACATTCATTCTTTGGTTCGGGAATATTATTGTTCTTCGTGAAATTTGAGCAAATTTTTTCTGGAAATGTCTTCTTTCTATAAATATTCATCTTTTTTTTAATTCTTGTTTGATGTAGTCATAACAAATGATTCAAATCTAATCGGTTTTTGATATTTTCTATCGAATGTCAAACAGTCAACGTTACATTTGAATTCTCTAATGTGATAAAGAGCAAAATTCTAGACTAACAATTTTGGAATTCACTTATATTTGAACGCACTAAAAACAAAACGACGATCAAAAATGTGTTTGGAGCACATTTTTTTAATTACCTGATGTTATTGGACTAAAATTGAAATTTTCTTATCGGAACAAACATTCACGAAATGGCACATTCAAATTCAATATTCCCGTCTATTTATTTCATTAAAACTCTCATTTTTTTCTTGTGTATTCGATACACAACACAATACGAGCATTACGCATTTAATATGCGTACGAAGAACAAACGAATTATTCGATCATGCTTAAAATTTGTAAACAATTGGATCTATAAAACAGCTATTGAATTAAGCTGAAGGTAATGTGTGGTAAAAATAAACGTATGATGAAACGTTTGCCATATGAAAATAGGCACCTGATAACGGATGGCAATTAAGTAAACATTTGATATGATTCCCGTTCCCATGTGGATTTTTGTGTCATATTGTGTTTAATTTGTTTGTTTTGCTAATTTTTCCTTCGTTCTTCAATATTTATTTGGTGCAGTAAGCTGTAAATACATTTCACACAATTTAACAATCAAACTGCTATACGATTTTATTGAAATAGCCACCAAAAATTACTCTTAAGTGTCAACCATTGCCAGCAGCGCAATGAAAAAAAAAAGAAAACAGTAATTCTCTTGATACACAACTACTTCTATTATGATTCCGTATTACCGCTCAAGTTCATAACATATGCGTTATGCATTTTAATTACATTAAAAGTTTTCATCGGCGAGATAAGTTATCAAAAGAAACTCTCTTCTTTTTTTAAGTGACACTCTCTTATTTGCAAAAATTTCTCGAATTTTTTTATGTCAAACCAAGAATTTTCGATATTAAAAATGTAAATTCATGCGAAATGGAATTTAAATGCGTATTTACTCAAAAGAAGAAGAAAAAAACGATTGATTTACCACAGTATGAAATACAAGTGTGTTGATTTTAAATAAACAAATTACACTTTATGGGAAAATTCACTTTAATCTTAAAAATAAAAATTACAAAATTCGAAATAAAGTAATTTGATTCATTTTTAGAATTTCTCCGTTAAATTTTTTTCTATTCAACTTTTGTCGAAATCATTTTCTTATAAATGCACAATATTTTAGTTTTTAACGTTTAACGATTTTTTAAATAAATAAAAACAAGAAAAATGTAAAGCGCGACCAAGTAAAAAAAAAAAAAATTAATCACCACGAAACTTATCCACGCGCAGACCTATCCAATTCGACTGTTTTCTCGTCTTTGCGAACGACTTGATTTTTTCCGTTACCGAAACATTAAACTGCCGCTATGTTATTGTTTTAGTGTGTGATGTCGACGGATAGCGCACGTTTGAACACATGGCAAGCGAATGAACCGAAAGTACAAGCGACTAAAAATTCGAAACATAAGAAACATACAACGGCCGAATCGAATGACGAAAATAACAAAAAAAAATCAAGTTTTTTTTCTCGTCTGGTTTTTTTCTTCTCTCACTCGTGCATATGTTTATTGTTGCCACTCTGTGCATATAATTTAGAATGTGATTTTAAATCATGTATGTGAATGTGTTTGTGTGTATATATGTGTGTGTTCTTGCATCAATATTGCATATGTGAGCACTAACAAAATTCAATCAAATCGTCACCGTGAATCTTTCGAGCGACGGAATTATTTATAACAGAGATCTTATATGCGTTGACAGCAACTTCAACAAAATAATAATCTTTCCATAGTCTTATCGTTGACTAAGCGTCTCAGTATTATATATGAATTTCTTCCCTGTGACACAGTTGTTTGGGTTGAACACAGACTGGGTATCGCAATGGATTGTGCGAGCACAATGTGTATGTTGATTGCCAGTTTTCTTTATCGCCAAGACAATGGGTCAACCAACATAAGTATTGACGGTGTCTCTCCCTTATAATTTCATTGGGATATAAACTCAACCCAAATAAACACTGTGCACATAACATTGCTTCCGTGTGTAAGCTGCTTAACAATTCTTCATTAAGGGTTAGAAATTGAATGAAATTTGATTGCAACTCAAAAGTTTGAATGGCGAAAGATTTTCACTTAGATCCATGTCGGTCGCCGATTACATATACGGAAAGTCACACATTCGAATGAATTAAATACCAGCTGGCTGGGCATAAAACTATAGTCAAATTGCCCCTCGAATTATATACATTACGTACACACATATCTTGGTCAATTGTTTCAGATGTTCATGTTTTGATTTCACACCTGGCATATATGTGTTTTGGTATTTTTCCGATTAGAATAGTAACCCCAAAAAAAACCCGTTGCCAATTCATACGGATGGAAAATTTCGGAGTTTGCGTTCTTTTAGTTTCTTTATATTCAAAATTCTATAAAAAGATGTAGACGATTTTTAGCGCGATATCTACTGCATTCCGTCAACATCCGTCCAATTAATTGATACCAAACAAACCTGTGATGCCCTTACGAAAATAATTGTTGTTATCAATGTTTTTCAAAGAAATATTACTTACAAACAAAATCAATTTGGATGATGTTCGTAGCAAAAATGAAATCAATCCATGCGCGAAATGATTTAAACGTAAAAGAAATGAATCATTTTTGACTATGTGATAGAGTAATAAATTTATCAATTAAAAAAAATTATATTCGCTACGAAAAAAAAATATATTGCGATCTGGTATTTTTCTATATCATTGATCAAAGAAACATAATATTTTTTCCACACACTTTTAGTTTTAAGTAATGGACAGGAAACTTTTCGATTCGTTCGATTTTTCTCCATTAATATGAGATGAGTTATACCTTATGCTCAGCAAAATTCAAATCTTTGAAAGAAAATCTCAACGGGAAAAATGTTTGAAAGCCTGATGTAAAACGTATCATTTCAAAAATGAACGTTATCTAGTATTAAAGTGTGAGCGGTAAAATGTTTTGTGGTGAATATGTTTAAATTATGTTCCACGATCAATAGATGGCACTGCGTGTATTGCGAATGTGTGTCACGGCGTGATTAAAAAAGAAACCGATATTTCATGTGTTAAACATTGAAGACCATTGCCACCGGTGATTATGAAATTAATTTTAATTTAATAGCGCCAATCTTTGACAAGGTTCATTACCAGATGATTTTATTATGTTGGTAAATGGTACCACGGCATTTTTCATTCCAAAGCAAAAGCATAATTTATGTCTGTTTAAAAAAAAATAATATCTGTGATTTCTAGGAAATCGTCTTTTACAATTTCGTATGTTTTTTATCAATTTGGCGAAAGTATCTTACTAGTCATTTTTCATGTTTTGATCAATTGCTAAATGAATATGTGTATGTCGAATTGATGAATGACAGTGAAAATAAGAGTTAACATAACAATCATTCATCAAATAAATGTTGATACATGGATGGCTGTTTTGCAGTTCGTTTATTTTCAGCCACAGCACCGCTGCCAATGTTTGGGAACAGATTCAATATGAACATGCAACATTACTCAGGGGACGCACACCAATGCTATACTAACGAATCACATTTTCAACTATTGCAAACTAACTGAATTTTTATTAAAATTATAAAATAAAAAATGGTGCTTTTAATGAAGAATAAATATCGGAATAGAGATTTGTGTTTGTATCGAAAAAAAAAACATTTATTGAAATCAATCCAAACCACAATAAATCGTATGAATCTGGAAGATTACACAACCTGATCAACTAAACAAGTGTTGTGTATCGATGCCGCAGCAGATCCCATCGTCTGTTATCGTATCGGATCGGTCACGTTGATTTGGAAAGTGTGTTATTTTCGGTGTATATGACATGAAAATTGTAAATAAACGCCATTTCCAATGCAACAACACACAGAGACACATACACTCGCATTCCGCAAAACATTCATTTTTATTAGTCTATCGCAACGAGATAAGGTTGTGGTCACTTGTTGTGATATGTGATACGATTCAACATGATAGTCACTATGTTAAGTGTCATTCACGCAAATTAGAATCAAAAGAGAAACAGAAATACACGCAACACAATATACTCTATTCAATCGTTGGACAAACGTAAAAAAAGAAGAAATAATACTAGATAAAGAGATTTCGTAACTAACACATCTTAAATATTGTATGTGTGCGCAACATAACGAAATGATAATATAATCGCAGACAGTTTAGTTTACCTGAATAATGGTATGTACCACTCAGCCGCGTTTTTATACTAATTTCATATAGTTTGCACACAATACCGTTATAACTTATTCGCATTTTTTGTTCATTATTTTTATCGTTATCTGTGTCATTTAAGTGCAATAAAATCCGTAAATATTTATTTATCTTAATGTCAAATAGATAACAGCGGTTTCACTAGACAACGCTTCGAAAATAGTTCGGCTCGGTGAATTTCAATATTTGAATCAAGTGTATTGAATGTTGAACAGAATGAAAGAAGACAAAACGAGACAAAAGAGTGAAATGAATAATCATGCCCCCGAAGCAGATTCGCAGAATTTTAGATCAAAGGATAAAGGATGGAATGTTGATTTACTGGAACTTATTCTCAACGACATTGGTGGCACATTCAAAAAATATCAAATCATCAATTATATTCTTTTTTGCCTACCATTTTCGTTGTCTGGCAGCTTTGGATTAAATTACGTTTTTACCGCGCTAAATGTTGAATACCGGTAAGATTTTTGTGTTTTTATTTTCAACTTTAGACTAATCTTTCATATGCATTTTGTCAATTTCGATGCTCAATGTGATGCATTGACGTCTTTTCAACATACGCTTTTTGACACCTATTTAAGTCAGAGGTTAGGTAAGAGATAACTCATAAAGATTCTTTGAATTGTCTTTACCATCATAACTTTCAAATAGCTTTCACAACAAAGTCGACTTTTTTACTTTCTTTTCAAATGAAATGAATCTTATTAGGGCCAGAGAGAGAGGAGAGGAGAAGAGGAGGGGAGAGAGACCTACGGTACAGGTGAATTTCCCGAAAAATGAAATGAAATTTAAATATACTGCAGCTTCGCTATTTTTAGCGACTTTTTTCGCCAAAAAATTCGCTGTGTCTTTGATAGCCCACAATATATAATATACGATTGTCATCATTTTACCATTGTGTGGCTTTTGACATTTAATTTTTATCTACAATTTAATGCGTTCCCTAATTGTATGCCCATTATCACAGCTGTAGACGAGTTGTCACCGCAGTTCATAGAAGATAATTGTCATGTTCCTTTTTTTGAAATATTCGTTCCATTCAACCTTTGTTCGTTACATTATTTCATCTTTTTTTTTTCATTAATTTGGAACGATTAATTTTTGATAGGTATTTGTTATTGAGTGCATCAACGGTTGAAAAAAAGATGCAATGACCAATCAATGAATTATTTTTTTATCATGCACATTACATTTCACATAAACATATTTAATCCCATTAGTGACTGGCTGCAATCACAATTCTTTTTTCTTAATCATTTTGGTTCTTTTTCGTGTTTTTTTTTCGCCTTATTTGCATATTATTTCTCTTCTTTGTTTTTCTTTCGTCTATTTTTCATTCAATTTTGTTTGTTTGTTTGTTATTCAGAAACCACGCTCATTTTCATTTATAAAAAAAATTCCAAGAGGAAAATTTTCCAACAATTTTAATAAACCAGACATGGAATTTTTCATAGAAAACAACATCCAAAATTCAGTTGTTTCATTCCAGAATGCGATGCAATCGGTACAAATGTAAATCAGTCATGGATTTCAAATGTGATACCATTCGAAAACGGAAAACCATCGAAATGTACTCGTTATGCTGGTTATTCAAATATTACCACTCACTTCACGGACGAAATATGTCCGGCCGAACATTTTAATCAATCACATATTATAGACTGTAATAATAAGTTTATTTACAAAACGAATGAAATTTCCATTTTGAATAATGTAAGTATTGTTTTCTTTCTTCGAAATCAATTTAATGTTGTTGTTGTTGTTTTTTCGCCGTTATTAGAAGTTCAAAAAAATAATATATTATTCTTTTTCTCAATCAGTTTCATTTAGAATGCGATGATACTGACTGGAAATTGGCGTTTGTCGGCACCGCCAATAATTTGGGTCGTTTCATATTTATGCCGATAATGGGTTTGTTTTCGGATCGCTATGGTCGTCGAACTATACTGATAGCTGGTGTATTCGGCAGCACTATATTTGCATACATTCGATCAATTGCATCCAGCTACGTGACATTTGTTTTGTTTGAATTTCTGGATGCCGGTTTCGGTTCGATGACATACTCTGCTTCATTTATATTGGCCATGGAGTGGATTGGTGTTAAAGATCGTGTTTTACTTGGTAGCATTGTAACGGCCACATATCCATTTGGCCAAATATTTTTGGGTCTTACAGCGCGTGCTGTTCGAAATTATCAACAATTATTACGAATCATTTATGCTCCCGGTTTTTTAATTTTACTCTATTTTTGGATTGCACCCGAAAGTATACGATGGTTGATTGTCAATAAAAAGAAAGATCGCATTCTTTCAACATTAAAACGTGCCGAAAGAGTTAATGGATTAAAATTGTCGCCGAACACAATCGATCGAATCAATATTGAATTATATGGAGAAATGAAGATGACACCGCATGATGCAGTGAACGTTCCAATGGATGAACAACACGATAGTAAATTAAAACAGTTTCGAATTATTTTCACCCAAAGAGTTTTTCTGTTACGATTTTCGTTATGCGCATTTGCATGGTTGACAAGTGCATTCGTTTCGTATGGCATTTCGTTGACATCGATCACATTTGCTGGCGATAGATATATTAGTTTTATTGTGATTGCTATTGCTGGCATTCCGGCCATGCTTTTGGTATACTTTTTAATGGAATCATGCGGTAGACGATGGACTATTTCGATGTCATTGTTGATTGGAGGTTTATCGATAATCACTTCAAAATCACTGCCAACTTATTTTACCATAATATCAATTACATTATTTTTCATTGGAAAATGCTTCATTACCGTTGCATTTACCGGCCTATATGTGTACACAAGCGAACTTTGGCCGACTAGCATTCGACACAGCATGATGGGATTATGTTCAACGATTGGCAGAATTGGAGCCGCTTGTGCACCAATGGCACCACTTTTGGTATGTTGATAAATTTTTTTTTAACAAAAACCGCCTATTTTATCTTTCAATTGAATTTATATTGTGTTCTGCGGCTGTTAAATGTATAAGGTGACATTTTGTCTTTTTTTCTCTCTTTAAGGGTGTCTATTTGGAAATTTTACCGTACTTAGCATTTGGTTTGATGTCATTAATTGCATCAATTCTAATTTTAAAGTTGCCAGAGACATTGAAGCAAAAGTTACCTGACACAATATCCGAAGCAAAGCAAATTGGACGAGAGTCGGACAATGAAACATCATAAATTTCTGTTTTTTTTTTGGCAATGTTGTTGTTATTATTTGTTTTAAACCAATTTAAGTGTTCTGGCGTTTAGTAAATTTTTCCGCCGATGTAAAGAAATGTAATGTTACGAAAAAAACGGTAATAGCAATCTTGTACATATATTTATAAATAGTTTTTCACCATGGTATTTTTCTTATGTAAATTAAAATAGCTGCACATATTAAGCAAAAAAAAAATAAGTTGTTATCAAAGAAAAACAAATGACTATAAATAATAAATTTGGAAGATCAATACGGAATATGCGTTTTGTTATAATTCAATATCGTCTAAATATATATATACTAACTACTTATACAATCAAAAAAATAATATAACATTATTACATTGGCTGTGATGATGAGACTAATTCTCTACGTATTTTTATGTCTTTTTTTTGCTTTTGTGAAACTACACAATTTTTTAATAATTACTAGTGAGAGAGAGAAAGAAGCAAAACAAAACAATAACAAATGTCTTTCTCTTTTTTTGTTCATTTTTTTTCTGTCGTGATAAATGAGAACTTAATTCATTTACATGCTGGCCATTGATTTTCAGTGCAAAGCACTTTGGATTACATCATTCGTCCGCTGACTGAGTCCAGAATGAACAGAGTCCAGCACATAAGTACCGATCTTCACACCATTTGACACGGCGCCAAGCATACGACCCATTATACCGCGATTATTTGTCTTATCAATTGGTTCAATTTTTTGATTCGCACGATGGCCTGAAATTTCACAGAAATGATCGATTTATTCAGTTAAATAAATTGGATTGAATGGTTTTGAACGACATACCGACTAGAAATTTCAAAACAACGCGATTAAATTCCGACGGTTTCTCTTGGTGTGGCCAATGGCCGGCATTTTCAATAATTTTGACAATATAATTATCACAGTATTCCGTGCTTCGGACCACCGAATCTAATCGACAAAAATTATCCTCACTGCCTGTGAAAACAATGCAACAAAAGAAATCAATTAATTTTTGTTATCAATATATGATTTGCACATTGTGAAACGAACACTTACCGATCACGATTAAGCAAGGGCATCGTACCGTTTCACCCGCATTCACTTTGTAAAACGGTAGATTTCTATAATAGTTGAGCGGTCCGGACCAATCGCTTTTTCGGCTAAATACATATTTATATGCATCGAGTTTATTTGGTATTTGATGTAAGAGTAAATCACTATTATTGTATACTTCTTTATTTAAATGTGATAATGTTCGTTCGATGAATTTTGAATCGGTGCGTGTCATTTCCATTTCAGGTAAATATGGTAATTGTACGAATTTTAACCAGTGATCGTTGATCAGTGATTTTGATTGTAGATTGTCCCACATGAGATTTGGATGGGATGCCGACACCGACACAAATCGGTCCACATTCTCGGCATGTGTGTGCGCAAAAAACCATCTGAACCAAAGAAAAAAGATGAAAATAAGCTATTTTTACTGATGACATATTACACAATGTCATTTACAATAGAATTGATAAAATATAGCTCAGTCATTGCATTAAACTGATTTGAATAAAAAATCGATGTTACTTTCTCAACACTCACCCGATAACAGCACCAATGTCGTGTCCAATTATCGAAACGGAATTTGACCCAAGCGATTTGATAAATTGCAACAGTTCATCACATATTTTATGGATTTTATATTCTTTACGCCATTGCGGTTTATCGGAATCATTGAAACCCTTTAAATCGAGAGCGACCACACGATAGAAACGGGACAGCTCTTTTATCTGCACGAGAAAAAAAGAATTGAAAAAATGATTCATGGCACGTATCTTTTAACGTATAATTTAAATGTCTGGCTAGTTTAATTAATTCCTCTGCATACATACTCTTAGCAAATACAGATCGCAAAGTATCAAAATCAAAAGTAATCAAAGTAAAGCTGCATTTTCTCTGTTCTGTATAGATACAGATATTATTCAGCCAGCTCTTTGGATTTCGATTTTGTAACCATCTGGTTGTACAACGTGCCTCTCTGAATATGGACTTCTTTTTTATGGTTTCGCTTTTTTTCATCTGGCAAATTCTGAGTTTAACAGACAATATGAAATATATTCGGGAATTTCCCAACATTCAAAGAAAAAAAAATGATGGCGTTACTTCAAGATGTGTAATAATATCCTTTTGAATTCTCTTCGTTGTAAACTTTGTACTTTACTTTAAATATTTATGTGGAACTAGGGACTCGAATTTATTGAGGTCATTTGACGAACAAAAAGGAGACTTTTTTACGGTCGATCCATTAGCACCTTTATGTCTGTTCTGTATGGATGGTAAAATGCGATTTTACTCTGATTGAGCACATCTGTGTTTGCTAGGAGATCTGTTTATGCAGATTTTTTATGATTTTTTAAAAAAAAGTAATATCGTATTGGATTTTGTGATAAATTGATTTTGTCATTTGATATCATACCTGATTGTGCCATCCAAGCCAACAATCTGGAAAGCCATGCAATAGTAAAATCAATGGATCCGATTGATTGCCGGCTTCAATGTAATGTAATTTAGTGCCTTTGAGTTTAACGTATGACTGAAGTCCGATGCGATTGTCAACAAGACACGGTGGCGGCTTGTCATGAAAATAGTCCGGATAATCAATGGGCGTCAGTGTGATTTGTTGTTGATATTTTGTTGATTGTTGTATCGAATGCCATAAGAACTGTGCAAACCATTTTAATAAAATCCATAGTCCAATCAAAATCGATTTTAGATGATAGCAAAAAATTGTCCATCGCGATAATTTCGTTAAAATATCGTATGGATTTTTTCGTTTCGTAAAAAAACTGTCGTATTGATTTTGCGGCAAAACATCATTACTACTCGTTTTTGTGTATGATGAAATTTGAAACATTTTGTTTATATACATTTATACTTGATTTATGCACTAATAACACACACCTAAAAACTAAAAAAATAGAATACCAAATAGAATAGTTTTGTTGTTGTTTCAATCGTTCTTTGTGATTCAATAAGTCTGTTGCTTGTTTGGCGCCAAACTCTTGCTCACACTACAAATTTGGACTTTGAATTCATTCGAGCAGATTAAGTTATGCTCGATGCGATCACATATACACTCCAAAATAAAAATGCGATACTTCGCCGTTTACTCTTCTGTCCTTTTCGTCTTTCTCTTTTTCTCTATCTATCTCACTTTTTAACTAAATTTCTTTGAAGTGTTTTTTCATCAGTAAATTTTTTTTTATTTCAGCAAATCATTAAAATACGGCAAACACTTGAAACAAACAACAAAAAACAACAGTTAATTGCGCACGAAATTTGATCGTACAGTATTTATGCGCCACGTCGGCTAATTAAGAAAAATCAATTGAAAAATCGCGTCGATGTTTTGTTGTATTTATAGTGTTTTTCTCTGTTTTGTCTGGGAATTGTGTCTTCATTAAACCGATAATAATGAATTGTATGTGCAACGGGCGCACGAGCGATAGCAACTCTCATTTGGTTTCGCAATTTTCAATTAACGAAGTTTTTTTTCTTCTTCTCTCATCTCAACACTGATTGTAAATCATTGCAAGATGGAATTGAATTCAAAATTTAAAGAGAAATAAATTACATATCATCACGTCTGATAGACAAAAGATATGACAAATAAATGAAGAAATTTTCCTGTCAAGAAACTTTTTACAATTTACACACGGTCAATCACAATGCTTAATGAATTTGAATTGAATTTTTTTGATTGATTTGTATGCAATATTCACTTTATTCTTTTTCACTCTACCATTCCGGAGCAAGACCTTAGACAAACTCTGAAAATATGATGTTTGAGCTTGAGTTTGTGTGTCTAGCTCTTTGATAGTTTCAATCTTTTTTTCTCTGTTACAATTTTTCCATTTGTACAAATAATTGCTTCGTCAATTTAAATACACATTTCGAATTTCGAATTTTGAATGAAAACCACACTCTCACTGTTAAATGTGATATTATCGTTTCTTTTTTTCCGTTGAATGTCGCGTGTATGGAATAAGTTTGACAGTTACTTGAATCGATGTTGTTTACTAAAAACAATAACTGAGTAATACATCGATGCCGGTCCTTCAATTCCACAAATTTCATTCAGTCATTTCTTTCTCTTTGCTGGATTACGGTTGAGCAATACGCGTGTCAAATGCCTGAAAACACTGTGCACATTGATTGATGCAGTCAATTTTAAACAAACACTCACACCGAAATACTGAAGAATCCAAATCATTTGCAGTACTTGAAGTTTGTTGTCTTTGGTGGTGGTGGTGGTGCTATCGTCACGTATTGAATGCTCTTGTTTTGACCGTTTTGCATCTCTCTTTCACCTTTGATCACTCATTTGATGTCGTTTTCTACTTTTTTCAGTTTCATTTTGCTATGTTTTGACTTTATCACTGTGAATTATACAACATTGCTTGAAAAATTGTCAAATATTATTTACACTCCTCATTCTTCTCTTCCATATTTTCTATCGATTTTTTTTTCTATATCGAAGCAAAGTGCTAAACGCCACACAATGTTCGATGCCGCATATTTGACTATCTCATACATATAGCAATTCTCTATTTATCTCGATCGTCTGAAACTGATAGAAAGATTTTGCAAAAGATTGCAATCACAGTCCTACTTGGTCGCGATGGTCTATTCAATTTGAGTTTGAATGAATTTTTCACTTTTCACTGTTGATAGCAATATGATTTTCTTCATGATCTCAGTACAACCAAATGCATGTGTTGATTGACTGTCACGCATCGTACGATATTTTTTATGTATTCGTATGCTTTCAAAGTGTGATGTTGATTCGAAATTTTTTTTTTATTAAAGCGTCACAATGTTTGTTGCTCTTTTTTGTTCGGTTATATTTTGTTGGCCGACTGATAACTTATCAACGATAAGATTGGTGCGTTGGCTTGCATCATTTTAAGTTGGACTCGATCATTGAATGACTTGTATATGTCTATAGACATGAACTTGGAAATCAACCGAATAGTAAGTACGAGACTATGTTGAGCGAATGTGGATGGAGAAAGAGAGAGAGAGAAAAATGAGAGATAGACGGATAGGCAAAATGAGAGGCTATCGTTTACAATATTTGGTGGTCCGAAGGGCACGCAGTAAAATCAATGCAATCATGTTAGACTGTGACTAATAGTCACACGCAGATTCATAAAGTCAAACTAAAAATACACGCTGCCGACAATCAACCAATGAAATGTGCAATATATTTGAAGTTGTGGAACAACGCCTGGCGAATAAAAAAAACTATGCAAAGTCAAAAGTCATCATATATTGTAGACAGATTCAGTGATGGGCAACTGTTGTTAACGGATATGATTACAATTTTGTTTTGATTTGCTTATGTGATGAAAGTCTAAAAGTCGTTGGCAACACCGTCCAACAACAAACAAAAATAAATGAATTTGTTTCTTCTGCTCTGCTGTTTATTTCACTTTATCAGTCAAGTGAATTATTATTATGTTGCCAAAGAAAAAAAAATGTTTTCTTGCCGAATGTATATTAATTTCTTTGTCTAAATTGTGATAATTACAACAAGCGGAATTTTTAGTCATTTTTTCTTTAATTCAAAATAGATGCAGTTGCGTGAAGAAGATAATTTACTAATACGATAATAATTTATATGAATTAAATGAAAGCAACTCACAAACCTGTTTACACTCGCGGAAAATTTTGAATAACTGACAAAATACCTATTTGAACCCATGCTCGTTACACTGATTGGACTTTTTTTTTAATTTCATTCACTTTTACTAATGTCAGTGAATTTTTTTGGCGTTGATTTCATCCAAATACCATAACATATGTATACACATCAGTAATCGGTCCTGTCGTCAACAGTTTATCAATGGACGAATTTGATGCGTTGATTAATGTGCTTATTTTTATAAAGATGGAATTTGTCCTAATAAAAATTAAATCGAAGTAGATGGCATACATTTAAAAAAAAAAAAGAAAAATAAAGACAGTTAATTATGATTTCTTTTCTAGTAAAATTTCAATGAAAAACATTTGAATTATAAGAAAATGACTGAGATATTCACTGTTCAATAAAATTAATATTCAAACAAAAATATATCTTTCAAAATTGGCTTACGTTCTCAAAATTATGTCATGTTTTCGTTTACTTTGGTATTTGCCAACACAATCAAATTTACTTTAAAATAATCCGAAATGGTTTAATAAATTTAGTTACAGTTTATATCTCTAATCGTCGAGTTATTTAATTAATTCCCCTTTAACATTCAATATTTTCTCTTTTCATTGGAGAATGGACTTGAAACTTACCCTTTACAAATTTAGAATAAATTTCTGGAATTCTGAAAGTGACATTTTTTAATTGCTTTACACATTTTTCAGAGACGAAATGATAGATAGAAATTCTGAAAGTGAAAACGTAAAAAAGACATTCACTTTTTCACAGACCGGAAAAACCGATTGAATTTGATTTCAAAATACAATTGTGGAAGTAACTTTGAAAATGCATCATTAAATTAAATGAAGTAAATCAATTGCATTCAGAAGAAACATTTCACTAAATGTGTTCTTTGATAAGTTTGAAAAAAAAATTGGAAAATGTTACCGATCGATAAAAAAAATGTGAATAAAAAGAAAATGTATAAACAAAATAACTGATAAATTCAACATGGTGAAAAAATGTGTTTGGTTTTGGTCTCTGCTTTTATTCACCATAACATTGATCACATTGACAAATGTCAAAATATACGCGCGAAAAATATTGTTGAATCCGAGGCGGCATGTAATGTTTTGTTGTGTCTCAATCGTTGTATATTCGCTGTGAACAAGGATAAAATTGTCTTTATTGTTTTTCGTATCTGATTTATTATTTGAAAATAAAAGTTCGTGTACATAAATCAAAATGGAAACACTGGAATCACTAACACCCGATGTATTCACTGAGAAATCGACGGAAGTGCTTGAGACACTATCAAATGAAGCGTATCGTGCAAAAATTCCGTTGATTAGCAATTGGGAGAATTTTAATCAATTGAAGGATATGCAACTGGTTCGATTTCGTGGTCTGGTGCAGAATATGCTCGATCCAGAAATCTATTTACAATCGTATCAAGTGAAAAGTGACAATGAAAATGTATCACTACGAAATGGAAAATATCGTGACAATTTAAAATTGCAGGTAAACACAAAAAAAAAAAATATTAAAATTATTCTTTTCGAAAAAGTTCCTTTCAAAATCGTGAACATTCCGTTATAGGCAAATGAAGAAGTGTTATTCGATGCAACATCAAATGTACATGGTGAACGACGGCCAATATTCATGGTATCAATACCAGGTCTAAATGATTGGGCAGTGAACATTGAAAAAGAGCATTTTGTCGCAGACAGCATGGACGTTGAAATGAATAATTTGCAATCGAATGGAGTGAAGCGATCGCTTGATGAAAACGAAACAAACGAAAATATTGGTGATCAAATGGATACCGATTCGGATGCAGTACGTTGCAAGAAATTAAATCAATCTGGTGCTGAGACAGAGGAAAAATCAACCACAAATTCAAATTTATCAAAGGAATATTTATTGAATTCACCGATTGTTGATCGACCAAGCAATGCTTGTCTCGTCAAATTGTACGATGATGCTACCAATGTATCATTAAATGATGTGCTTGATGTTGTTGGTTTTGTGTCAATGGATGCAAATTTGTGCGGATCAAATCGTCAGCCGAATGATTTTGAAAGTTTCGATGAAATTTGCGCAATGAATCCGCCACCATCGTTGATACCACGCATTCATGTGATTTCATATCGGTCACTCACTCATATCAATCCATTGCTCCATGATAATCGTCACAATGGTGAAGCGTTGAACGATCAAATCAAATTGGATTGCCTACGAGATTTGAGAACAGCACTTACACAATGCTTATTTGGTGATGAAATTGCCGCCGATTACCTATTTTGTCATTTAATTTCAACAGTTTATGTGCGTGGCGACGAAACGCTGGGACAATTTTCATTAAACATCACCAATTTTCCACATGGCAAATTGCCCGATTATACAAAAGAACTTTACGATGTCATCGAATCAATTCTACCGGCCAGTCACTACTTTCCAATTACAATAGATAACCTAAATACCACCGAATTCATTCCGACGTAAGTTTGATCGGTTTTAACATTACTGAAGTTTTTTTTCTCGTTCAAAATCAAAATTTTTGAGACTACTGTTTCATTTTTTTATTATTTTAGCAAAGACTACGAAACATGTAAATTGAACAGTGGTCTATTACAATTGGCACCGCATACACATCTGGTGCTCGATGAAACCAAATTGGAACCCGGCAAATTGGAGAGCCATGGCATTGAAGGTGTCATGCACATTTCAAATCTCATTCGAAAGCAACAGCTCAATGTGAACTTTAAATATTACACCATTGATTACAATTCAAACATCCCTGTATTGATATTTAGCGAAGGCAAAAGCATGTTTCCGGTAAGTTTAAAAAAATATCATCTTTATTCTTTTTCTGTTGCTTTTTTTTATCATTTGTATCAATGTTGACTTTCATGACCATCAAGAACCAAGAATATTTGTTAAAAATTGTTTCAATGTTTTTTTTTATCCTATTCCAGAGCAATTGTCACATTCCGATCAAGGTTGATGAGGACACAATATCTCTTATAAATGAAACGTTTGTAGCACTGAAGCAATTTTTGAAGCCAAAATTGAATGTGATTCGTCGTTTTCTAACCGAAATGCGTCTGCAGGAATTCGATATGAATCCAGAGAATACGGAAATGATTCAAGAAGATTTCATTGAAATGCGACGTACATTCAACGCATCGGCTGATGATTTGCATATGATGATGATACTGTCACGAATGCTGGGCATCATTCAGGGAAAGAAAATGCTTGACGCACAATCATGGAATCAGGCGAAAACAATGGAGTCTGAACGTCGAAAACGCGTTGAAGCACTGCCCAAAATGAAAAAATCAGCCTAAAATTCAACGCGTTCAATGCGTAAAAAATTACAATCAAATATCAATTGTTTTAAACCCCATTTTATCATTATTATTCGAATAAAAACATAATGAACTCAAAGAACTTAAGTAAAAAAGATCATCAAAAAGGAAAAATTAACTTCAATAAAAGTTCATCCAATAAAATGTATTTATTGCTTTTTTTACAATATATTCATTTTTTTATTCTTTCCATTGTATATGTTGAAAAATACAAATCACAAAAAAACTCTCCTACAGTGTACACATAATCATAAAATTGTGATTTTTCTTGTGTATTCTTCGATAAATAAAAATGGTATAAAGAAAATGATTTAAAAAAAAATTGCGCGCACAATATATCGATTCCAGTCTCCACAAAAGTCTTTCATATTATCTTAACGTATAGATATAAATCGTTGTTAACAAATAAATTATTGGACACAAAAAAAGAGAAAATAATAGAACGAATAAAAATAAATGCAAATTTCTTGTCTTCTGTTCCATTCCGAAAATTAAGTGGGTACGTAGAAGAAGAAAAAAAAATACTCGACCGTGCATAATTCGACGTTCGCTGAATAATAATTATAATAAACTTAACTATAACGTTAGGAATATTTAAACTAGTTTAACATAAAAAAAATGCTTGATTAAATGTGAATCTCTATATGTGTCTTTCTCTTTTCTATGTTAAATGTGACGAATCAGTAGAAAAAAAAAAGCAAATGTGTGGACGTCTAATCGCCATCATCGTAGACGGGATCATCATCGTCACTACTTTGTTGTGGCTCATCTTTGAATGTTGATAAAAATATTGCTTCGTCGATGCCCTCGTGTTCGTTGGATGAATCGAAGCTATTTGGCAAACTATCACAATCATCAAGCACTTCCATCGATTGATCACCACAATCATCCATTGTTTCTTCGGCACCATTCAATGTCGATTCGGTTGACATTTGTGCACCCATATTATTCTCTTGTTGATTATCATTTGATTCTTCCGAATATTGATAACGCTCTTTCGGGAACATGAACCATACATCTCGACACAAATTCGCCAAACCGGGGATATTTTGCACTTTCTGTAAACGAAATGGGAAAAAAAAGAATATAAATTTCTATGTGAGTTCCGCATTCAGAAAAGATTGACTTTTTTTTTAAGTAGAATTCAACTTACATCCAACAATTGTGGATACTTGGTGATAACTTTCATGCATCGAAATTGAAGGCAATCACGAAATGATGTTGTGTTAATGAGACGCACCGATGATTTGGCCGAAGTAGAACACACCATTGCATAAAGTTCCTTATCGAGTGGTATATTCCGGAATGCAATGCCTTGAGGACTGTATAAAGATACGAACAAATTTTTTTTTATCGGTATTGAAAATAAAACCAGAAAAAAAGAGAAAACAAAATAGATAATCAAATAACAAAAAAAATTGAAGTGAGTCACTTGAAATTTCATTTATCGGACTTTTGTTTTGGTATATATTTAGCACGCTTCACATTACAAATACGATAATTAGGTGCTTTTGATCTTATTGAAATACAATAAAATGTCGATCTTTCGAAATTATAGACTATGTATTGTACTTACATTCGATTCACGTAAAATTCCAAATGACCACGTGACAGATCCAAGTACACACCGACAATGCAACGTTTTGTATATGATTTTCCATAATATTTAAGAATATTTTTATGTTGTATCATTCCACGATGTGAATAGCCCCAAGATCGATGGTCCAGGCCAAGAGCGCTGGCGAATTTATACCGATATTCCATTAAATTGAATGCATCGGTGCCGATGCCAACCATCTAAAAATAAAATATACACAACAACAATGAAAGACCATTGTTTACCAATCATTTGAAAAGCGGCAACTGATATGAATTGAATATTGTTGTTTATCGTTGTTTGGCACCTCATTGTATACAAAGATAAATATATATCTAAATATAGTTTATCGAACGTTGTACGGCACAAAGAGAGGAAAAAGATATATATGTGTGCCGTTTAATTAATAAATTATCGTATATTTATTCACCGTGCCGGGTAATTTAATTGGTATTTACATAAAGACGGCAAAGCGAATTCATATAAAACCTTTCTCAGGTACAATAAAAACAACAACACGAATAGGATGAATGATGCGCAAGTTAATAAGTTTGATCATGAATTGAATGCGTGATGTGACCAAAATTGAGTACAACACAAATACACGTGGACAATTTGATGCTTGGTCAAATATTAACAGGAAATTGACGGTGAGTGTATTGGGTTCTCGGAATTTCGAGCGCAAAATTACTGATTTTTAAGCGATATACACTTCCTTTTGAGATTTGAATTTCTGATATATTATTTTTTTGTTTACTTCGAATATCGACCATATTTTTACCACCTTTCATACCATTCTGAATGACAGCGCGATAAAGAATATGACGCACGATGTCTTTTCAAAAATCTTATTTGCTCTTGTTGGATTTGCTCTTTTTAGTTTTGTTTTTAAATCAACCGCAGTTTTCAGTACACTTATTAAAATAATCAATGCTATTTATAATGACAATATTTGATGATTTAGTGTGCCGCTTGTTCATATATGCGTGTGGTCATTAGTGTGTCGGCATTTGTTTCGTTCACAAATATTCTCATTCATTATCATACTTTTGGAGCGTGATAGAGAGAGAAAGAGACCACGTCATTGAACAACAAAAAAAAACGATACGCACACACATAACGAAACAATACAATAAAATGTAGTTGTTGCTCATTGAATATTTGCATAATGCATTCGTGCGCATTGTTATCAAGAATCATGAATTTGATAATCGATCAATGCACCTCAAGGGACAAATTTCATTTGCTCAGTGCGATCAGAAAAGGTCGTTTATGTACAAATCAACATTTATTAAAGTTGCAGTTATTTTATTCTTTTGACATTTTTACTCATAAATCCGATAGGCCGCTATCAGTTGATGGATGAATAATAATAAATTCATTAGAGTCAACGTGCTTTAGAATTATTATTTTTTTTACAATTTTAACTGGCCCAATTGTTTTTCATATTCAAGATTCTAATGAAGAACAGTGATTTTTCAGTGATTACTATTTTTGTTTTTTAATTTAAAGACGCAGAGCCTAAAGTGAATGCAAATCACAAGCGAACAGAAAAAAAAAACGTTTTGCTTTATCTCTTAATAAAGGAATTGTGCACGCGTTCACATTTTGAAGAGAGTGAGAGCTAGAGCAAGAGAGAGGTGTAGGCCATGGTCAATCAATGTATTGACGTATTTAAATGCGAATAACAAAGTATTTTGCTTTTTAAGTGATTTTAATCAATAAAATCGGTGGCAAGCACGATCGCTTGACTTTGTAAGAGTCGAGTAAAAAAATGAAAATCGCAAACAGGTGAAGGAGAGAGAGAGAGAGAGAGAGAGCGTGCGCTATGAACTAGAAGTCGAAAAATACAGGTTTACATTTGAAGGGCTCGTGAAATTATGTTGAATAGCGGAAGGAAAAAAAAGGTGGAACTTACCAAGTCAGTGCCCGATAGCCAATGAACAATTTTAATTTCCCAATAATGTATCATATTTGGCAACAATGGCTGACTGCTACGTACTACCGATGTTCCCTGGCTGTAGATCGGATGAAATTGTACGGTATGATTTTGAATTGTGGTTTGTGGTTGTAATTTTAGTCGATCCCATGTCCAATCGATGTTTGTGCACGTATCTTCGCCGCATCGGCATGTGTCGGGCGGAATTTGTAAATTTGATTTATCAATACCTTTTGGTGCATCCAAGTAGACTTTTCGTGTATCGGGTAATTGATTTGCCCCGGTTAAATTCAATTGACACTTTGGTTTTGGTTTTTCCACTGGTTTTTGTTGTACATCGATTTTTTGGCATCGACAAAATGACGGATTCTCCGAGTTCTCGTGACATCGTGATGTTGTTTGTGATGGATCATTCGCCGGTGCACTCGTTTTCGGCGTTGAATATAACTGAATAAGACCCATTCCGTGAAGCATTCGTAATTGACATCCAATTTTGTACGTAAGAAATATGAGGATGTTTTTCGCGGCTCACCTTTAATACTGGTTTATATGCTCTCGCACACACACACACACACACAAGCAAAAGTCTTTTCCTTGCGTTTAAAACAGCGAAAAGTAGTACTGTAATGATCACTTCCGATCTATCTCGCTGCTTGATTGCTAAGTAAGAAGTGCTTTGCGCTCAAAGTCACTTGTATATATGCACGGTAAACCTGTCAATGGCAACGAACAAAATAAAAAAAATTAGTGGAAAATTTTCGATAGACCGGTGTTTCGGTTGTAACTGAAACATCTACCAAAAAACAAGTGGCCCGTGAGTATGCGTAGTAAGCATGCGTATTTTCCGTGGAAAATTTATAATAACATTTTTTTGGATGGTTTTTTTTTCGTGGCCAGAATTGCGCAAATAAAGAATACACCTATAAAGTTGTTAAAAATAAATCTTATTTTTATTCGATTTAAACGTTGGCTACTACAATAATATTATATGGAAATGCAATCTGAATGTGTCGTCCATTTATATGTGGTTTGTGTGTGTTTTTTATCAATTGGTTGAGATGCTCGTTTTATCAAGATAGTCTCACAATAAATCTACCGATCTCCAAACTTTGAACGCATATTTCGGTATGCGTTTTGTTCTCATACAATCATTTAATGTACTTTGTTCGATTGATTCGTATCAGAAATGTGTCTGGTGTGAGGCATTAATGTATATGTTTGAACCGAAATCAAGTATATGTTCAAAGTATTTTGAACGTTTCATATCGAATTATATTGATTATCTGCGTGCAAAGTGAACGAACTGACAGTCGTACTTTTTTTTCATACGTCTTAAATTCGATAACAAACAACGACCATTAATGCCATAATCCAGCGGATTCGACTTTTGGACAATTTTGATAATTAAATCACATGGACTCCGCAATAAACAAAAAAGGGCAAGTTTATTTCAGATAAAACAATTTTTCAGAATAATCACCGCCTCTGATATCCATAAATAGAAAATTGTGAATTTTTTAATGCATTTTTTTTTGGAAGAAAATTCACATCATCAACACACAGACTTTTGTTTTTACAAGCGGCACCAAAATAATAATCTCGATCAAGTCACTCACACTTACACACATAAATACCACAACGAACGACGGAATCAATAAAAGAGTGAAATAAATGTACCTTCTTTACCATCAAAGTACATTATTGTGTTTTTTTTTCTCGTTTCTGTTAAGATAAAATTGCAATTGTAAATGTTTTTCATTGGCATAGCTCAAGTTCAAACACAAAACAAAAAAAAATGTGTATCCAAAGAAATTGAGAGGAAAATCCCCAACAAAACTTGATTAACTTCTTTTTGCTGTATTTGGCAGCGACTATTAGCCGTGTGTAATTTATCTCTGTTTTGTTTCTTTTGCTGATTTGCACCACATGAAGCATTTGTGGTAATGACATTAGAAAATATTTACCTATCAAAAATGTGTGTGATATGTTGTATTTGATTGGTTGATTGTTTTCTTTTCTGTCTCTTTTCACAATGGTCTGCGATTCACGGTGATTAAATGCTCTGTTGATATGGTTGTAAATGTCCTTTTTTTTACTCTCTCGATGTGTCTACAAACTTTGTTATTGTTGACCGCACTTGATGATAAGTACTTGTATTGATGCGTTGTTTCGTTGTGATTCTCGACGAAATTTTTCGATATCTTTGTATATTTTTTTTCCTCACAATAAATGAATTACAACGTTCTCCGTTTAACTATCTTCCAGCACTAAACTCGGTATTTCGCGCACAGCAAGCATTTTAGTCAAATTCAACCGATAGAGATGTGCGATTGAGTGAATGTACATGTTCATGTATATGGTTGAGAGAATGTTCGTTGCGTTTTTACATGTATTTGTGCATGAAATGTCATCGAGACTTTTATTTTGCGGTTGTTTCGTCAGTTCATTTATTTACTATTCATTTGGACCATATGTCTCAGCGTATACGTCATTTAAACTGTTCACACCACTGTATACCATTCAATATACAATTATACACACTCAAGCTTATTGCAGTCGGAAAAATAACACCACCGGATTTGAACGAACGGAATCCGTTTACGAATGTATCAAATGAACATTGAAGCAAAAATAACGTGCATTGATTTCATTTATTCAAGTCGAGCACATGACAGTTTTGTTTACATTTTTTTTTCGTTAATTTTTGTTTGAATCGAGAAAAAAAAACGTATGCTCACTTAAATTTTATGGGTGACATTCAATTTGATATTGAAATTGATCAAAAATTTCATTCAAATTACGATAATTTCTCTTTCATTCTTTTGCATGCACTTTCTCCCAAATCAATGCCACTTCTATGATGAAAATCAATGATTGAGAAACGTGAATTGTTTGTAACCCGATTTTTTGGGTCGCAATTTGAAAGAAAATAAAACAAAAACCACGACAGTTTACCGTTACCATGGAGACAATTTAACAATAACGAAAATCCCGACGTATTTATTTGAACATTTGATTTCGGACCAACACATATAGAACAACGAAATGGTTGCAAAGTATTTACCGAAAATAAAACGAAATCACTGTATTTTATTATAATTGGGGGTTGACAGGTAATAGTACTTGTAAAGAACTTACACCAAAACAGACAAATAAAAAAAAACAAAATTTAAAAACATATAATATAATATAAATACAAACAAAAGTGAAATATTCTTGGCGATGACATTGAACATTTTGAATAAAGTTGATTTTCTATCGAAGGAACGAATACATAACAACGCCATTTGGCAATCACTTCAATAGCTAGAAGCAAATTGGTCAAATTGAAAATAGAAAAAAAAAACGAGTTAGCAAACGCTGTGAAAATAAACGCATCTGTATTTTGGTGCGTTGACGAAACAAACAATTGAAACGAAGAAATTATCTTGTTTGCATGATGGGTTTATTCGATATGCTGGCTGGCATGCTGAAAGTGCGCAAAGAACAAATAAACATTTTGGTGATTGGTCTGAATAACAGTGGTAAATCAACAATAGTTAATCATTTCAAAGATCCAGAAGAAAGAAGCCAAGTCACTTTGCCCACAGTCGGATTTAATGTTGAAAAATTTCAAAGTGAGTGATGAGCCTGAGTGCGAGATTCAAAATTGGGACTATTCTTTTATTTTTATGTTAATATCGATTATGCATTATATCGATATTGTGTGTTATTTTACTTCTGTGTTTATTTTTTTTTTGATCTCTATATGTACAATTTGATGTATACTATATTTTCTGTCTTCTCCTTCCCTCCCCAGATTTAAAGTAAATTGTTGAATAAAATTGGCTTTATTTTGATCTGTATTTTATAGCAGCTGTGTGTGCATAATAAAAAGAAAAAAAGATCGTTGTAAAATCTCACAGCAAACGTAAAAATATATAAATCGATCACCATGGTTTTTTGTGTGTCCGTGTGTGCATTGTTATTGCTATTGGTAAATTTTTTAAGTTGTGTCTTCTTTCTTCTCTTCGCTCAGTAATGACTATTTGCTTAATTCACCAAATACTATTGTAGTTGCAATTAATGTTGTAACCGTAATTTGTTGTTATTGTCTTACAAAATCGTCCAAAAATGTCATAATTGCACATTTAAATTTAGATAAACTGGTCGTCCAATTGGTCACACATCAACAATACACCAACGATAATATATAATGAACATATGCATGCAAAATCAACACCACCTACACTACCACCACCCATCCATTTGAATGAAATTTCTATTTTTATCTCTGATTTGAATTGATTTGTAGATCAGGGTATTGCGTTTACAGCATTCGATATGTCGGGTGCTGGACGCTATCGCAATCTCTGGGAACATCATTTTAAATCGTGTCAAGGTATCATATTCGTCATTGACTCCAGCGATCGAATGCGGTTAGGTAAGACAATAATGCGTAATAAAAGGAATATTTCTTTCCAAAAATGCTATTGTATTCATTGTCCATTCAAAGCCGGTTTTTTCTCTGGATAAAACTTTTTCTTACCTTTTCCGTTTCTTATTTTGGTTCAATTTAATTTCTTTTTTGATCATTTTTTAATCGTTAATTTGTTTTTTTTTTCTGCTTAATCATTTCTCAGTTGTTGTCAAGGACGAATTAGATATTTTAATCAAACATCCCGACATTCAAAATCGTCGTATACCAATTCTTTTCTTTGCGAACAAAATCGATTGTCCCGATTCGTTGTCAAGTGTTAAAATTGCCGCAGGTTTGAACTAGATTTTACTTCAACTTTTACTTTTTACGGTTTCTAAGACGAGTTTTTGTTGTTTTGTTTCTTGTTTCTTTTCCATTTCGTTTAGCATTGGGCTTAGAAAAATTGAAGGACAAACCTTGGCACATAAGCTCAAGTAATGCACTGTCTGGAGAGGGTTTGCAGGATGGAATTCAATGGTTGGTGCAACAAATTCGTGAAATGATTGCCTCAAGTACTAAGAAATGAATGATGTGGTGAATTGGTTTCATTTTTCTTGTTTCATACAAAGATTACATTTATGTCTATGTCAGCTTATAACGAAATTAAATTCTATGCCAAATTTGTCTCTTTACAAATTGTCAATTTCTTTTCGGTACAAATAAAGTAATTTATCAATTTTTCACACAAATTATGATATATTATTTTTTTTCACTTTTTCCTTCGTCGATACGAATTTCGGCTTTATATGGTGTTTTTGGGGGAAAAATTGAAGAAATTTTTTTATAATAAGAATGATATCATGAATTTTTTTCGAATGCGTTGTTGGTATCGCAATCGATTCAACAATGGCTCAAGATTTGATAGCATCGACATCAGAAATGCCAAAGAGTTTTCATATCGATTTAAGAATTTAACAAATGGTGATAATGGTAATAATGTGGATCCACAACGCGTTGAAAAATTCAATATTTTAATGAGAGATTTGACTGAAATTGGTTGTTCGGTCAAATGCAACGGCAAATAGAAGTGTATCACAGTCATGCCGAACAATGGAATACCATTCATGAAATGTTTCGTAACAATCCGAACTTTCAAGAGCCAACAATCAATCGACCACCAAAAATAAGCAGTTTTGCTCTTATACCATTATGCGACTACCATTTGAAAAACGTGCGATTGGACATTACGGACTTGTATAATAAAATTGTAAACAAGCTTGATTTGGTGCCTTCTTTTCTCAATACGCGGACCAACCGGATGAATAAGAGAAAAGTAGAGTACTACACCCAAACTGATCGATCAGGTCTATGGAATATGTTGTTCGATGTCGGTAAAATAAATAAATTGGGCAAATCGAAACCATTCCATCATCAGATTTTGACCGATAGTGTTTCAATATCCATAATGTACAAGAAACCACAGCGACAACAACGACCACAGCAAACAACCCAAGCGAATCGGGGGTCGGAAAAACTCATTGGCAAGAAATACATCATTGGAATCGATCCGAATGAAAAATCGTGGTTAACTGTAGTGCGTCGCAACATTCAAAAAACACCTGATGAGCCGGCTGTTGAGGTAAGATATTTTGAAATGTAATTTGAAATGGTTTTGAATAGAAACTCATAGTTTTTTGTATCATTTTGCATTTTGAAGGAAAACATTATAATACCAAACCAGCGTTTTCATTGGGAAACTCAGCAGAAAAAACGAGACAAAGAAGCGAAAAAGTTGGCTGGATGGTTTGATATCGAAGAGAAGGAACATTTCAAAACATACCCATATCGTCCACCATCACCACGTAATTCAACATGGAAATCATACATTGAATATCGCATTAAAATGTTACGAAAAGGAATGGCAGCTTATGCGACGCGTGAATATGCACGACTGGATTTAGACCATCACATTCGCTCGACCAGAGTAAATGATCAAATCGCCGTGCGTGTGACAAACCGTCGTTGGTTCAATTTGGTGCTTGGGCGATGAAACCCGATCGACCGTTTGGAATAAAAAAGCGTAAAAGATGTCCGGGATCGCGTAAGTTTTGTGTGAGCATTAAAAAACTTGGACATTCAGAAGTTGAAATGCAAGATGAATGGGGAACATCACAAACATGCGCGAATTGTCAGGAACGTTTTCCAAGGCACACAAAAGATGATCGATTTAAAGTGTGCTACGATTGTAGAGCGAAAAAGATTGATGGCCTGCCAGATTCAGTCGCTGGACTGTGTTTTGAGAAGAAAACGTGCAATTATTAAGCGACAAATTATTGATGGCAATCGTGAGGCTGTGAACGAAAAACTTCGGACTGGGCGTTTAATGTCAAAGGTTAAAGTTACCTACAAAAATTGGCCATTAAATGTTGATGATGATGATGTTGTTCCACAAACAGTTACTTGGCACCGAGATATTGTTGCAGCAAAATGCATTATGCTCAAAGGTATGAATCAATTGGAAACAGAATATTCATTATTTAATGTATTTGCTTTAAATTACATAGGACTTTGCCGGATCTTTGATGTACCATTGCCAGTTTCATTGTTAAGACCGCCGGACTAAAACAACAATGTCAACTAACAAACATCATCAATTAATCATACATTCAAAAAATTACATAAAATAAAATATTTTAACTATTATAGTTAGCTTAGCTAGACATGAACAGACTATATAAAGTCTTGTGGTCTAGTTGTACAATAGTACAACATTGTACGGAGGGGGAGTGCTCGTAGGTGAGTAAAGTTTTTAATTTAAAAAAAATATTTTATACCCAGTTCAACTGATACTAATGGTTGTCTTTCCCTTTTTCCATGTTTTCACACCTGAATGTTCCACCATGCCAAACCTATGGAAATGACTGAAACTACACACGAATCTAACCCCGAAAACGACCGTCAATATGTGCTTCATAATGGATGCATTTGCCCTATCAATTGTTTGCTGGGATAGAAACCAAAAAAACTTACCTTTTCAATTTCAATGAAATTAAATAAATAACGGTTCAAAATGTTCGGTTCTTTACTTCCATATTTTGAATGCATTTATTGAGCAAAACCGTAAGATTAAACCCTTCCAAAAAATTGGGTGCTAAAATTGTGCATTGGATAAATGTTGTATGTGTATGATCAACTATTTTTGAAAGTCACTAATTTATTTGACATGTTTTTTTTACTCATTTTTCTATAAATTGGATAATATTCAAATTTGAAGTGAAAAAAAATGTTATCGACAGATTTAAAATGGCTCGATAAATGTGATATCCAAAAAAAAATTAAAATGAAAAATAATATTTTGAGTAAAGTGTTATGCGGGGCCGATTCTTTTCTAGAATTGCATCTGTTGTTTATTCATATTTGGTCCATCGGCATTATTTCTCTTATTATTAGAGGAAATATTCGATTCAATCTCAAAGAATTCTATGTGTACTCTAGGGGTTATGTGATGGCTTTACTTTCTCATCCAATTGTTTTATATCAACAATTGAATAAGTTATATCTGCTTCTTAATACTACATACATCGTCCTCATTTACTCTAGCAAAAAATTGTAAATGCTCTTTGTTTTGGTTCGGACTTTAAAGAATGAAATGCATTTCAAATGACTTATGGAAATTCAAACGTTGGTTTTTTTTTCATCCTCTTTCGGTCGAATACTATACGCATTATCTGAAGTAATGTTTTTTTTTTTTTGACTAGAAAATCAGAAATGAAAAAGAGCGGCCCCTTTCTTATTCGAACAAATTCCTTGAATATATGTAATACGTGAAATATATTCAACCAATTGTGTCTAAATAAAAATATTTTCTCCGTCAAACCAAATCAATAATTTATGTGATCAAAAAATTGGACGAGAAAATGCGACTGAAAATAAACAGGGATTGAGTGAATATGAACAGATTCATATTTTTAGGTGAGTCAAGTTTCTTCAAACAAATTTAATGCATTCTAGTCTCAAAGTTAATTTTACACATCTTCTACACATCGAGCGATCAAAAATCAGGTCAAATTAACTGTTTCTAATCCAAACATAGACAATTATTCATCATTCGTTCTCTTTCTCTCTTTCTTTTTATTTCAATCGATATTCCTTTTTTGTTGCTAAGTATATACTTGCAATCGATAATATTTTGCATAGAAATCCAACGTTCAAAGCAATAATTGTGAGTAGCTGAAGTGTGATTGAGTTAGCCGGAGTACGAAAGCTCGGATGATGGTGACATTCTTTCAGCCGCATGACCACATGGAATGCAATTTATAAATGCATTCATTTCAAGTTGGAACATCAATCAAAGCTAAATGAAATGAAATGGATTTTTTTTTTTCATTCAAGATTGGGTGCAAGGTGTATCAAAGCTATTGCCACTGCCGCCCATATATTGACAACAACAACAACAACAACACTGCAGCACACGCAATGTATGAATTTTTTATTCGGTTTCAAGTACCATATATGGTGACTGAGAACATATATAAAAGGTTGTCTGATTTCTCTCTCTCTCTCTCTCTCTCTCTCTCTCTCTCTCTCATTTTCTTCGATTTTTTGTTTGTTTTTGTTATCATTGATTTAGTATAGGTATAAATAAATATTGCTCGAAGTAATTCCCATAAAGTGATGAAACCATCGAATTAAAAAAAAAAATAGACAATGAGTTTTTCAAGTTATTCAAGCCAAAGCTTTTTTTTGTTTGAATATGAATAATGAATCCGCATAAATCAACATCGAGCCCGACACATATTCAACGATATTTATACACAAACACACTTTTAATTGGATTTTCGCTTTAACTTTCTCTTTGTGTCCATTTTCCCACTCTACCTCTTCGTGCAGTCGTGTTTGCTTAGCACACACACACATACTTAGTCACATACATACTTACACATGCATTTATGCAATCACGATTGGAATGAGTTTATTCAATTAATTCTGCCTGACTGTTTCTTCGTCGATTTTGATGATGGCAATCATGAGAAACGGGCGTCAAAATTAAAACGAATTTTAAATAAATAAAAAAAAACATAATGTGACAAGGTGACAATGCGCGCTACATTTGTCTCTTTGATTTTGTTCTTTTTTTGTAGATGATAGTATATGTATATTGCTTTGTTTTGTTGTTGTTTTTAAGTTTCATGTGATTGGTCCATTTGCTGTTGTGGTATGCTGTCTTGTAGTTCGAGGATATGTTCGACAGCCTGTGGTCGGCCATCCTCACCAATTTTGCATGGTTGAACGAGCCCTTGCCGATTCAATTGGTCCATTAGATTGACTAGTTTCATCGCTTCATACTCTTTTTGCTCTTCTGACATTCCCTCGAGCGGATTTGGACGCGGCGGCTCATAACAACCGACCACTGGATTGATACTGTGTTGCATTTGTTTATACTCTTCCGTATCGCTGTCTTCACTATTCGACGAATATTCACCCGAATAACTGCTTCCGCTACGTACAGGAACTAAGCCACGATTTGCAAAGAGACCAGCTGCATTCCCATATCCCGTGTATTTTATCATTCGTCCGACTGTAAAAAATCCGAAGACACAATGAAAAATGTTGAACTTCAACGAAAAACACATTAAAAAAAACAAATTGAATTACCATTCTCTTTGCAAAGTACGAATAAGAAATCGGCAACAAGATCACGCACTTGTGTTGCTGGCGTTGTTAGCAATTTCACCAAGCGATTTCGTAAATGTTCACCAACTTCGGGTCGCGTTTTAACATCTCTTAATGGTGGTAAAACTTGTTGCCGTAAATACTGTCGCTGTAATTTATTACAACGAGCACATTTTACCAAAGCCGTCAACACTGGTGACAGAAGCTCCTGTTGAATAGACAATTTCTACCGAATAAAAGAAATACAAGTAAATGGTTTTTACTCAAAAAGGAATTGAAACACATCCACACTTACTTGCATATTTTCCAATCGACATTTGAGAAATTCCAAAAGAATTTCCAATGCAGTGACATCATGACCCTCAAATAAATGAATACCGCTCAAATTTGTAACCGATGCGAATGACGTTGTTGATGAATCACTGTCCAAATGCATTGGAATAACAAGCTCCGAATAACAGGCGGTTGGCACATTTGTCAGCAAATTGATTGTGTTCGAACATAGTTCGAGCTGTTTTTCCTTTGTGGTTGCACGACACAATAGTAAATCATGCAATACAACGGCCAATCGTCGAAATTGAATTTCCTCCTCTTCTTCGGTGGCCACCGATGTTTCATTCCGTACGGTAATATTGAATAAAACTTTCATAATTTCAACGAGTAAATTCACTTGACTGTCGCTCAGTTCATTGTGTTGGGCATTTGGATCGGAACGTTCTTTAATAATTAAATCCAATATTTCGACAAGATAGGTCAGTCCATGATAATCATCACGAACTTTTGTTCGAACATCGGGATTCAAAGCTGTTATCAAAAATAGCAGTTTCATATCAAAGTATTGTAAATCGTATGGAACATTTGCATCTCTGAAAAAAAACAGAAAAAATATGAGAAAAAAAAAAGAATAAAAAAAACAAATCGCATGAAAAATAACATACTTATATGTTCTCAATCGTCGTACAATGCCATCGATGGCTGCATTTTTTAAGCACATCATTTGACAACTGGTACTTTGAAACACTAAATTGCATAAACATTTGAGCGCCTCAACGACAATGGCCGAATCGCTAATATTTTCATTGTGACCACCAATATTCGCAATATTGAGCAATGTATCAAATTGTTCGACGGTTATTGTTTGATTTAAATGGGTTTTATCACGTGATAATATTCGAATGGCAGCTAAACAATCGGGATAAATGTGTAATGCTTCGGCACGTCTTTCGCATGGCATTCGAAGAAATTTAAAGATTCCATTCCAAATTGTGGTCCATTGGCTATAGATAGCCGTAAAATCAAATGTATCTGTATGCTGTATTCAATCGAAATGAGTTAAACAAATATTATTACTTGGTATCTTTCGCATCTTATCTCATTCCAAATTGTGTCGTTTTTTTTTTTTCTTCTTCTGAACATTACCTGTGTCACAAACCGTTGTAAAATCTCCTTTGACTTGGCAATATCGCCAGAAGCCAACACTTCAATATGATACTGATCCATGATATTTCAAACACTTCATTCAAAATGCCTTTTTTTATTTAAAATTCATGCAACCAGTTAAATTTGAAAATTGAATACCATACACGTAAACAAATGAACGATATTTCTGTCACACACACTCTTTCGCTCGCTCGCACGCTCTCTTATTTTTCGGCAGAATTTACAGTTCTTTTCGTTTAATCAATTCGATTGAAATGTCAATTTTGAAGGCGCACAGTTCGAACGCTTTTCCGATCATTGCTCATCGGCGTAAGATGTTGGCTAACGAGCTTGATGATTTTGACGAGCTGCATATATTTAATGTGTATGTTGAACGAAAACTGTAATGAAGCGTATGCGATAGAAAAGATCGAATGAAAATTTTTAATTTGAAGCGAATGTGTCATATAGGCGCTGCTCGAATGTCAAATTCAACTGCTCAAGCGCTGACTTTTTAAATACGTAAACACACACTCACACATACGTGTGATACGCATACATACAAATATCCACTTGAAACATGCTCGGCTATACTTGTTATACATCTCTATTTATCTAGTAATTTCGATTTGATGCAACTTCACGTCAATGTGTCACACACATTTAATTCTACAGCGACAGTTTAAAAATGAATGCGATTTTTTTACTTTTTTTTCTCGAGATTTCCAGGAAATGTCTCCATGGATTGTTCACAAATTTGATATTTGCAATGTCAGAAGAAAAAAATAAGTTAAAACAAGAGAGATGAAACAACAGATTTCATACAAAAATGATTCGAATTTCATTGGAAAACAACTGAGAAAAATACTTGAATGCAATTCTAACGAAACACGAAATCTATGGTAATAGTATAAATGAAAATGCTGTCTGAAATCTCTGAGAGAAATAGCCCGTGGGAAGGATGAAAAGAACATATTTGCAAGTTTAACAAAAAAAAAACGGATCTCTTTGTATGTGTATAATAAAATTCGTGGAAGGTGTTTCCAAATCATTTGCTTTTGTCAACCCTTTGTCAATCCAAAAATGTTCGCTTTCATTGTTGATTGGCATTTATTTATTTTGTTTTTTTTTTTTTTTTTTTTTTTTTTTTTAAAATATTATTTTTCTTTTTAAATTAGATAATTTACTTGAATTTCCAACAGTGTATCTAGGATGAGAACCGTATACAGTGTACGGCGGTTTGCAATGACTAGTCTACTGTCAAAAAACTGCGTACAACTGTCAAAAACTTTATGTATACAGATGTATGATATTAATAAGTGGAAATAAAAAAGAGAGAAGGGCCATAGACAAAGGTAATGCACATTGTGTGTGTGACAAGAGTGACTGATTGGCTGTACATACAAAACAAAACAACAGAAAAAAAATATATCAAATCAAATCAACATATGCAAAAAGAAACAATTCTCTCGGCCTTATACAATTTTTGTTTTATTTCATTTCAAGTCAAGCGGTAGTGAATTTTTCATTTCGTCTCGAGAAACCTTCACAATTGTCCATCAATATTTCACGACTAAATCGAATGTGTCTTTAGATATTGTGAGTTTTGATATTGTGTGATTTTAATTTAAAAAAGAAAAGAAAAAGAAAATTTATTTTGTATGGTGGTTTTTTTCTCAATTGATGCATTAGAGAGAGAGAAAGAGAAAAATTGAAAGATCATCGGATAATTGTTTTCTCTTTCTCACTTGAAGTGGTCACAATGCGCACAAGGACAATTATTCGTTTTTGTTTTTGTTGTCGTTCTTTATTATTTCAATTTCATTGCATTTCTGCCGAACATTTTCTGCGATTCCATCTTGATTCTAGCGACCAAGAACGATTTTTTTCACACCTTGATTTTCAATTGTTTAATTACAATTCAATTTCTTGTTTTTTCCAACAAATGAATGCAAAAAAGGATACACGAATACACGAGTTATGTATGGTGTTGCGAACCAACAAGTACATATGCCGAATACAAAATGCATAAGAGCAGCCGAATCAAATCGATTGCAAATCAAGTGAATGCAGCAAATACGTAAAACAAAAAAATCAACATCGAAAATTATGACTGAAAATAGGCGAAATAGCATACAATTGCAATTATCATAAATGTGGACGTTTGGTTTTATTTTGTTGTGTATTCGTGTAATATGTGATTGATTTGAATCGATACGCATTTTAAATTAAGGCAAAAAGGCATATTTTAATCGTCATTTCATTGGAATTGTAACACGCGCAATTATTCTATTTATTTAAATAAAAAAAGTGTTTATGTATGTGGAAAAAAAGAGTAAGCAACACGAATACACATACAAATTAATAGTTGCACGTTAATTTACACATTTTAATCGAAACAAAAAGAAATCGCAATAAAATTAACGCAGTGCATTTGATTTTCAAATCTTTTGTTCTCACTGTCGTGTGTGTGTGTGTGTATGATTGGCCAACTCCAATTGATTCAGTGGAAGCAACAAATTTTCTATGTACACAAATTGTAAACGAAAACGTCGAAAACATAAATGTACAGGATTTGGATGAAATATTGAGACAATTGAATTTAGTTATCCGCTTGCTTGTGATATCAATCCAACGGGTATCCACAATTTGTGTTTTGTGATCAGTGTCAACAATTGAGAAAATATAACCGCAATCAAATCATAATCACGATAAAAAATGATAATTTTTCAGTATTGAAATTTGCACTGTGTGCAATCACAGTTGACAACCAGAATCGAAGGGGGACAGACAACGTTTGAGTTACATTTTAAACACCCAAATTGGTTAAGAAATCGGTTGTCTGCGTCGAATCTATGACTTCAGAACAAAATAATAAATCAGACGGCGAAACTTCAAGGTAAGGATCGAAATTATTTTGCTACACACAAAAAATAAACCTAACAAATCATTTTAGGATTCCTATTAAAATATTAATTTGTAAGGTTTCCTTCTAATATGGCAACATTTTATTAGGAAACCTTTAAATAATAAAACATGTTTTGTTTCAACACAGTGAGGTTGGATTTGACGTTTAAGCGCGCCAATTTATTAGGATTCCTGTTAAAATATTGCGATTTTATAAGGAAACCTAACAAATTCATTTTTTAATAGGAATTCTAAAATAATTTGTGGGGTTTATCTCTTGTGTGTAATTTTATTCGTCGTCATTTTTTGTTTGCAGTCATTCTCTATCACTCCGTGGCCAGTCCGTCGTCATTCTCGCATGAATTTGCACAAATTTCATATCAGTTGATCTTTTGTTTATTTCAATATCGTCGTAGTTGTCGTTTTCGTTTAATTCTTGTATCATCTCGCCGATTTGCTCTTGTTTATTTGCCGAAAGGAAAGTCGAAAAAAATAAATTTAAAAAACAAAAAAGAAAACCAATTCGCTAAAAATAGATGCAAACGTGTGATTGGATTGGACGCAAAATGAATAGAGAGTATGTTGTGTTCGATGCGGCAATGCTCAAAGCACAGCGCAAAAACAGATGATTTACGGAAGCTTCGTATTCGGTTTTGGCGTCGATTTCATTGAATTCGAATGATTTTCTTTATTCATCGAAATTGTCATTTACGTTGCCCACGCACAATTTTGCCATAGTTTCCACGTGAAAATGTCATTAAATATCCAAACTATCATAACATGCGAATTTCCCATGGCAAATATGTTTACCCACAATCGATTCGGTACATGATTTTAATGCATAGCACGGAGCATGAGAGATTGACACGCAAACATTGATTTGATTTTATTAGTTTTAGTAAATAAAAGAAATCAACACGCTTGCCAAAATTCTACGCAAACATTTTTTACGATTACGAATTTATTGTGCGAAAATGTGTGTTGTTGAGAAAATGAAAAACGAAATCTATATATGCAGAATGTGAAATGTTTCGTTAAACGGAAATCACGTGAATCATGTGCACCGTTTCAATGTGATTCATATTATTCAGATGTGCACTCCCCCTCGGACGGCGCAATAGCAAAGAAGAAGAAAAAAAAACGTTGACACGGTATGTTACAAAAATGTTGTTTGCTGCAAACAAACGATAGATTTGAGTTCAATGACTTTTGATTTTTTTTTTTCGGTTCGTTTGGCACGTTTGTTGCTAACCTGAAAATGAATCAATCAGAAGGATTGCATTTAATCAAGCAGCAATGGTTCTCGATTCTCTCTGTCTTTCACAAAGTCACCTCAATTCATGATGATTGTGTGTGTGTGTCCGACCTTGTGGGTTTCGAGTGAATACATCACAATAATCTAGATTAAATGTGCCCATCCAATTTGACCATTCAAAACAGTCGATTTACCATTACATTACGTAGCCAAAGTTATTTGGCATCGTCTTGTTTCAAGCACCCACAAAATTTAAAGGAGAAAATAACGTTTTCAATAGAATATTTTTAGTTTTCATTGTTTCGATAAGATGCAAAACTACACATTGAATGTATTTTTTGTTTGTTTGTTATTTCCATCAAAACCGCATTTTCATGCGCATTTTCCATCTTGAAATAAGTTTTCTTTATCATCATTTACTTCCTATGAATTTATTGTATATTTTTTGTTCATTGCACCGAAACAATTTTACAAACACGAGAATAAAGTCGAAACATTGTGTGATTTATTTGCATTTCACTCCATCTCACTCTCTCTCTCTCTCTCGGATTTTGTTTTTAAATCACAATTCCGATTGTTGAGTGAAATGCGAAAGAAAGAAAACGTATCCTTTTGAATTGGAAATGTGTGTGTGTGTGCGTATTGTTTTTGTCTCGTTTCGCAAGTGAGTTCGTTTATTTGTTTATATTATTTTGCGTGCACACATGTACACAGACATAAAGCTCGTTTTTTTTCTCTCACAGGATGTTTCAGATGTTTTGTATTTAGTTGAACGTGGTAAACGGTGCCAGTCTTACTCAGAATCTGTAACAATTAACACACGATTTGTGTGCAATTGAGCTTAATTCATTTGTTGTACAGAGTCAATTGTATACACGATCAAAGTGTGTAATTAAACGTTTCAAACAAATGAGAAAAAATAGAACTCAAATCATTACATATCGTGTATTGTATTATTTTTGTGAAAATTGTGCGTAAATTTTTCTCAAGTTTTTCGCTATCCATTTATGATATACCAAAAAAGTTAAAAAATTGAGAAATACAATGTAAGTGAATAAACAAATTTTTAGAGCAAAGAGTTTTTGTTTGTTCAAAAATCGAACAAAAAAACTGTTGAGCATGATGACCTTAGCTATTTTATTATATATATATATATGTATGTGTATGTGTGTGAGTGAGCATTTTGCATGTTATTTTCATTTTGGACCGAGCTAACGCTTCATAGGAGCAACATCGGCGACAGACTGCTGACTGTTGTAAATTGAAACAGCGAAATACAAAATCGCACGTCATTTTCTTTGTTTATCTTTATCGTTGTTGTTATTTTCTACTCTTGTCGGCGAAACAATCGAAAAGTTAAAAAGTAAATTCTTTGAGAAAAGTCATTGGTCAGATCATTGAAATTTTAGATTTGGCATCGTGTTGATTTCTCTTGTATTTCGCATTTTTATGCGATTTCATACAATCGACGAAAATTCGTTTGTTTTTCAGATCGTCTGAAGGATCGTCGTCTTCGTCGTCGTCGTCATCATCATCATCACCGTCATCTCAAGAGCAAATTGCATCTGAATCATCCACCCCCGATCAGTCACACGAATTTCACGGTTTGGAAAAAGTAAACAGTGAACAAGTGAACAGTACCACACATTGTAACAAAGGAAAAATTGCTGCAACCAACAATAATAACAATATTATTATACAAGGTCAAAATGATCGTCCCGACACAGATGAACAAATTACAAAGCACGACACAAGCGGTTCTTCGACAGTTGATCATCAACCGCCACACCATCAATCGACTGTGAATGAAATTGACGATATGAAACGGGCACATGCCAAACAATTGATTGAACGATACTTTTACCAATTAACAATTGGATGTAAAAATGCCGATTGTAGAAATTCAAATTGTGCGTCAAGCGGACAATTTGAAGCATTAACACCAAACCAAGCGGCCGCACGTGCCATACAATTATTTTCAGAAGATGCACAATTGTGCAACGATAATTATCCATCAAATAAAAGTGTTCGCATCACAGACGAAACCGATTCAGCCATTCAAAGCACTGATCAGGATATTGATGACATCTACAGGTGATCTTCATTCAACATTTTAGGGATTAACTTTTATGTGGCATTCGATTGAACGATTTCAATTATTTTGTAGATAGAAACTTTTTACATTTTAAGCTTTTGCCTAAAAAAATAACCATTTACTTAAATTTTAACATATACGGTAGAATTGATTATATGCTTTGATTTACTAAATTTAATGAAATTGCTAACAAAAATGTGCGCCTAAATTTTGTGTTTAACTTTTAATATTGCCAATTCAATTTAATCCGAACGTTTAAAAAAAAAAATAATCCATTTTTCCAACATTCTTAATAACGCTTAGATCTTTTTATTCTTATCTTACCATACAGTGATTCGAATGTTCAAAAAGAGAATCAAGACAATATTATTGCAGAAATATTGACTTCATCGATTGATAAATCAAATAGTGACTTATCATCGAATTTATCACAGAACCCTGAATCTTCCTTACTGTCAAATGCAAATACATCGTCAACCACATCAACGAAAATGAATCGTCGTACTCAGTTAGCTATTGAAACGCTTCCATATATGGATGAGCAAGTGCTCAATCAATTAATTGATTATTGCAAAAAGAATCATACATTTGCACCGTTAATTCGAAACTTAGGTAGATATTTTTCGTCACGTGAATATTTAGTGAAAAGCTTTCAAAAACGTCATAATCATTCGGCCACACAACACATTAGCAAATTAATTCCAAAAGCAGCGGTTCGAAATTTAAAAAATCTCAACAAAGAAGACTTTCGAACGCTCGAAGGTGATTTGGATAAGGATAAAGATGAAAGTGGCATTACATCGGACGACGACGAATTGGCCAGTGGTACAAATTTTAATAAAAATGATGTACCCCATCATCATACAAGTGTTGATTTGAAAAGCTTACGTCGTTCAATGATCAATCTACTTGAGACAAAAGCCTCCGCATTCGATTCACTCAATAATGCATTGCAAAGTCTGGCGCTTGGCATAAGTGTTGATTTGCGTATGCTTACGCAACGCGAAAAAATCGAAGAAATTATTACGGTATTTGTGATTATTTTTGAAATTATTATTATTGGAAAATCGGATTTTGTTGATGTGGCATTGCCAACGATTTGCAAGGCCGCATCTTATTTACCAATTTGGGCACAAGCACGTCTGGCAAGCATCTGGGCGCATCATTGTCGTGACGGACTGCGAAAACTTCTTGAAACACTTCAACAATTGATCAGTTTACAAGTTATCACCGGAACTTATCATGAGAACGCCTTCATTCAAGACAACGAACATATTATCAACGCCACAAAACTTATGAAGGTTAGCATTAATCTTTCGAAATGAAAAAAAAAAAAAAACAAACAAACGTTCGTTCACGAATTCTCAAATAGAATTCGAAGAAATTGATAATAATCGTTGTTTACAAGATTATATAAATTTGGGTGGATGGTTTTTTCTTCTTAAATAATGAAATTTATGAAAAATATAAACAATTTTCGGTTTACATTTTCAGATTGTTTATTATGCAAGCATACTGGCGGGTAAATTGGAATCGCCAAAATTGCGCGAAGAGGATAATGATTCTGAATTCATGCTTGAAGACGATTCGTTGCTCATTTATTCGGGATCGAAGAAATCATCAAGTGCTGATATTACCGATGCATTGGCAGACGAATTGCAAGTAAATGTGCTTGATTGTCGTAAGCCGTATATTCCATTTGAAGAGTTTTACAATGAGCCGCTTAGCGATGCCATCGAAATGGACAACGATTATTTATATTATAAGAATCGTCAAGGTGGTATGTACTGCATCACATTTTAATCCATGTTTATTACATTCTATTTATAGCACGGTTTTTTTTTAATTTTCTTTTCTTATTTATTTGCTCGTTTCTATTTGACAGATAAAAGATTTTCGTTTATGTTATACTCGTTTATTTTAACGCCAGCAACAAAAACACTGGGTCTATACTATGATTGTCGTATAAGAATGTACAATGAACGACGTTTTAATAGTTTTCATACACAATTGGCCGGTCAACCATCGAATCCATATCTTAAATTGAAAGTACGAAGAGATCATATCATTGATGATGCTCTTGTTGAGCTCGAAATGATTGCCATGGGCAATCCAAAGGATTTGAAAAAGCAATTGGTCGTTGAATTTGTGGGCGTAAGTACCAAGGCATACTTACCTAAAAATTACTATTCCATTACTCTACAATTCCTGATCCATTCCTTCGATTCATTTTCCATCACATTTCCATTAATTCCATTTTTTCTTCTGATTATCTCTAGGAACAAGGTATCGACGAAGGTGGCGTTTCAAAGGAATTCTTTCAAACGATTGTCGAAGAGATATTTAATCCGGACTACGGAATGTTTGTACAACAGGATGGTACCCGCTCCGTTTGGTTTAATTCATCGTCATTCGAAAATGAAGCACAATTCATATTGATCGGAATCGTTTGTGGATTGGCCATTTACAATAATATTATTTTAGCCGTTAATTTCCCAATGGTTGTGTATCGCAAAATTTTTGGAATCAAAGGTTCCTTTGCTGATTTGGCCGATTGGAATCCCACATTACATAAAAGCCTTCAGGATATTTTGGATTATGAAGGTGACGATATCGAAGACGTTTTTATGCAAACATTTCAAATTAGCTATCAAGACGTTTTCGGCAATAATCTTACACATGACCTCAAGGAAAATGGTGATACAATTTTTGTTAATCAAACTAACAAACAGGTAAACGTTTTTTTTAATTTTATTAAATGATTTCGTTCTTCAATCCAGGCAATATATTGAATTAACTGGTCAGTTGAGCTGACAGTACGTTAGCCAGCTAAATGGGCTAAAACAATAGACGTTATTGTTTTAATGATGAATCACTTTTCTTGTTTTAATAGAAGTGATTGTTCATTAAAACAATAACTTCTATTGTTTTAGTCCATTTAGCTGGCTAACGTACTGTCAGCTCAAATGACCAGTTAGTTCAATATATTGTCTGCATCAATCAATGCGTTATCGTTTGTAATTTACAGGAATTTGTTGATTTATATGCCGACTATTTATTGAACACAAGTATCGATAAAAAGTTTCGTGCTTTTCGACGTGGTTTTCAAATGGTCACAGATGAATCACCTCTTCACCTCTTATTTCGACCGGAAGAGGTTGAATTGTTGGTGTGCGGCAGCAAGGTAATTTCAAACCTAAAAATTGAATAACACCCGAATGTCATAGTATTTATTTCAATATTGTATTTGCAGGAATTTGATTTCAACGAATTGGAAAAGGCAACCGAATATGAAGGCGGTTATACGGAAAAATCACAGATTATTATTGATTTTTGGGATATTATTCACAATCTTCCGCTGGAATCAAAGAAAAAACTGCTTGAATTTACAACTGGTAAATGATTCACTCAAAAGGCAACATTTCAGTCACTTTTTTCACCATTTATTTTTCTCGTTCGAATGTCACAGGTTCAGATCGAGTACCAGTTGGTGGAATGTCACGATTGAAACTAGTCATAGCTCGTAATGGTTCGGACAGTGATCGATTACCAACAAGTCATACATGCTACAATGTTTTATTATTACCTGAATACACAACTAAAGAGAAGCTGGAAGAACGCCTGCTGAAAGCCATAAATTATTCTAAGGGGTTCGGCATGATTTAAAGCCATAACAATAGCCAAATCTTTTTGCAATAAGCTATATTAAATTAAACTAACGAATCCGAAAAAAAAACAAAAAACATGTATTTAAATTTAAGGCAATAACTGAATAAAAGGATAATGACACTAGATGATTCAATGAATTATTGAAGGAGAATTTGAATTGGTTCACATTCAACGAACATGAACGAAACATAAGAAATACAAAGAATGAAAATGTTTTTAATTTATACACTTCAGTATATAATTCATAATAAAAGGAAATAAAAGAATTAAAAATGAAAAATACAACGAAACTGTTCAATATATCTTAATAATATGAAGAAATGGTTATGTTACCATTTTTCTTTATAGATTTTATAATGACATTAACATAAGAGTAATCCAATCGTTAAATTAATACATTGTGAACGCTACACTGCAGCGGTCATATTTCGTGGCAAGAAATCGTTTTTATTATATTTTTCTTAAAAGTGAAAAAAAAATTCTCGGTTGCAAACAACTGACTTGAACTCGTAGAGGCGTTAGTTGTGCTAAAATTTAGCATTTCATACTGTCTCTTAAGTGACATACGAGGTTTGTCTCCTTAATTATTGAGAAAAATTATGAAAATGCATTGATCATTTTCTGAAAATGGCTTTATTGCTTTTCAAAATATTCGTCATGATGATCGATACGCTTTTGCATTCGATGAAACCATTTGTGGTATACCAATCAGAATTGACGGTCTTACGATCCTCTAGTGGAACTGTTGCCACATGACCATTTCTCCCGAAAAAACAGGCGACCATTTGCTTCGAAGTGCTTCTTGCTCGAACAACTTTTGTTGGGTTATCTTCACTTTGGAAGACCCATACAGTTGACTGCTGTTTACTCTCAGGCTCATATCCATAGATCCATGATTCGACACATGTGACGATCTTATAAATGTCTTTTGATGCACCTCGATTGTATTTGTTGAGCATTTCTATACACCAATTCACACGAGCCATTTTTTGATCATCGGTCAATTTATGTGGGATCCAACGCGAGCAAATCTTTTTCACGGCTAAATGTTCATGTAAAATTGTATGTATGCTATTAGTTCACGCACTGCATCGATAGTTTCTGGCACAACAACTGATTTTGGACGACCTTCATGGGGTTCGTCTTTGAGCGAACGACGACCATGATTGAATTCCATAAACCAGCGATACACAGTGGCTTGAGATGGTGCTTCATCGCCATATAAAAATTTAAGTTAATTGACAGACTGTTGTTTAGATAATCCTCGTCGAAAGTTGTGATAAATAATTGCATGAAAATTTTCTTTTTTTAATTTCATTTTTTGGCGCTACCTACGTAATTGCGCTTTGTAGTACATTTTTAAAATTTATGGTTTAAAGTTCCGGACCCAAAAAAAATAGAGTCGAATGTGATGCTTTTTTAATTATTTTAATGAATTTTGATAAAATAAACTATTTTGTTTCGGCAAAACAACATTTGGTTCATTTTCTTTTGTTCAAAAAAATCATTAGACGCATTCATTTCAACAACAACAAAAACATCGTGTTGTCATTATCATTTTTTTCGTATTACGAATACGTTCGATTTGAAAGTTGACTTGAGAAATAAATGGAATTTTTTTTGTGTGCGATTATATGACTGTCATGTGCGTGCGCTATAATAAACATTGACAGATGTCATGCGGCAGCTTGAATTTGTTCCTAAAAAAGAGTTCATTTTGAAGAATCAATGAGATAAAATTGACTGATTTGAGCATTGGTTTGCTGTAGTAAACATCACCGTTATTGATGTGCTAAAATTGTGGTTCATTTTTTTCATCTCTTCGTTGGCGATTTTTTTTTAAATTCACATTTTATTTGCATCTTGTCTCATCGGCTATTATTTTGTTTAACAAAATTGCACAGCAAATGTCTTCACAGGTCTATCTACCCATCTATATACATATGATTTATAGATATTAGCTCTTCTAAAAGAAGCCACTCACTCGATCCCAATCAATTTTTTTTTTAAATGATGATACTCATGCTACATAAATTCGTGTAAATTGTGATAGTGGTGACCTTGTGCGTGTGTGGTGTTTAGCAAATGAAAAGAGCGTGCACATTAAATTCAAACAACTGTCTTTCTATCATTGTTATCATTGTTGTCAAATTCAAAGTTTCACTTAATCAAAAAATATAATACAGCAGAGCATTTGATGCGCGAATGTAAGTCACAACAGATATTTCTATAACATTTGGTGTAAATGTAATTGTGATTGTGTGTTGCGCTGTTTATTATCGAAAATCAAAAACATCGGCTGAAAAATCGTACAAAAATAGATATCAGTCGGGTCAAAAACAAATATCATGAATTCTGTGAAATAACATTTTGCGATGCTAATGGGATAAATTTAACGAGACAAAAAAAATTGTAATCGAATTTTGTTTTCCATAGTGCCGAAATAAAGTGTCGCATAGAAGTGATAAGAGAACATTGAACGAAGCAAAAAAGAATTTTATTTCTTTTTTTTGAAACGGCGACCATAGAAGTATGCATAATTCATAGTGGCGGTTCGGCGCGCAGTATCGATTGTATTTGATTTGTGGTGTATACGTTATCTAGTTGATTCGATTGGGCAAATGTTTCCATTACAACACTTTATTCGGTTCAAAATGTTTGATCAATACTTCGCCAAAACCATTAAAAATCGTTCTTGCCAAATTTTAAGGTTATGGACAGATCAATGCGAATACATAATCGCACAAAGATTTCGCCAGGGACAACAAATGATCTGTTTGTATCGTCGCATTTGGGATGAAAATGTATTGCGTGGGATCATACAGCAGATTCGAAAACAGGTGAAAAAAATCACACATTTTAATTAATCATTTTTTTTTTCTTTGCACTCGATGACCCATGTAATCGCGTCTTTTTTACGTAACACCAAACATAATTGACGATTTACTGTGAATTAAAATACTTGTACTTAGCAACGGTTATGTAAAATGTCATAAATAAAATTGTTTCTTTTTTCTCTCTCTACACTAACCAAATGCTATGCAATTGTCTCAGTGATTATGTTTGATGCGGTTATGATTTGATGCTTCCTGTGTGCACCGGTTTCTACTGTGATTATCCAATTGTATTTTTATTCATTTAATTTGATATAGCTTGAACGCAATGCCAAAGGACTTATGCTCAGTGGCATTGGATTGGCATCGGCCTTTGACTGGGATTCGGAACGAATAAACTATGAATCGGTGCGCAAAAATTTCGATGAACTGGAATTAGTGGAACGATTACGTCTCGAGACAATACATTGTGATATCTGCGGCCATCGTTTGATCATTGACTGTAAAATGGATAACATTGTGTATTGTGTGTGCAATGTAAATAACACTTGTGCATCAAGAGAAGCTAAATTGGCCACACAATCGCATGTTAAACCGCCCGAAACGTACGAAAAACATTGGCAACCTTACATGGAACGGCAAAATATGATTATATGGAGGCGTGAAGAGCAACCGGGCCTCTTTGCCTATAAAGGTAGATTTAAAAAATCGACAAAAATTTCATTTCAATTAATTCATTTTTTTATGTGATTTTAATTTAGTGTATGCAAGCTATGATGATATTTCCGGTGAGGATTTTCTTCGTATTCAAACCGATACCGAATATCGAAAAATTTGGGACAAATCTGCCATCACATTAGATGTTATTGATACCGATCCGGTTCATCGACATAAAAGCCATATTATTCACTGGGAAATGCAATGGCCGGTGAGAAAACATTTTATAAAACTCTTTGATAAATGAAATCTTTAACCATGTCGTTTGTTTTATTTTCCACAGAAATTGTTTTCGAATCGAGATTATGTGTTCAATCGACGGTTTTTCATTGATCGCAATCGAAAATTAATAATAATCGTTAATAAAAGTATAGTTCATCCGTTTAGTCCAAAAATGCCAAATATTCATCGTGTCAATGATTATTGGAGTTGTATGGTTATTCGTTCGACATCGAATTCACTAAAAACTCCTGGTTTGGAATATGTTCTCACTTATTTCGAAAATCCTGGTGTTGTTCTACCACAATCGATCACATCTTGGGTTGCTCAAAAACAATTGCCCGAATTTTTACATAAATTATACACAGCTACACTCGACTATGCGCTCGAGAAACGCCATCAAGAGCAACAACAAAAACATCAGAATGAAAAAATGGTAGGTTTTATTTGTTATTTTGCTGATTTTTGATCAACCATTTGAATTCTTGTGTTTAAATTCAGTATAAAGGTGTCGACTACTTTCGAGACCCTGGCTACGAGTATCCACCTGAACCGGAAATTTGTTTCTCAAAGTATAGGCGAGATAATGGTAACGATGATGATGTCGACGACGATGATGATTTCGACGACATCAATGGTGATAATAATAGTAACAAAACTAGCGATAGAAATGGTGAAAAAGGTGTAAAATTTAATATAAATGCAGGTAAGCACATTTGATCTTTCATAAAAAAACAATTAAGTAAATATTATAATTTCGAATTATGCGTTAACCACAGAAAAAAAATGTCTTTGAATTAGGAGTGGAAGCGAAAAGTCAATCGGAGAGTCAGGCATGCAATACGGATGACAATACCGATGCCAAATCAATATCATGGTGGAGATCACTTCTTTATTTTGTTTGAATGAATTAAAAATTTTATTATTAAGCATTAAAAAAATTGTATTAAATACAGATTGTAGAATTTTTACCGGATTCAGTACTGAGTTTTTATCAATATATTTTCGGTAATTTCGTTTTTTTTTTTTAAATCTATTTTTGTAACATTCTTTGGATTATAATAATGATGGAACTAATTAAATCAAAACTACTTGTGAAGCTTCATCGCCTTTTTTTCAAAGTTACATTTTAGCATACGGCCACAAAAAAATGATCATTAGATCGTGGATGCATCAAAAGCTTGTTGAATCATGTTTAAAAGATGTTGATTATCGACGCTTTGCAACATATTAACCAATGCACCTGCTGAACCATCAATGCCAACACTAACACGAAGTGGATTACAATAGCGCCAACATTTACCACGCGTTGGTCCATCCCGAAGTTCTATATCCATTCGATATTCTTTTGTTGTGGCAACACGTGGGTCAATTAAGGAAGCTACAACGAGCGCATCGTGGATCCAAGAACCTGGTAAATTTCTTGTTTTCATCGAATAATCGATCCAAGGGCGAGTTGTTTCATAGATATAGCGTGTCAGTGGTTTATCGATTTTTGTAATGCGCTCAAGAGATTCATGTGTTAACATTGTTTGTGTGGTCACGTCCATCGGTACGATTGTAATATTTGCGCCACTATTCAATACAATTTTGGCGGCTTCTGGATCAATGCCAAAGTTTGTATCTTTCAGATAATTGTCAACGTTGAATACACCGCCCATAATTGCAATTTCAGCCACTGATTCGACTAGCTTTGGATAACGTTGGATTGCCATCGCAATGTTGGTTAGCGGACCAATGCCGATCAGAGTTATTTCGCCCGGATTGTTCAAAATTAGACGTCCAATTGCATCAATTGCATTTTCTTCCGTTTCTGGCGGAGTTACATTTGGCGGTTGGGGTACGCCATGCCACAAGTGTGTCAAATTCAAATGATCCACATTGTGATCGAGTACTTCGCGCCACTGTTCCAAAGGTTCTTTTAGTCCTTTTGTTGCGCCCATTCGCACCGGAATGCTCAATCCCAAACGTTTTACAAGATTGTGCGCCACACGATAACCGACTGTTGCCGGTGTATTACCCGCAACAATTGTGATTAATTCCAATGTGATATTAAGAGATGCTATTGCGAGCGCCAATGCTAAACCATCATCAACATTTGCGCCAGCTACACCATTTCCCGGATCACAATCAATAATTATTCGCTTCATTTTTTTATTATGTTATTTTTTCTATACTAATTTAATGGCCTTTTAATGTGTACACTTTGAACATTCGATGTGAACTAACTTCAATCTCTCATGATAACAGAGCTGGTATTTTCACTCTGGTAGTGCGCACACACAGTAGACTTACAGACACACAATGCCTATATTTTCAATTTGCACACACATTTACATAGAAGTTTGACATTAGTTTTGAATTTTTCGACAACTGTCAAACTACCAGATTGAAAATACCAGCTCTGCATGATAATAATATAATGAAATTGTTGTAAACGCATTGTTCGATAATCAAACATATTTTACACTTGAAAGCAATTAGAAAAAGTCACACTGCAATTATGTTCCATAAGAGACTGTATAAAATGCAAAACTGTAGCACAGCTAGCGCCACTGCGTACAGCTATGGAGTTCTAGCCTATTGTTTGTAACTGAGCAAAAGTCTTTTCACTAGTGGGCAGCAACTTAGTATAGATTACATTGAATTCCGTCGTGGCGCTAGCTGTGTTACACTTTGAGCATAATTTCGGTACGGAAAAATTCGAAATTTAACAATTATCACAACTGAACAGAGGTGACCGATTTCGCCGTTTCACCGCAGTTTGAAAGATAATTGTTTTCAAGTGTAAAATATGTTTGATTAACGATTGCATTGTTTGCAACAATTTCATCGTTGAAAAGTTATCCGTAGAAAAGAAACAAGTTGAGATTAATTCAATATTTTTAATTTAGACAATCATGAAATATCACATGCAAAATGTGTTTATATCATATATTATTTACCATTAAAAATTGAAAAAAGTATGAGCTGAAATAAAATAGCTTTTATTTTTCTTTAATTTACAGATTACAAATGGCTATGTATATATATTTCAACATTGTAAAAAAATTCACAAATGCTACATAAATGCCAATGGTCACATTATTAAAATGTGAATCGTTTTTTTTTTTTTTAATATTTTTGATTTATATATTGATCAGTTTTCCCTTCGGTACCATTTGAAGAAGGAAGTCAACTGAACATATTTGTCATAATTGAAATCAAATTGATATTATCAATCTATTTCTATTTGTTCTTAATTTACTTCGATACATTCTGACAACACATCTCTATGTGAAGTTCTGCTATTTTATAAAAAATATTGATAAACAAAATAAGGTATGCTATAAATAAATAAATACATTATTTTGATTGTAAAATTATGCATGTAAATTTGCAATGTTTTTTTTTCTTTCATTTGTTTTCTTTCCTCATTCCGGACAGACGTTCAAATTAAAATTGTCTAGTAAATGTTTTGTGTTTTGATGAGTTCGATAAGATTTTGATAATCTGGATCGTTGGAAAAAAATTCAGTAAGATATCGGAATGTTGGTCGATCTTTTGGATTATAATTCCAGCAACTAGACATAATTTCATAGACATTATCTGGACATGCTAGCGGCTTTGATAGACGGCTACCCATTTCAACCATTTTAATGACTTCGACCCCCTTCATATCGCCGTATGGTGTTTGGCCAAATGAAAACATTTCCCATAGCGTTACACCAAAGCTCCATGCATCGCTGGCATGTGAAAATGTACCAAAATTACAACTCTCCGGTGCATACCATTTTATCGGCCATTTTCCGCCGCGGCTTGTTTTATAGTAATTGTTGCCAGCACACAGAGCACGTGAAAGTCCAAAATCGGATATTTTTGCTTGGTGAATTGACGATAATAAAATATTTCGAGCGGCCAAATCTCGATGCACAAAATGTTGTTGCTCCAAATAGTTCATTCCTAAAATTGTGTTAATCAGCAAATTATTTATATTTGTATAGCATAGTTGACACTCAAATTGACATAATGATTTTCACTTACCGCATGCAATTTGTGATGCCCATATTTTCAATTCGGAATTTGGATTAATTTTATCGGGATTTGCAATCAAATAATCTAATAAAGATCCTAATGATACTAGTTCCTGTACAATCATCAACGGCGGACCCTATTTATTTATGATTTTAAAATACCGAGTAGAACATTGTGTTATTGATCTAAATTGATCTAAATTGATTCTATAGTCGAAATGTCTACTGACCTTTGAAATGCCAATTATTTTCACAATACAATGATGTGATAGTTTGATCATAACACTGGCCTCACGCAATAATTCAATGCGATTCTCTTTGCAATGTTCGTCAAGCAATGTTTTGATTGCAACTGGTATTTCGTGTGAGTCGCCGTTTTGTGTTTCACATCTCATTTGACCTTTCCATACATTACCAAATTCGCCTTGCCCAAGCACATTCTCCAACTTAATGCACGAACCTGGAAACATGCATGGAATATTCACAAAATTGTTTTCGTTTATCGATAATGAATGATTTTACCTGGTATGTAATAATTGGGGTTATTTGCCGTGAATAAACTACTTGAGTTTCCGTTGGCTTGATTTTGCAGTGCCAACATCAAATCAACGTCATTGCCGAATGTTGAATCAACCGATTGAGCACGATCGGAACGTGATGGCGATGTGTTGGTGTTTGTTATTGTTTCATTTATATTACTATTGTTATTTATGTAGCATGGATCTGGGCTATTGTTATTTGATGTTGGAAAATATGGAATTTGTTTGAACGCCGTATAGTTGATGGATGTCGATGAAATAGACATTAATTTTGTGGGCGCTTCAACAAAATAAATTTCTTCGATTGAATTATCTTTGTCTTGTAATTCGTCTGTAGTTACAATGTGTTTATCACTTTGAGTAAATTTTTCCAAATAATCTGTATCCGGATTGGTTGGCATTTGAGTGAAATGCGATCGTGAAGGCATTGGTAGAGTGGCCATCGATGATCCAATATTATGATTTTGAATATCGTCTGACCGTGCAATTGGTATATTACTTGGAATGTTATACAGTGAATCGTTAATCTCTTTGATGTTTGATTTGAAGCTCAAACTGCCAAAAGTCCGTGAAATCTCATCGTTGGTCACCAAATTAGATGTGTTGTTAGTGCTTTCGTTGGACACTTTTGATTTGGATTTACTATGCTTTTTCGGTAATTTCAAGCTTAAAAAAATCGGCGAAAAAGTTTTTCGCGGTGATTTTTTCACTTTAACTGTTGCCGACGGTGTTGTAGGATCAACAGTGGACTGAATCGAATGCAAGTTTGACATCGATAATGGGCTGGATAGACCAACTTGATTCATTAGATCGTCCGACGGAAGCGAAAGATTGCGTTCTTTTGGCAATGGCGATGTCATTGACAATGTCTCTGCATCTTTGGATGTTTTTCGATTCATTGAACTGGTGCCTTCGTCTGATGTTCGTGATTTTAAAAATTTATGGCCACTTGGTGTTTGTTTGAGAGTTGAATCTTGTGCTTGGGTTGGAGGAAGTGGAGGCTTTGGCTTTGGCGGAACTGGAAATCGTAATTTTGTCGGTAAACCGTCTGAGAATCGCATGTAATGTTCAACCATGTGCTCCAATGACTTCATATATGGCCCTTCGTCGATGTAGTAATAGTTTTGCTATTTAAAAACAATTGAATTTTTTGATTAGTGTGTAAATTTTGACACAATAAATTAACATTCATTAACTTACATTCCGTTGTATGACATAGTTTCGCAATTCATTACCTTCACCAAGTAAACCCAAAATATGTGTATTTTCTCGTTGTGAATATCGAATTAAAAATGTACCAGATGCATCCTACATAAATAATCGTGAAAAGTTAATTTATACGAGAATAATTTAAAATAATACTGCTGAGAACTACTTACCTCATTCTCATGATTTTCTCTGGCATGCAATCGCAAAATTCGTGAAGATTCATCTCGGCTCAATGTGCCATGGTACCATTTGGACCGTTGTGTCGTTGGTTGCGGAGGGGTAAAATGTTCTAAATCACACAATGGATCATGAATTATTAATAAGGAAGATCAAGAAATTGAATTCAATATTACCCAAATATTCGGCCGTTGCAATATGACCATTGCTTCGAGCCAGTTGGGCTGGCGTTTCAAATTCAATCGATCGTGGTAAGTGTGGAACACCGCAACCCAATAAGAACTTTACCACTTCGAGATTGCCTGTGCTGGCTGCATCGTGCAATGGCACACGCCCTGTGTCATTATTTCGTGCATCAATGTTGGCATTTGCATCCACAAGGATTTGTATTAGTGACAATGGCTGCGTTTGGCATGCATACTATTGAATGTGTGAACCAATGTGTTTTTATATTTCTTCAATATTATTATGAAAAAAAAAAATATGGTATTCATGACTTACATGCAAAGGAGTGTTACCATGTTCGTCACGACAATTTACATTGGCACCGCTGTTGATGAGTTTTTCTAAAATTGGTTCGGCACTATTTGTTCGAAGACATGCCAAATGTACTGCCGATCGTCCATCTTGATCTTTGGCATCAATACGAGATCCAGTCTTGTCAGAAAGCAATACATGTTCCACAAGCTGAGGATCACCATTTTTAGTGGCGCGATGTAATAAATTTGTGGTGCCATGTCTACGAGATTCGGCTGGTGGTGGATCTTTAACAATAATTGCAGTCAATTGAGTTACGAGACCATCGGATGATTCGCGGTAGTGTTCAATCAATGAATCGAGCCCATGTACTGGCGTTTGATCATCGATTGAAAAGAACGCATCCTCTCCGTGACGTCGAATTTGATAATGATATACTTCATCCTGATGATTCATTTAAAAACAAAAACAAAGGATAGATAAAAGATGAAACAGTCATTGCATTTAAAGTTTAATGAACACCCACTTCGTGTAACACGGAAAGCACATAGTCTCCCGGCGATGTTTTACTGTCTCGAACTAAAAACACACCATCACTTCCCGCTGTTTTTATTGAATAGAGTATTCAATTAGTATTCGATTAAAAATGTTGTGAACAAAATAAAAAATTCGATACTTACACTCTTTCAATAGATCTTCGGCATCTTCGCGTGTTAAACTTCTGTGATACCACCACAGATTATCATCTCGATTCATCCTGATAATGTAGGACTTTGTCTGCAACGAAAAAACAACGGTATAGATTCAAAATGCTGAACCCAACTGATTTTTGGCCATAAAAGATGACAATCAAAGTTCAATGTGCAACGTGTTTGTTTGTGTTACAAAGTTTATCGCTCTCACCATCAACATAATGGTGACAATTCAAAAAATTATGCACACCAATATTCAACAATGAACAAACTTTATTGGGACAATGACGAAAAGAGTAAAATACGAGTGAACGTATTATTGAAAAAAAAGAGAGACTATCATCACACCGACGTCCGACAAAAACAAGTATACTTGTATATATTTATTTGTTGCATAAATATGCATAAACTTGCTTAATATACTCAGATGGATTGTAAGTGTGTGTGCACTTATCCAAGACTCACTTCCATGACGAAGACCGACTAAATTCAATTTGATAATACGATGAAGATATTGCCAATTTTGTCGTTCATTCAATTGCATTCAATTCGCTTTTTTCGCATATTTATGTCATTCACTTGATGCTAACAATTGTAAATTTCTTTTCATTTTATGTTTGTGGCGAATAAATTGAATGGATTTCATTGATACGAATGGGAAAATTTAAAGTTGATAATCAATATTTGTGATTATTGGATAAATTGTTTTTTTTTTAAATAATAAAAATGCTTACTTTTGACAAATACAATCAAATTGTGAATATTTATGCTCCAGTGGAACTCTTATTATTGATCCCATTAACACAAAATGAATTGTTTTGTTTATCAAACTCTTTTATGATCAACAACAGGAATGTACAGTTAAGAATTGTGTTCATATGATTATCATTTCAACAACCGTATGTAGAACTGTTTATTTTTGCCGTTTCATGTGTAATTTACACTGATTGCACTGCACACTTGCATAAACTCTATAATTTTAACTCTTTGCTTGGTATTTGCGATCTAATTGTTTAAACGACAACTAAAAATCGTCATTGTCATCAGATAACAAATTAATTTATAAATAATATGCTTTGATTTTTCTGTTTGCGTGTCAACTAAAACACTTTTTTATCAGATATTGATTTTTTCAGAATTTTTTTATCGAGTTTTTTTGTGACCGATCAATTCTTCTTAAAATATGTTTTGAATAGATTAGGTCACGATAATACTGTTGCTATCTTTTTTGTTATCCTATACTACACCAATATCCAAATCAAGTTAATCTTGTTGTTTTGATTGGAATAAAGACGAAATAATAACATTTGTCACATTTGTATTTTCACTATCATTCCATACTATTGCGTTGATTACAACAAATTCACAAGAAAAACAACAACTACACAAAAAATTATTTATATAAAAAAAGTGTCAACGATAAATTGAAAAGAGAACTTTCGAAGCAAAAAAAAATACAATCGAATTTAATTTATAGTTGATGAATGGTGAATTCAAGAAACAAATACTGAATGACTGTAGTTTAAGTCGAATGTTTTTTTGACAGATTTTGACAATTCCATGCATTGAATACACACGTTCGTATGCTTGTATGTGCTCAACACAACAGATCGTTCAGCACACATGCATGTGTGCAGATACGTTGTCAAAGTACAAACAATGAAGAACAAAGTGAAAGATCTGCTGGTATGTGTATGTGTTGTGTTTTGAGTAAATCAAACACATAAACAACAAAAATCTTTATCTCTTACTCTCATACACATTCAAATCGTATTGTACATCTGATCATTGAAAATATATCGAATATATCAGCTATTCGACTAAAATTAGTTTGTGACCAGAAAAAAATTCTTGGAAATAATTTTCATGTATGTTTAATGAGCACATTTTTGGTTTTCTTATAGGAAATATGGACGTTTCTTTTAAATTTCTTAATCAATTGTTGTTACTGATCGTTTCATTTGAATAAAAGTGATTGTTTTTCTTAAGAAATCCCACACTTTGTGTGAATTGCCATCATTTAAATTCAATTGCGTTGGTTAAAATTTTAACAAGACTGTGTTTGCTCTGAATTGTCCATTGAAAAGATGACTAATTTTAATATCGTCAATTCCAAGAAAAATAATTCATCACATGTTTCGCTTGCATGCCGGCATCTTATCAATGATTATCAAGTGTAATTCATGTCTCAAAACATATGAAGTCGTAGACACACAGTACGTTATGAATGCACGCATAACACTTCCCTTCTGATTTCTTATCAATTCAATATTCTTCTTTATTTGGATTCAACAGTAAATGGATCAAACACATTATTTGTGCCAATATTTGAATAAATAAATACTGAATAATAATGAAAAGATAATACATGTTATTTCATTTGTAATAATATATTCAGATTATTATTTCCAATCTTCGATTTTGTCAAATTTACACCAGATATGCAAGAATTTCTTTCAAATAAGCGATTTCACTTTAAATAATTGAATATTGCACAAAAAAAATCAATTTTTATTTATATAAAATAGATAGCATTCCAGTTCTTCTGTGTCTTATTCTGTGTCTTATTCTGTGTAATTATATACTGTTTAAATAAATATCAGCTCTAGGGGAGCCCCTCACGATCGTCCCTTCTGTACTGTGGTTTCTAAATTATTCGAATTTGCTAGAGGTTTGCGGAATTTAGAAAAACTCTTCCGATTTGCTAGGAAACAGTAGTATTTACCCTGAGATTTGGACGAGAAAATATTTTCGCGAAAAATTATTCGAATTTGCTAGGGTTTTTGATTCAAAAAGTGAAGACCTTTTTTTTAGCTCATCAATGTTTCTACACAATTGAGGAGAATTTTTTAAATTTGCTAGGGTTTTTAGCGGAGAATTTTTTTTCCGATTTGCTAGGGTTTTTGAGATTTCAAAGTGAAGACCTTTCTTTTTTGCTCTTCAAATTGTGAGATGTGGAAGAAATCTTTGAATTTGCTAGGGTTTTTCGAGGAGAAAATTCTTTCGATTTGCTAGGGTTTTTCGCCAAAAAAGAGAAGAGCAAAAAAAAAACGAAATTTGTATTGATTTTTGTATTTGAGTCGGTTGGAATTTTTTTTTTATAAAATCACCCCCCTGGAAAATTTAGCTCGCACACTACTGCCGAGAAATGTTGCTCGCAGATTACTGGTCATAATGATTTGAAATCCTCTTAATTAATTGTGTGGTATTTTATGGTGAATTTTTTCTCGAAAGGACAACCATTGGTTCTCACGAACATGAAGTTGACTTTTTTGTTAATTCGCAATAGTCGAAAACCTTTATGAAATTTATTTATATATTTGCTTTTCAATTATGAGGGGATTTTGCATCCCCTTGACCTATGAACTATTTGCAAAATTATACGAGAGATCTATTCGACTTCCTTGATTTGCTTTTTTACTTTTACGGATGGTTTCTTGAATTATCTAGGATTTTTTTTGTATCGAAAAACCGGTGTATTTTTATTTTCAAAAATCTATGCAAACAATTTGTATTGCCTCAAAAATTCCATAAATAAATAAAATTCACGATCTTCTTTGTTCAATGATTTATTTTGAGGCAATACAAATTGTCTATGTGAAGTTTTTGCAAAGATTCTTATCAATTTATACTTTTCCGGCAAAACAATAATCAAAAATTAAACATTTTAATTTTTGTTCTAATACTTTGATGTGAATTCCAATTTTTTCTTTAGTTTAAATAGATTGAAATCAAAATAAATCATATATGATGAGTTAGACTTAGAACACTAGTTCTTTTTGGACTATTATATCTGACAATTTTTAATAATTTAAAATAACGTCAAAAATCACATATATGAGTTATATAACTTCGGTAAAATAAAATCAAATATTTGCCACATTGACTTATATTATTTCTCTGAATCAAATTTGACAAAAAAAAACTTTAAATGACTGAAAATTATAAGAGTCAATGAAAAAAACGATGACCGAAAATTTAAAAACAAGAGAATGAAACAAAAAGAAGAGAATTATTTCCAGTTTTGTGAGAACAGTAAAAAATCCATTTTTTTCTACATATTTTTTTTTTGTATAAAAGAATAGCAATTAGAACTCACCTTTAATAAATAATATTGTGAAGATGACATTTTTCCGGTTTTGCGAATATTTTTTGTGGTCGATTGAATTAATTGTCTTGTGAACAGCTTAAATTTATTTTTGACACGTTTAACATGATGTGGAATTTTGCGAATAACACGTTTAATTAGCATTTATGAGTACTAATGTTACTATTTATTGAAGAAAAAAAATCACAAAATCAAAATTAAATCGTTAGCGAATAAAATGTTTATGCAATCAACTAGAACTATTCAAATTATATAGCAGCTGCTCGGTTTTTTTTTTTTTCAAATATCAAATCATGAATCATTGGCTTTCCTTTATCAATCATGAATCATCATCGTTCTTTGTATAAATAATTCGAAGGGGATTTTTTTTTCAATCGTTCAAACAGTTCGACTACACAACTGGATTTGCGTTAGCCATTTCAATAGCTTTTCACATGTATTTTTTGATGTATACAATAAATTTGGTTAGAATTTGATACTTAACAACCATCATTTTTAAGATATTGCATTTTCAATTTTGTGCATTGCATATATTATGGGGTAAATTCGGATGTACAATAGTAATTAAATAATAAAAAAAGAAACAAAATTTAATGGAAAAGTCATATATGTGCACTGCAGTTTTGGCATTAATCTTTATCTTAATTCTTCATCACATTCGATAATGATAACAACCCTCATTCAACGCAAAAATGAGACAAAGAGAATAATCAAGATTGTCTATTTGTTCGGTTTCATTTAGTTCACAAACAAATTCGAATTATAACAGTACACTAATGAATCACTTATCACATCATTACGGTTATTTTGCTTAAACGTAATAATAAATGAAATCGCCAAACTTCACCAGACAACTTGTAACTGATGCGCACCGATTCAAATGAATCAGACTTGTTGTTTGTAATATGTTTGGTAATTTTTGTTGTTTATTTTTTTCCCCTTGTATTACTGATTTATTACGTTTTTTTTCTGAACGAAATGAGTCATCGTTTTGTCATGTGTGTATGTATAAAGAAGCTACTAGCCGGGTGTCATAGAATAACCGTCGTGTTGTTCGTTCAAGTAATTGTTGTTTGATATTTGTTGAAGAGAGAAAGAAGCGGGGCCACGAAATATCAGCGATGTTAGTAAATGCCGCGTCGTAATACATATTGGTTTGTTGGGCAACATTTGTGAATTGCACTTTGCATGTGGTGCATTTGCAAACACCATCATATAGATGTGTGCAGCAAATGCATGTATCGTGCTGATTTTCTGTCGTCTTTTCTCGGTTAAAATGAAAATGCGCATGTTTTTTTTCACGGATGTTTTTTTTTTCTCTTCTTCTTCACTTTTCTATTTTCAATTTTATTTATGTAACAAGAGATAGAGAGAGTGTGTGTCGACAACGAAATAAGCATACGTCGATGCAAATTTAATTTATGTGTTCAAACATTTTTTTTAGTGTGTATGTTATTGCATATTTTCATCGTATGATTTGTTTGCCATTGCGATGTGTTGCAAGAAATGAAAATTTGATTGAATTGTCAAAGCAACCGTGAAAATGTGTATGAATTAAATTCGTCAATCAAATTATCCTTGAAAGTGATGTCGTTGATATAGCTGCTTCATACATAGGTAAATGTTTGTATCAAACTCCCTCGTTCATCCATCCAACCATATAAAACCATTCATTGACCAACAAATGCATATATGTCATCATCTGCATCAGATTAATATAAAGCCAATAGCTTCCAATTCAAATCTATAAAATGCTTTCGTTCACAATACCTGTTGATCCTTGCTCAAATCAATATCACACATGGGATAATTTGAATTTTCGGGGGGTAAAAAGGGACCCGTGTTCACTACTTTCAAACAACATTTGTTTCCAAAAGTCGTGTAAACATAATGATGCATGCGTAGAAAGTAGACATTTGTTCTAAATTTAAAACATTTTTATTTTCGGCACTTGTGCTAGTTTTCTATCATCATTTCTTACATGAAAATGTTTTATTTTTACAACATACCAACAACACATTTCTTTCGACATTGCCAAAAAAATAAAAACAAAATACATTCGCATCATCATTCGAAATTTACGTTTTGTTTTCAACAAGCACAAGTAACCGTAGTCGCTCAGTCAGTCATTCAGTTATATGAATATGAAATCAAAATACAAATCGATGTCAGTGTTTTAGCCAGCCCAATCTTGTGATTGCGTTGTAAATTCTTTTCTTTTATTTTTGCGTTTGTTTTTGATATTTGCGATGCAGATCAAGTAGTCATAATAATTTGTATGACAAATAAACAAAAGCGAGCAGATCAGACGAGAAAGCCAGTTTACAATGAATCCACAATATATATTGCATTGGAGCTATCGCGATTTTCGTGAATTTCCCAACGAATTACTTGAACACATTGATACACTTGAGGAAATTTATTTGAAAGAAAATTTTATACCAACACTGCCACCGTGGCTATTCCAGTTCGTTCATTTAAAATTTATTCAAATCAGTGGTAACTTATTGCAGAACATACCAAGTGATATTAGCGAATTGACAAATTTGGAACATTTAGACGTATCGAAAAATCAACTCATCGATTTACCCAAAGAAATCTATGACCTAAATAAATTGCAATATCTAAATGTTAGTGACAATGAAATCACCTCGGTGGACAAAGGTAAGTGCGATGACATTGCATTTTGATTAATTAAATTTCGTAATTTTAATCGGATTTCAAATTGATAATATAGCCATCGGTGACATGAAATCATTGGAGACTCTTAACCTTGAGAAAAATCATTTGACAGAAATTCCATTGGAAATATCAAGATCAACTACTCTCAATGAATTGTTCCTTAGTGATAATAACAATCTCACAGAGATTCCAACAAAAATAATGGCAATGCAAAGTCTTCGAGTGATGGAAGCTGAACGTAATTTCTTGACTACAGTATTATCGTTCACAAAACCAAACATTAATTGAATTAAATGCTCGTTTACAGGCTGCAGGTTGGAGTATTTACCAGGAATGGTTGGTATAAATTTGAGTCACATCCGAATTTTCAACAATCCACGATTAACGCATTATCCAACTGTCTATGAGAAATTTCTTCGTCTTCACTATGATTATTGGTCGGAGAATGTTGTCAGGTGCGTACTTGTATATAGATATTTCCAACTAAACATTAATTCTTGTCTGTTCATTTCACGTTAAAAATAATTTTAGTGCCGATTTGTTAATGATTTTTTTGCCGGATGAAAGTAAAAGGACGATTGTTCCAAGGCAAGTGGAAAAAATTTGCTCCGGCAACAATCCAAACAGTTTGTCTGAATATTGTCTGAGAAGCTTATATGAGAGTCGATCGTTATATGAGATTGTGTGTGTTAAACTACCATCAGACGGCTTACCGAAGAACGTATTTCAAAATGTGATGTGCGGTCCAATTTGTCGATGTGGCTATAGTGAATGCAATAAGCCTTTGTTCACCGAATGCCATTTTTCACTCATGAAGAAGTAAGTGTAAACCTTGCGATTTCAAGAACTTTCATTGCCATCTTCTAGTTATTTTAATCTGCATTTTGTTACAGAAATCACAGTCCATCGCATATTATTTTTAGCAATATGTTCTGTTCAGAAACCTGTCGCACCAAATGGCATGACGATCATAAAGCGAAATACCATCCCATCGGTTGGATTCAACAGTTCCACTGAATTTGAAGCCGATAAACAAGCCGATATTTTAGTTGATTTTTGCATGGTCGTAAATGAAAAATATGTGATAGTATTATGAAGCCAATGAGGCACGCGCTAAACACTGTACCTTCAATTGAATTGATGTATTGAATAATATAAATCATGTACAAATAAAAATGTAATTACCGAAAAGTGGTTTGACTTTTATGTGCTGAAAACAAGTAGTGTCCATTTGAGCCATGAAATCTGAATTCGCAGAAAGTCTCCTATCAGTGAATATGAACAAGAAGAGAAAAAAAAAACGAGAACAAAATCAAACCCTTCATGTCTTAACAACATCCTTCAACTTTTTGGTAAAGAAATATGGCATTCAAATTTCTTTTCGTTCGCCCGAAAAATGACCGATTATTTTACGGCTTAAATGTATTGCATCAACAATAAGAAGAACATTGACCAGACAGATAAAAAGTAAGACATTGTCGTGTCCCATTAACAAACAAAAAAAACTCGATTTACTACGTACTAAAATAAGAAATAAGCACATGATAATTATGTGGAGAGAAAAAAAAGTCATATTACGTGTTCATTTTTATACATCGATTAGGTGCAACGTGCGATAATAAGTCGATCTCGAAAATAATAGCAAATTTAATGTATGTATGTATGTATATTGTATAAATTACTTTAACGATCGTTAATCGTCGTCAGGAAGAAATACCGAAATTAATGTAGCCAAACTGGTTTGTTGATGATGGCGTTGCGCTGCTAAAAGCACAGACACATCGGCTGCCTGTGACCAACATTGCATGTGCGCTCCTTTGTTGACGTCAACATTGCCGAAATGTTAAATGCACCGCACAAAATAATAAAATCGATCAAGTAGCTGCATTTTTAGATATTTATTACTATCACGCATTGTTTATAAAAAAAGGCGATTCTCTGCCTCATGGTTTTTGCTGTCGTTGAACGAGAACACAGAGAATGTAGTTTATTGGTATATAGGTATAAAGGGCATTGTTTTTTTTTATATGAAATGTGAGTTTAAACTCACTTCTTCTCTTTTTGTCTCACCGTTTTTATTTGTAATTCGATCTTTCATTATTGTTTTCTTTCATTCTTATTTTAAATCATAATGATTTTAAATGTAGAGCACCAAAAATGTTCAATGACACCGAATTTGGTATAAAAATGCTGGTTTCAACGTTGATATGACATCAGTTGAATTTATTCAATCCAACAATAAACATATTTGTTATCATTTTTGGTTGCAACAATGGCTTTTGAATTAATAACAATCTTCTGTGCCACATTGGCTTTAGCCCATGCCGGCCTCTTGGCACAACCAGCTTATTCAGCAGCTCCAGCTGTAAGCCATGTTTATAGTTCAATTGGATCATATTCACAACCAGCAGTTCTTGCCCAAGGTACGTTGTTTTATAATTTCGGAATATTTTTCCTTCAATCTGAATAAATTTAGACGAGAATCATACAATAGCATTGATTCCAATTGCACAAATGTTGCCCGATTACAATTCAGATTTATTCAATTGGTGAATTAGCGATCATATCTTTGAATATTTAACAAATAAGCATTTTTTCAACTATTTAAACTACATTATTTCGTATTTTATTAGCTGCTCCCGCTGTGTATTCAGCACCAGCAATTGCCAGAATCGGTATGATTTTTGGCCAATTTTATTATTATTCAAATGGAACAATTAATAATCGTATTTCTTTTTGGTTAATTACATTATTTTATAGCAAATCCAGTTATTGCAGCTCCAGCTGCTGTTGCAGTTGCTCCAGCCTTAAGATCCTATGCCGCACGTAAGAATTAATTTCCTCGGCTGCATACTGAAATATACTTGAATTTCCATTTTTTCGCGAATCGTTTATTTTTAGCTTTATTACAAGCACCAATTGCAAAGATTGCATATTCACCTGCATCTGAAGTTAGCCATGTATACAGTTCAATTGCTGCTCCACAATATGCTTATGGTGCTCAGGCTCCAATAGCCATCCACAGTCCAGCAATTGGTTCATCACAACAAAGCACAATCCGTTCACTTGGAGGTATATCAGATATTTCACAAATTTTATTCAATAAAACAAATGAACTAAGATCAAATATTACATAGGTACAATCTCGACCTATGCAAAAGCAGTTGACACCGCTTTCTCCAGCGTACGAAAATCCGATACACGTATTTCAAACAATGTTTATACTCCAAGCTATGCAACTAAGACAATTGCCGTACAACAGCCTGCCATCATTGAACAAAAATCGATTCCAGCAACCGTTGTGAGCCACGTGCAATTCGATGGCATTGGTGCCCATTATGGCTGGTAAACTTGGCCCAACAGTTGAAAGAAAGTAATCGAAGCATAGCGAATTGAACATTCCATTCAAAACAGAAGAACTTTGATCTTCGTTAATCGTTGCGTGTATGTGTGTATAGAAAATTAAATATTTATTGCATATTTGTTTCGCTGCAATTATTTATAAAAAAATTGTTGATGACAACAGATTAAATAATAAAGATTTTTTATAATTTCACAAAAAAAAAGTTAACAATGGCATTTTAAAATTCAATTGATTGAAGAAGAAGAAAAAAATGAGCATTTGCATTCATTTTTCAGCATATTCATTTTCAAAGCCACACATTTTCTAAAATTAAACTGGGCTAGACTAATTTAAACATAGAGCGTACAAAAGAATTTCTTAAGTAGCTTTTTTTTCATTGGAATTCACTTGAGTTTTCGAGATAACTATGAATTTCGAACATCAGCTCAATTCATGAAATACCTTAAGTTAAATGGACATTTAGGAATTTCGGTAATTTAGAATTTTGAACGTGCGCTTTATTGTTCAATGAACATATGCTATCTTTTTTGGTGTTGAATAAAAATTGAAATGTTGAAGGAATTTGGATACGAAACAAATAGCAGAACCAAGAACTTGAGCAGAACTATGTAGATGTCAGACAACGCTTTCCCGTTACAACTTGTGGTATTAAGCTTGCAATTATTCACTATTGTACCATAAAATATATCACTTAGAGTCGCTCACAGCAGATGCACTCGATTTGATAGCGAGAAAAAGTGTTTGTTTGTCAGCATGGACATACATTTATCTGAGTTTATCATATGGCTCTAGTGTCAAATTTAATGGTGAAATGTTATGCTTTAAATTGAACTGATTGATGAAAATGATATTTTGATAATTAGGGCTATTGATCATGAAAAAATACGAGGTCACGAAATTTTGAATACTAAGCACAAAAGCAATGGTCATTCAATGTGGTTAATTCTCTCCACTATATTGAGAAAATATTGAAAAGTTTTTTGATTATGGTAAACATTTTGCTAGGGTAGTAAATGATGCATATAAGTTGATATATTTTTATCAAATAAAAAATCGGATTCGGTAAATTTTTTCACATTGTTTTTATTTTAAAAAAAAATTAAAGAAAAGTTGGCACATCAAATAAAGACTGTAAAACCATGAGCTTTCTTCGTGTAAATTTACTCATTTTTTCATGTATTGCGATAGTTGACTTAAATGACTGAAATGACATTTGAGTGTGAATTTCATACAGCCATGCAGGCGAAGAAAGAAAAAAAAAATAGAAAATCGATCGATGTAATAACTGCACAATAGCTCTTTAATTATGAGGTATTCAATTATATTTTGAATATGAATGGTCCACTTCGAATTGAATCACACAATACAAGCAAGCGGTCAATGTGTTTTTATTTTTTTTTTATTTTATTTTCTCTTCTAATTGATTTGACCAAAATTCGGTAATTTCATCATTTTTTTTTTCAATTTCAATATTAAAGAGCACAATGCTGGCATTGTGCTAATTGGCGTGGTTGGAATTCTGTTGGATTTTTGTTTTTTGCATCTAGCGAATTTATTTTGCGCTCGTTTTTTGTTTTTGAGAAATAAAATCGGAGGCGAATCGTCGTCGTCAATTTACCAGGCGTAGTTGAGTCCCAATGCATTGCTATAGCTCATGTGTGCGACTGTTGGTGCAGCGGAGTATGCAACGCCAAGAAGACCAACTCCTGGAACGGCAGCAACGGCTGGACGGGCAACAACAGCTGGACGAGCAATAGCACCATAACCTGCACCATAACCTATGGCTGGAACGGCACCATAACCGACGGCTGGAACGGCACCATAACCAACGGCTGGAACGGCACCATAACCACCATAGCCACCATAAACACCACCATATCCTGCTGACAAGACTCCTGTGGTGGTTTCGTGTTGTTTTTTAAAAAATTAGAGTTTATTTTTTTCAAGCAATAACAATATATATTCAATTTTCGACAAATTCAATTTTCGATACATTTCATGAATGCATGAATTAATAGTGATCAAACACACCGAGAAAAATGAATTTGTCAATCATAATTTAAGATTTAAATAAAATTAAATGTAACGAGAAGAAAGACACTCACCTGGGTTGCTTACGCGAACATCACTTTTTGAGACGGATGAGAAAGGAGTGTTGATCGTTTTTGATTGAGTTGCAACTTTTAAAAAAATATGATAGAATTATTATTAATTTCAAACAAAAAATCGCTAAAAAGCACACTTACCTTGTCCCAAGTTACCGAATGAACGGTAGATGTTATTTTGTTGGCTGGTTATAGCTGGTGCAAGGTATTGTGCGTTGATTGTAGCCAAAGCGGCGAACAAAACAATCAGCTACGATGATAAAGAAGAAAGAAAATGTATCCCATTTTTGGTTTTAAATCACAATCAATTTTTTAAAGTGTCAATGGTGGAAAAGTAAATGTGTTTGTAAAAAGAGCAAATTATTTTTGAGTAATTTTTGTGCATTATTTAACTTAAAACAGTTCAAATCAAACACTTTTTCATTTTAAATCACTAGCATCAATGCACAAATAATATCGTCTTTTTTGGTTTTTATTCCTTTTTGCTCAGATCAGCATTGTTTTGGATTTTCTTTGATTTTTACGTTTGTTTGTTTGTGTTTTTTTTTTTTTTGAATTAATTTTCACTTTTGATCACTTACCCTGAACATATTGAAAATGAGTTAATAAATTAAAACGTGTAAGAACTAAAGTTCAAATGATTTTGTGAGCAATCACTAAATTGTACTGATTTGGAATATCGTTGTTCGGCCTTTTTATAGTAGATCGGCTGCTTAGTTTAGCTCATACATAGGTGATTTTCCGTTGGGTGTTTATGCGCCTTGCATTCACTATTTTTTGCATCTATTTTCTTCAGCTGGTTCCATTTAAACACCACATATTTGATCAAATGACAACCAAATGACAGAGAGAAAAAAGAGACCCAACAACGCATAAAAAGAAAAACGCATACGGATCAAAATTATAGTATATAGAAAATGGTTGGTGTTGTTGTTGTTTTTGCTGCTATTGCTTTTAACTTGATCAGAATTTTTAATTTTATTGTGTATACACTTTTTTTCTCTCCACTATGCATCATTTCTGCACAGAGGTAGAATTGTGTAAAATGTATTGGGTGCGTTTAGACAAAGATGCAACGGCTATGCATTTTGGTGTCCTAGACAAAGACGGAGTAACAATACTAATTTGTACATATTTCCATTTTAACCGTAGAAAACATATAAGCATAGACACATTACCAGAAGTGTGTTCGACATTCTCTTTAGCCTTTAGATAAGTAGCACTCACACTCACTTATATTGGCATGTGCTAGCGCGCAACTTTGTTTGTCATGGCACACGCACAATTCACGTTTACGACATTTACCCAAATAAAATCGTTACAATTTTGTGTTGTTTTATACAGAGTGGAGAATTATAGTTAACTTATAATGCATTTACATTGGAATATCATAATTACTGTTGAAAGGTCCTTACGATCAGTCGTTAATCAAAATTTTTAAGGCACACTGTCATCTCTGTACGTTTTCGAAGAGTCACTTAAAAACCTCCAAGTGGGTAATATATTATTTTATCAAAACAAAATTAATTTCAACATTTTAATTCTAATTGAATTTATTGACAAATGTTCACATACAACGCGCATATCCAAAGAGATATCAATGTCATCCTCATCGATCGCTGCATCGACGTGCTGCAAAGTTGCATCTCGATTCAATCGTTACATTTCCATATTCTTGACTGTCACCATTTCTGTTGGTAACTATAATGTGAACACCTAATTCACACACCTTGAATTGATCGTTTTTACTCAGAGAAATTGAAGAGAGCAAGCATGGTAGAATTCCATTTGAAGATTTTGAATCAGCAAAAGCAAATAACGTCATTGGCAATGCCTGGTGCTAACTTCCCAAGCTGATTCGTCTGGCTGATTTTTATCGAATTCAGAGAGATCATATTTTTCAAACTTTTGGTCAGCTTTCGATTTCCAATCAAATTTAATAAACCGCACGGTATACGTTCAAATGGTGCGAGGTAAAATAGCAAAGAAAAAGAACAAACGTGCTTTCTACATGCACTGATCGCTTTAAACACAACAACAGCAATAAAAACAAGAATAACAACGATTACGACGACAACGACAACGAATAATAATTGACAACAGCGAAAATTGCAATGAATGAATAATTTAGAAGGTAATGCAGAAAAAAATCTATGCCTATGTATTTGACATGGGCCCAACGCACGCACGACTACTTCTTACTAAATGTGTGAAGGTGCGTTTTTTCGCTTTCAACAGAAATTAATTGTTTCAAATTGTTGATAAATAACAAATGGTGCACCGTCACTAACAACAAGTAAACATATAAATCCTGACCGCGACACGGTATTCATTCATTCAGCCCTATGGCTAATCGCCACACATTGCAACTAATTTAAAAATATTCGAATATGCTTCAGATCCGAACTTATGGTGAAATTCAAGGAATAAAATTCTTTTCTCAATTATTTGTATCGATCTAGAACGATTCTAATAACATTTTGACCGATTAAAAGCCCTATTAGCAAAAAAAAACGTTAATGAAGGAGGTAATTCGCCAAATCTTGTTAGCAATGCCCAAAAAATTGTCAAATGAAATGGTACATTACTGAATCAGAAAGTGTCATTTGACTACTTTTTTAATTTTCTTGAAGGATTTTTGGTTTCTGCTTGTTTTTACATGGGCTTACCAACGAAATTAAAACAATGTAATCACTTGATTACTTTTGATTTAAGACTACTTTTGTTTGTTCTAATCCTAAAGCATTCGTTCGTATGTTTACTGGTCAGGCAATCTGTTGCAAATCACGGTGACCTAACAAAGCACTAAAATAAAAGGTGCAAGAACAAACAAATGGCTTGAAATTTGAACGAAAAAAATCGATTTCAAATAATAATTGATCAAAGTTTATGTACATTGCTATTTTTGAATTGTCGATTCGCGAAATGAAATCGCATATTAATTAAATTTTATGCACTAATCTGACTCTCTCCTACGACGTGAACAAAACTATTCTTTTATTTTTATTGAATTGTTGAAGATATAAATTGAATTTTTGTGATAATGAAAATGTTTTATAAAAAAAAACTCTGCAAAATACAAATATATTGCCATTTCGACTGACATTGTTTATTCATTTGAAATGAATTGATCAAATGTGAACTTTAAAAATTTCGATATGACAGAGAAGAATGATAATAAAGCCTATAGATAATTCCGTATGATTCGAAAAAATATCGACAGCGATTTGCATACCAAAGGATTGACTGCAAGCATGTAAATGCATCAAAAAATGTCAATGTACAGTTATGCGTGTACATCCTTAACAGTGAAAATTAGCATAAGCCATAGCCATGTACGATTTGAATTCAAAACTATTGTTTTTTGGGTTGCATACAAATTGCGCTTTAATGTACGCCTTCAATTGTATTATTTAGAGGGATAGATTCATTTACAATTAAATCAATCACATAAAACGTCTTATTGTATGCTATGCATCCCTAGTGATTCTGATAAATTTTGAGGTATTGTTCTGTTGGTCGACGTACATGAAACATAAGTCGAAAAGCCTTGTGTTACTTTGTAATTATATGGCAATCATGTGATTTGGTTGGTCACGCCTAATGCAATAATTTTTATTTACTTTTTCCTTCTGTCTCTCTCGACAAATTCTATTTCAATTTAAAAAAATTTGATTTAAAATGTGTGTACACAGCGATTTATTATATGGTCAAGCGAACAGAACAGAAATTAAAACTTTAGCCCTGATTTTAAACGATTACTTTTGGTTCAGCCAAGTAGAGTACGCGCGCGTGTGTGTGTGTGTGTGTACGCGTTTTTTTCTATCTGTTGATTTCTGCATCGAGGACGGAGGCATATATAAATCATAAGCTCATATATGTAAAATCGATAAAAAGTGCGATATTTTTGCGTGATGTGGGTGATTTATAATCAATGCAAATGTTTGATATTGACCAAAGCGTCAACATTATGGTGAATGTTTTTATATTTTGATTAAAATGAATTCAAGCATACATGCCAAATCGAAGCGAACACACCAATCCAGGCGGCCGACTGTCTTTCATCTGTTTGCCATACAGTTTCGATAATTTTTTTTTAAATTCAAATTCCTCTTCGAATTCGAGTGGAAACGTAACATGAATATAATTTGAGGATGCAAATGGCTTCAAACTAGTCAATGGCATTCAATCAATTAATTAAACTGATTAATTGGATTTAATTTCATGCAACATGTGTTGTAATCCGTTTTCATTAGATATGTACATCTAAAATTTACTACATTGTTTTGCATTTTCATGAGATTAAATTTAGCATTTTGTATCTATTTAAGATTAAAGTGTGCTGACGAAAGAAAAAAGGTTTAAAAAAAATGTTTTTATGTCTATTGGATTTTGTTGTTGTCATTGTTTTTTTTCCTTCTTCTAATTTTGCTTGTTTCAAGCGCGTGCATGTGTTTCTCTTACATTCTTAACCATTTGCGTGTGTGTCTTGTATTTTTTGCTTGCACTACGGAATTGGTTTACATTGAAAAGAAAATTAAAAAAAAATCCATTGAGTGATAACGCCGATTTCGGAGCTAGCCTTATGTGGACGCTTGTGTGTGTGCCTAGAGAGAATGCTTCTATCGACTACTAGACTCGAGTATAGTCTAATTAAAATTTTAATTTACGATACATTCGAAAAAACGAACCACATTTTCAATTAGTTGAATGCGTTTTTCCACTCTTTCTCCACAGGGCGACAATATAGCAGCAGCAGCAACCAGCAATAGCAACAAAAAGGCGTAATGCATTGACATAATTAATATGAAATATACTGAAATTCATTGGCACATTACAAGCAAGATAAACGAAGTAAAAAAAAAAATAACAACAAAAAAATAGTTTGTATCCATATAAATGTTCGTTTTATTCATTTTGTGTCGAATGATTATATTTTAATTGTGTAAATTGGGCTTTTTCAACCCAAAATGAGATCAAGTGCATTTTATGCGAGGAGAAAAACACAGGCAGAGACACAACACATTAAAGACATACATACCATATTAACAATCGATATTTTTTTCATTTATGAGTTGATGTAATTGAGACACATGGCAAACAAATGAATTCTCCAAGAAACATATGATATATTGTATATTATGTACAATAGAGTGTTTCCCGTATCAGCAAATAAAAAAATGGTATTTTTTAATTCAAAGAAGACAAAATTCTATGTTAGTAAATGGCATTCATATAACGAAGCGATTGATTTTAGCACTTCCCGAAACGAAAACATATCTGAAAATATAGTTGATTAGAATTTGAAGTACAATTCTCTTTGCTGTTTGCACGTATATCGACACTGTTCGCTTTGATAGAATATTGTTGCGATTCTTTAGAATTCGATAAATAAACAAAAGAAAGTATTTATATTCAACGCATTTTCAGAATCGTGTTGTTCACTGTGTCAGCTGTTTTTTTGGCCTGTAAAATCATTTTATGATTTGAACCAAGCAGTCCATACAACACATACACATTTATATCCATCGCGATAGGCTAATAATAATAATCATTCCGTTTCTTTTGCTCTTAAGTGTTTACATACAAACTGTGATTCCGTTTATTGGTTCCGTACCATACATTCTTATTCAAACGCTTTATAAACAAAAAATGTGTGCAGTATAAGAATGCTTTCGACACAGAACCATCGGAATGTGGAGAAGTGTGTTGGTTCAAATGAAACGATCGTGTTGAAACTTGTCAGAATCAATGTTTTTTTTATTTGAATTTGCATCGTCATAATTTCATTGGATTCGATTGATAAAAGTGCTAAAACATATTTTTGGATTGTGTCAGTGTATGTTATATTTGTTTCTTGCTTTCAAAGGAGTTTATTTTTCGCTGTAGGCGGTTTTCTATTGGAATCATTGTCAACCGATTGTTTTCAAACGAGATATTTGCGGTGAATTTTGTGTTTGATTTTGTTTAGTTTTGATAATAACAAAACATTCACAAGCTGAAACTGCAAATATTTCGATTCAACTTTGGACCGTGTTGGTGTGGTTTGCATTTATATGTTGCATTCAAAAGAGTTAATATCACTCAATTTGTCGATTTTGAATCACTTCACGCTTAACATTCAATCAGGTAACATCAAGTGTCAGTTTTGTCCCCATATACTCAGTGCTTCCTATTGATTCAATTCATTTACAAAAATTACACAGTGCAGAAAATATATTTGTCATTTTATTTGTGTTCTAAATTGCGCGTGTGTTTTTTTTTATTTCGTTTTAGTTCAACATGTCAACGACTGGTGAAACTACGGCTGCTACAGCGCCAAGAAAAAAGCGATACAAATTTCAAACGAATGCGCAAAAAGAAAAGGATGCTGATGATGATGTAAACGATAATGGATTGTTCGCGATTAAAATGCGCCTCAACACAATTTTACGACCAGAGTTCAATCACATTGTCAAACCGTGGATCGAACAGAAAAGCATAATGTCAACGAAAATCACCGTTTTGGCATCATTACTTTTCTTGGATAAAGTGAAATCGGCACAAATGAATCGACAGTGGGAGTTTTTTAAAAACCGAACGTATCCGGCCAAAAAAGGAAAGAAGAAAGGACAGCTCGTTGAAAAGAATCGTGGCGAAGAAGTGATTGAGCAATGTTTCTATGCCGTCTTGCAAAAAAACAAAGAAGGTGAGAATATGGAGCCACATTTCCGTCAGTTTGTCGAAGAGCTCAGTCCAGAAAATAATTTCACCTGGCCCAAGAACGATTATTTTGGTAATCATTTTAAAACGCTGTGCCAAAATCACACGCGATGCTTGAAAACCGGTCAAACGACACACTGCAAGAAGAAGTTGAAAAATTATCTGCGAATGCGAGCGTGGCAATTCAACGCAGTGTCTACCGGTTGGAAATTCGACAAGAAGGACATTGACAATGCAGTCGATTTGATGATTCGAGGCTACAATGCGATCCGTGACACTCATCAAAATGCAGATTTCAAACGACACAAGCGAACATTACTTACTGGCATGGTTACTGCAATTGTGCGAGAAGTTGGTGGCCCAACCAATGATCACAACATCAAGGATTTATCAAAAGGCGATTATTGGTTCAAAGCAACTGCAATGTGGCTCGTTATGCAGACAGAAATCGATGAGTGGCACAATTGGGCGCAAGATAACAATGTGAAGATACCAAATATCAAAAATCTCTCGGTTGTTCCATTGCCTGATTATCAACGAAAGGCAGTGTTCATGTGCAATGATGTCTTCTATCGAATGCTGGCCGAATCGAAACAACTTCCACAAGTTGATGGTAGACAAGCAACCGAAAGTTACATTCGCCAGAACAAAGAATTCTATTGGAATCAAGTATTCGATTTAACGACCATCAATCGAAAACTGAAGAAAAACAAAGAATTCCATTATACCATCGTCAGCAACGGTGAATCTGTGTCGATTATGTATCGCATGTCAAAGCAATACGAGCAACAGATGCAGAATGATGATATTCTTCGAAAGCAATTCATCGGCGGAAAATTTGCTTACGAACTGGGAATCGATCCAGGCATGAAAACATGGAATGCCACAGTTCGTCGAAATATCAAAACAAAGAAAGAAGTGAGTGTTTAAATTTTTGGCATTATTGAGAAATAGAAAGTGATACAGTTACGTGAATAATTTTTTTCTTCACTTTTCCATTTCAGGTCAACATGAAAACGTCCAGTAAGAAGTACCATTGGCTGGCAAAGCAGAAGACGCGCGATGTAAAGGCAAAACGATGGACGAAGCAGTTCACCCAAGAGGAGCAGGACGATCGAAATAATCGACAATTGTATCAGCGAATGCCATCACCACTGGGCATACTCTGGATTGATTACGTTCATCATCGTATCAAAATGCTCAAGAAAGGAATGGCCGTATATACAACACCGAAATACACGCTGTTGCAGTTTGACAAGTACGTCGAATCGAATCGAACCGTTGATAAACTCACTGGGAATTTGGTCAATCATAAAGCCGCAATTATTCACATGGGAAATGCAGAAATATCACCAAACTCGTGCATTCGAATCAAAAAGCATGTGAGAGCTCCAGGTACGCGCAAACTACTCAAAGGCTTTCGAAAACGTCGCAATTGTCGTGTGCGCAAAACAGATGAGTGGGGTACATCGCAGCATTGTGCAAAGTGTGGGCGACGATTTAATCCAGCCACAAAGAGCCATCGATTCAAAGTGTGTGAAAATTGTGGAGCGGAGCCCGATTCAATTTTCGCCGAATATTTACCATCAAAAATCGTAGCACAGCGCAGCAAACGGCAATTGAGGTACAACAAAGATGTCGTTGAACTTTATTTGATGCGATTTTGGGCAGAAGGACTCATGACTGAGCAAGAATTCGATATTGCTGCTGAACGTTTACTGTCTAAGGTGGCCGTGTATCCAAAAAATTGGCAAGTAAACACAGTGAGTGGTAAATTGGAATATGCTCAAGTCAATGCTGATGCACCGTATGCAACTGTTCAACAGCCATATGCAGTCGATGATGAAAATGAATTGGAAATCGAAGACAAGCAACTACTAATGGCTGTACACAAGACATCTTGGGATCGTGATATCGTCGCCGCCAAATGCATTCTCATCAAAGGTATGTGTATTAGAAATTTGCATTTGCATATATTCTACATATTAAATGAAATGCACACTATTTGAATGATCTATTTTAGCGCTCGATGATAAATATGTATGCAATATTTAATGACATTGAGAAAATATTTTTTTAATAAAAAAATAAATTTCTGTTGAGATATCTAAACATTTGTATAGATTTAAGAAAAAAAATCATTTCTGCCAATAATCTATACATTATTTCCGTATGTGTGTTTACTTTTGAATAGGACATTGTGAGCTGTTTGGATGGGATATTCCGGCAGGATTAGACAGACGATCACCGCGACAGCCAGCAGTTCAACCGAATCAGCAGCCTTAAGCATCACCAATCACCATTCGTACTCGAAAATTAATCAAAAATTAATATTGTAATTTGTTACATTAACTGAGACTGACTGTTGTGTCTCAGCATTTCGAGGAAGTACTTCTAGGTGTTTTTTTCTGTAAGTATTCTTCACTATGAGATTTTATTCATATAATGGAGTGATTGATATTCATATTCAGAGGCAACAATCGTTTTTCGCTTCGGGAAGTGTTGATATAAATCGCTTTGTTGTATCGATGCTACTAACCAGCATAGAATTTTGTCTACTTTCAATTAAAAAATACCATTTTTCTATTTACAGATATGGGAAACACCCTAATGTACAATAACATTCGATAACGATATTTATTGCATCAAGCACCACCTGCAGCGCTCATTTAATTGAAAAGTGTTAAAAATGGCTTGCCATTTAACATTATCTTTGGTGGCCGCACACATTCTGTCGTACCGCGCTCTTTTGAAATTAAAGTAGAGAAAATGCGCTGAGAAGCAAAAGCCAATAATAAAAAAATCGTATCGTACTGCGTGGTAATTCCATTTTTCCAGTATCAGATCGTGTTTTTTTTCTCATTTCCGATTGATCTATGTGCCAAAATTTGCTGATCATCATAATAGCATTTGCATGAATTAAGTTTTAACATATCTTTTTGAACTGTGATAATATCACTTGTCTCCATTTAATACCTCGTACACATGTGAAGGAGATCTTTTTTAGTTTTTTTATTCTGCAATGTAAATCAGTGGTATTTGGCCCACAAGACTCGCGCTAAAGTTCACATCCTTTTATAGTTTATACAGTGGGTAAAATAGTTTTGATAAAAAATGGTTTTATTTTTTAGAAAAATATGTGCTTTTTATAATTTTGAAGGAGTTTTCAACATTTAGCCAATTTTAATGAGTTTCATACGGGTCCATCGGTTGGTATATTTTTTACCAAAATCTGGCAATTTTTCAATTATTTCTGGAGATCATGAGCTCAATATTGGCTTCCAAGGGCTTAAATGGTTTTTGGGTTATCAATGACTTCACAAACCACCTGAAAAAATAATCCAGAGTGGTCAGAAACAGTTAAAGAGTTCTTCACACCAGGCAATTCGGTCATAAAATGTAGTTATCAATAAATCGATCGTTTCTATCATTATTTAGAAAGTTGCGTTATCCTGTTGAAACTAAAATGGTTCGAAAGACAGCTTTTAGAAGTAATCACTTATTTACATTATAAGAGCTTACCTAGATATAAATGTTTTACCAGACAATATATTTAGATTTCGTCATCTGGATATTTCAGCTCATCTGGATAACGTTAGGCGATGATACGAAATGAAAACAATAGAAGTGATTGTTGTATTATATAGGTATAAAAATACTACCTGTCTACATTGTCTGTGTTTTACCATTGAAAATGCAGAAATTTGATTTTTTTTTCAAAACCAAATTAACCAATGGATCTGTATAAATGATCATATGATCAAAATTCTTTCTTAATCATAAATGGTATACATTTTGTACCTTTATTTTTACTATTAAAACAAAAAAGAATCAATTTTTTTTAAAAACAAAATTTAAAAAACAAATCCCCAAAAATACCCTGCATTATAAAATATAAAATATTATGTCTTGAACTGTGATCGCCGTGTCCTCAAAAATTTAACTTCAAATACCAAAAATAGGCAATCAACGCTAAGAATATCGAATTCGATTGCTGAAATGGTTGGAAAATTTGTTTCAAACAAAAATGTAACATTTTTTAGAAAGATTTTAATCTTGTTCTGAATGAAAAAGAAGAGAATAAATCGTTGCAATAACAAGTTTTGGTAACATTCACTTCATTCATATACTACCTATATCCCATTGATACGCATTTTTCTTACATATCACCTCAATGTGAAGTTTGGAAATGTTACTAATACTGTGTCTTTAATTGCAGGTATTTATGTGCATTTGGTCGTGGTAAATGTTCGCATTTCAAACAATGACAAAATTACTTTTCAAAATCACTTATCGAAAACTGTTGCGCGTTATGTAATTCATGGCTTAATGGCATGGCCAGCAACAAACTATCAACGCAATTTGATCACATATGCGCGCTGGGGGGGGTTCCGGTTTGACCCCCCTCTGAGAAATTTTTTCTCAGATTTGCAATATAAATGTATGAACAATAGCAAAAATACACTGATTTTGAAGTCAAACTTGCAACACACATTTTTACTTGTTTCTCTCATGCAAAATTGTTATTTTAGTTTTCCATATAAATACCCCCTCGCCCCTCGAGACCAAAGTCAATTTGACCCCCCCCCCTGATCAAAAAACCGTGCGCATGTGTGAATTTGATAGAAAAAAGAACGATAGAATTTATTATTTTAATTGATGATTTTAGTATAAAAGTAAGCAATATTGAGAGTATAGTCAAGTTTTTCCTCAAACACAAAAACCTTGAAAATCGCTAATTTTTGGAATTTTTTGGAATTTTTGGGCTGGTTGCGGGAATTCAGTTTTGATTTTTTTTGCAAAAAACAACTGGATATAATTTCTGGGACCATTTGGCATAGGATATGCATAGGTGCAACATTGATTCTGAAATATTCCACAATATCGATACTCTCTAGTGCATAATAACGTTCATTTTGCAAAAATAACAATTTTTGATGGATTTTGTGATACGCGTATAACGATCAAAATCACTGTATTTGTCAACATCGAAGAAATGCCTAGGAAAGGTCGAATGAATGGCAAATTTTGATATCATAATTTACTAGTTCGTCTTTCGTTTCGTCCAAATGTGGAAGAACGGTATTAGTTATTAAAATTAAATAATTGAAATGAGAGTTTGACGCGAACAAAGAACGGTGGAACAAGTAAAAATAATAGAAAAAAAATGAAACAAAAAAATAAATAAAAAGTAAACTACACAAAAAAAAATTCTCGATGTATTAAATTAACGTGTCGATTTTTACCTAGAGTTGATCAGAAGAAAAGAATGGAAAAAATGGAAATTAATCAATAAGTAATGGAACAGAATGGAAAATGAATCGAAGGAATGAATCAGGAATTGTAGAGTAATGGAATAGTAATTTTTAAGTTAGTATGCCTCGATTTTTACTTTTTAAAAACTTAGTCAAACAAACAACCAAAATGAAAAAGAAATAAAGTTATGAAAACAAATAAAATTCAATTCGGTTTTATTTTATAATTCAATTTTGATTTTTCAATTTTAGTACTGCAGATCTGGTATCATATGTGCCAGCCAATATACTGACCAAACTAGAGTTGATCGGTGACGGCATAGCCATTGGTTTCGAAATAGTACATTAATTTATAGAATTTTGATTCCCAAAAAACGACGATTTCTAAATAATAATTATACGATTTTTTTTCTCGTATTTGGATACAAATTAAAATTGGAAATTAAGTCCAGCGGATAATTCAATTGTAGTGGCATTAATGTATGGATTAGCGACAATTGTTTGTACTAATTGTGCAAATTCGTCTGGATGACCAAATCGATTTGGTATTGGAATACATTCTTTCACAATAGCCTCCACCTCCTCGCTTGGAATTTGATCGTTCAGTGGTGTTTGAATAATGCCAGGTGCAATCGCCACCACACGAATGCCAATGTCTTTGAAATCAGCCGCCATCGGTTTTGTTAAGCTGTGGATTGCCCCTGATGCGGCTGCAGTAGCACTTTGGCCTTGAACTCCATCAAATGCTTCAATGCCCGCAGTATTTATAATCACACCCCGTAATCCATCATTGTCCGGCGTATTTTTACCAATTAATCCAACGGCCAATCGTGACACATTAAAAGTTCCAACAACATTTGTCTGTGGATTTCAACAATATTTTTTTCATTTATTAAAAAAAGTCATTTTTCTGACATGAATTCAATACATTCATACGTACCTTCAATATTTTTATAAAATCCTCATGATGTCTTGGCTTTTCTTTAATAAAATTGTATGTGATATAGGCATTCATTAGGCCGGCACAATTAACTAATACATTTAGTTTGCCATAATTTTTGGAAATTTCCGATAGCACACGTCGAACATCTTCTTCGGATGTTACATCGGCTGGTATGTAATGTGCATTTTCACCCAATTCTTTCGCTACGTTCGCACCATTTGATGTTGGTAAATCACAAAACACCACTTTTGAGCCTTTGTTAACGAATCGGGTGACCGTTGCTTTGCCAAGACCTGATGCTCCACCAGTCACAAGTGTTACTAAATTCTAAACACAAATTTATGGAAACAAAATTCAATTTTAATTCAGTTTTTATGAATAAAATGGATTTCAAGCAAAGAATCTCCCCTTAATCTCTTCTTACAGAAAATCTTATTTTTTTACCTTAAACATTTTAAATTTGTCAATTGTGTGAAATAAGTTGGGAAATAATTTAAAAAAAAACCGTGTTGATCAATGACTTCAGCATAACTTTGTTGGATATGATCAACATTTGACAACAACTGTTTCGGACAACAAATGTCAAATTCATTCTTTAAACCAAATAAATGTCTACAGAAGTCGAGTGCGTGCGAATATTCAAATATTTATCTGATGAAATAAAATGTAATGTTATGAAACTTTGTTCAACCGTTTTTTTTATTGTTAATTCTAAAACTTTTTTTTGTTTTTATTTTTTCTCGAAAAAATGCGTGAGCTGTCATTGAACAATACATTCTGTCAAAGTGTAACACGTGCATAGGTTAACCTTTTTATTCATTCATTTATCATTGATAGAGCATTATTTCTTTAAAATAAAAAATGATCCGTATATTAAAAGACTTTTTGCGACCATTGCAATTAAATTCGTCATTGCATTTGCGAAGTTCGTATACAAATCAAACGGTTGAGGATTGGATAACATCCCTTCCAGAAGATAAACAAAAAAGGATTAGATTAATTCAGAATGAGGTAAGTACAAAACGAATAGATTGGCTTTATTGTGAAAGATATAAACAAGGGAATTAATTAATTGTAATTTCCAGATTTATCTAAGACTGGCCGAAAGGAAAAAGATGCCACCAATAAATATGTTAACCATAGCCGATTATGAAGAAATGTTGGAACAGTCAAACAATCAACGACAAAAGTATCACAATTATTTGCATTCATCAAAAATGGCCATTTCGAATGACGAGGTATGAATGAACTCATTAACTATTCCACTATTTGATTTAATTTTAATTTTATCACATTCACAGAAGAAGCGTATGATAGCAGCGAGATTGTATGATGAAAACAAACAACTGAGCACACTTGGTCAGCCAAAAACCAATCATATTCGATATGGCCTAGGACATAATACACAATTTTTGAGAATAACAAATAATCAAATCAACAAATGGAGAAATTTCAAGTAAGACCCATATTAATGGCATTTTCTTGCTGAAATTATCCTGATTATTGTTATTATTTCCATAGATTGTGGCGTGCAATGACACTAAATGAACCAGTTCTGATATTGGACTGTGGTTTCAATGACACAATGTCGAACCACGAACTTCAAGATCTGGCGCGTCAAATTAAATATTCCTTCAGTGAAAATCGATTAGATCGTAAACCTTTTGTACTTAATTTGTGTAACATGAACACAAATTCAAAGCTATGGTATGAATTGTCAAAGAATATGCCCAAATTTGATAAATTACCGTGGCACATTTCGCCAAACAATATTACGGATGTATTTCCAGTTGAAAAACTAGTTTATTTATCGCCGGACGCACCAGACGCACTGGAACAATTTAATGCCGATGATTGCTATGTCTTGGGAGCTATTGTTGACAAAGGAAATCGACAACCATTGACACTGGCCAAGTCGAAGCGACTGGGAATTCGTGCAACACGTTTACCATTAGAAAAATATATTAAATTCAATTCACACAAAACATTGACACTCGACCAAATGACACGAATTATGCTCGAGCTTAGGCGCACACAGGATTGGCGAAGAGCACTAAAACATGTACCAGGTCGGTACACTTTGGATAAATTTTAGTCCAACAGTGAGAATTAGTTACGAAAATTTTAGAATAACATTAATTGAAAAATTATCGACTCTAACTTGTAATAAAAAGATGTTTGACATAAATAAAAAAAAAATGTTTAAGACTCATTCAAATGGGGATTTTGATTTTGTTGATGCACAA